GAATCGGCAATTCAGGCCTTGGCTTGGTCCTTCCCTCGGAATCTGCGTTGGGCGCTCGCTCGCCGAGGCGATTAAGATATGAAGCGAGGAGAGGCGAGAATCTCGCAGGCAAACCAGTTAAGTCAAGGCACAAAGATACCTGAGGTGGTAGGTAGGCTAAAGTGTTGGAGACGAAGTTCCGTAGGTAGAATAAAGTAATAAATGAATGATGCCTAAGGAAGGAGGGAGGACAAAGAGCGAGGTGAACAGCCGAGAGAAGAGAGTGGGAGTGAGTGAATGAACGAGCCCAGTACGAGAGAACGAGAGAAAAGAGCGGAAAGCTATAAATGAGGGAAAGGAAAGGCAACAGGCTCAAGCGTTGACGTGGCACTCGTTGAAATCATAAAGTCGTAACAGCGTAAAAGGAAGTCTGCAGGCCCCTGGCGGTGCAATGCACAATCACGGCGGGTAGGCGGGATGCAGCTTCTCAGCTCCTAATATGGCGTGCAGAGTCGGTGTAAGAGAGAGCCTTGACAGTAACTCTCAGGCCCTGGTGCGACTCTCTGCAGCACCAAACATGCACGAGACGCCTGAGCGAGTTTGATGGAGACCGGCGAGCAAAAGGGGGGAGGTGCTGGAGAGTTATATGAAGATCTGGAGATTCGAGATCTGGGGCTGACAAGTGAATGGCTTGGGAGATGCGGGACGCTGGGGGTGGCGGCTTCTTCCTGTCTGGAGAAGCGCCTCCAGGCAAGTAAGTAAATAGCAGTAGTAATACGCAGTAGTATATCCCTTGCAGACAAAAGCAAAATGGAGCTGAGACATGAGTCTTGGAGCGAGCGGCGAATCAGCATGCAAGTGCAAAAGAAGGTATATGAGCTGAAAACTAATGAAAGAGAAAAGGAAAGAAGAACGAAAGCTCCAAGGCGAGGCTCTCCCTTCTTTTTCTATGCTCGAGCTGTCGGGCCGCGGACAAGGAGCAGCACGAGTTTGCACCTGTGCCTGCATATGGCGATGGTCCCTTGCAGGCCAGAGATGCCCAGAGAGCTTGTCGACGGGAGTGGGAGAGTGGCTCAAGGCGCCATGTGCCACGCATGTGCCGCAATGTTCGTTCAGCGCTCATCCCGTTCTTCTCTGCTGCTGTCCATGCACAGTATTAGGATTTTGCACTACGGCCTTGGCGAAGCCTAACGCCATGTTGCCTGCAGGTCCATGCAGCTCGGATGTACATTGACGCCGCATCAGACGTGCTCGCCAAGATAAGCTGGATACTGTGCCTCACCGAGTTGCACAAGAGTAGAGAAACGAAGTAGAGATGGAAAAAACCAAAAGAGACCTGCCGAGTTCTGCGGTGCGTGGTTCCGGCGCGCCGTGAGCAAGCCATTGGCGTGAGGTAGTCCAATCGGGGATCCGCGGCAGAGAACGCTAAGATGCGGCTAGAGAGGCCCGACGATGAGTGGCGGGACAGGGGGTCTAGTGCGTGCCTGGGAGCTTTTTTTTTTTTTTTTTTTTTTTTTTTTTTTTTTTTTTTTTCACTCGAGCTTTTCAGCCATCGGGCAACAGCTAGCGACGGCACCTAATTACGAGGTGATGTGCGCTGAAGCTGCTGCTGGCCGGGGTGCTGTAACCGCCACTGCCGCTAGCGGGCGCCAACCACCTACCAGACTGCTGGGAAGCCGGCGTGGCTCATTAACGTCCAAGTGCAATAAATGAATGCATCCACATGTCTTTCAGGCCTCAAGCTGGCCTGCGCCTGAAGGATTTGACGCATCTACCACGCAAATGCAGCGCCCACCGCCTCTTCGGCTGCCCGCCGCTCCAAGGCAGCTAGGCGAGAGCAAAGACCAAGCAAACGGCGCAGATTTGGGGGCGTCGTGCGGGAGAGGATGGACGGACACGCCAAATGACAGGACGCACCTGTCCCATCGAGTGTTACCAAAGCACAGTGTCGTACTGGTCTCTATCGGGCACCCATCTGAGCGAGGTACTAGAATAGTAATGGATAGCAATGGCCTCGGCAGCTGGTGCTCAAGATAAGCGGAAGAACAAGGATGGCGAAGAGAGGTCCTGCCAGTAAACTGCCGGCCGCGGATAAGATGCATCGAGATAGCCTCGTATATGCACCCCTCCTCCTTCAACGGCCGCAGCGAAAGACGGATGAATGGATGCGTGGGCAAACCAAACGGGGTGCCTTTGTTCCTGGAAAGAAAGAGACTGAGAGAAGACGCCACATGCACACACGCTTTTTGAACAGAAACGGGTTTCACTCCGACGGATCCCCCCGCGGATGCAGGAACATACATGCGATCACACACACTTGCATCGCATCGCATCGCATCGCTTCGCAGTGCGTAAAATGAGGCCCCTCCCTCGTCTCTTGTTCAGCTCTTGCAGCTATTCGACACCTCGCCTAGTATCTTTTCGGCCCATACTTTTTTTTTCCTCCTCGCATTCATTCGCCACCGGGATGAGGGGTGAGGAGTATGAAGTGAAGTCCAAGATGCCAGGTACCCGTACGACGTATTCCTACACTAATAGCCCATCTACACTAACATGAAGCGAGAGGGAAATAAAAAACAAAGAGGCCGTCGTCTCATGCAAGGGTTGTCACTTCTCACAACCACCTCTACCAATTCGGATCTCAACATATGCAAGGTACCCGGACATTGGGGGTTGTCAGCAGCAGACAAGTCACGCTTGGAAGCGCTGCGGCCGGTTGCTGTAAACCATTAAAGCTTTCCATTACAAAGTATATCCGCATCCGCCTCGCCCGACTGGTTTGCCATCCTCCCCCCGGGTCAAACTATGTATATAATAGTATGGTTTTTGTTCCAGGATATTTGGCCATCTCGGCCTAATCAGTCTCTAGATAGACTATACGCTTGTTGCTCTAGTCGGGCCAGCCCGGCACCGTGCCGGTAGAGCAAACGCTGGACAGCGGAACAGCACGCAATACCCGCTGCTGCTGTAGTACTACTATCCCCAAGCCAGTCAGACGGCAATGCAAGGGAGACGTTGAGAGGGGCCCAGTTCGGCAATCGTCATGCCGTCCCATCCCTCCCTCTTTTTTTCCAATTGAGTTTGCGTCGTATATTTGCTCGTTCTTGTCCTTTGGTGTGTGCGGGTGGGCAGGCTACAAGTACCGTAGCACTCTGGGATGATGGCATTGAGAGAGTGCATTATTCTCCGTTTGCCCTCGGCGGTACTACGACTCCGTCCTACCCGTCAGCCATTGACGGATTTTGTGGTTCTTCTTCACTGTTGTTCTTCCAAAAAGGGCACACTCACATTGTGTGCGGTGGAAATATCCAGCTCTCGGGGGAGGAGACAAAGCATTGACGTCTTCAACGAAGCTTTCCGAGCTCGAGCCCCATTGCAGCCCACGGACTTGGTGCTAATACCTTGGCACAATGCCCTACCTTACGAGGATCAAGAGTCTAATAGGCGGCTAATACGGCCAAATGAAAAGCCACATGCGTATATGAGATGAGCGGACAGGCGATACTAGCACTTAGAGCAGCCCTTGTGCCTGGCGCTACATCCTTGATGTCCCCAGAACGCAAGCCGCCTTTTCGCCAATCGATGACATTAAAAAAAGCAAACTGCTTCCCTTGCACTATTCCTCCTCCTACTCGCTAATTCTCCCTCGCACATCTGGAATTCAGCCCAATGCCACCCCAAAAAAAAGCAACCACTTACTGTACCTCACCAGGGCCAATCCCAGCAGAGGGGAGAAAAAAAAAAAAAAAAAGGTTCACTCTTATCGTGTTAGAAAAATCAGCCCATGTCAATGACACATCACATCACATCCAAATCGATAGCGTCGAAAAGAAAAGGCAAAAATTCGAGCAGAAAAGAACCTAAAATTAATTAATTGACCACCCTCTTTTCTCTCCAATCCTTACTGGCTCTTTCGACGTGGCTGCCTGTAAACAAATCGCCATCCCGCTCGTGGGGCTCCAAGAAATGCCGACCCCGGCCAGGGCCATGCAAGCCCAGCTCCACCTCCCCGGCGGCCCAAGGTTGAGAGCTTGCGGACCCTCTCCGAGCCGATAGAGCCTTTCTCGCTGTTCTTGTTTGCACAGCAGGGCTAACGCTCGCTTTTTATCAATTGTATTAGTAAGACGGGGACGAGAGCAGAAAAAGAGGAAACCATCTTTCCCTTCTTTCCTCCCGGCCCAATCCTAGGTCATGATTCTATTGGTGGCGTCTTTATTTTCTCTTTCCTCGTATATGCCCGGTACGTAGTGTGAAAGTGTGAATTAGGTAGTACAAAAATAGTATGTAGAGTGGAAAGAAAGATAGAAAATGAAATCCCCCCCATTACCTTGTGAAAGCTTGTAAACTTCGAACAACTGAACCTCCGAATTACAAAACGTACATATGCATCATCGGAACGCTATCCTTTTCAGGACACAAGAGCCAAATCCTTCTTTCTCCTACCAGTCATCCAAGCAGGCATTATCCATGAACCGCTTCCCCTCTCTCCTCCTCTCAGGTCTTGCCACGCTGTCTCTCTTTCCAAACCCATGGCCCCTGCTCCCCTCTCTTTCGTGCGTGTTGGAAAGGCTTCTCTTAGCTTTACTCCATTCACGTGCCCTCTTCGGTTCATCCTTGCTGGTGTAAAACCAGCAGCAGCAAGGGAGAAACAACAAGACAAAAGTAGACAAAACAAGAAGAAAAAGAAAAGAAAAAAAAAATCGGGTCACTTTTGAAAATCCACTGCTTCCCTTTCAAGTGAGCAGTTGAAGTTTCAGATGCGTCGATAAACAGATTGCGGTAGTCGCTCAGTCGGAATCGTCATATACTCGTTCAATGTGCAATAAACCGTAGATGTTGCTTTCTATATATGGTCTTCTTTTTTTTTTCCCCTCCTGCTTTTGGCCTTTTGGGTGAAACCCCTTTGCCAACGGTTTTTGTCTCCGATTCTGCCAATCAAGAATATCCATCTCTCTCCTCTTCGATTTCACATCCCCCCTTCTAGCAGTGGCATCAGCGCCTTGCAAGGCTCGTCCCACGCTTCACACCTCCTCATTTTCCCAATCCTTCTCCTCAAACATTGGTGGGTTACGAGAGCCATTCACTTCCAGTTTTTCCAAAAACTCCGGTGGAACAGTCGGGATGTATTTACGCTCCCTCTCTCTGTTAACACCTCCGAAGCCAGCTCCATACGATACAAGCATGTCCGTCACCGATGGCAGCGCAAATGGTAGCATATAGGCGGGATTCAGCAACAAACTCTTCGGTGTGCTGTCTTCATCATCTGAGTCTGCACCCTTGATGCTACCCGGCGATTTCATTCGAACGCTCTTTGGAGTTTGAGGGCCGTTTCCGTTAAAGTTGGACGTCACAGGCGTGGTTGGGGCGCTCTCTGCACCAGCCGTCTGGCCACTCTGGTGTCGATCCTTCTTGAGTGCCGCCTCCTTCTGAATGGCAATGAGATACTTCATGGCGCTACCAGGCAATCCCTTTTCGCCAACCTCAGGGCGATAATGCGTAGCCGAGTGAATCAGCTGTTGCGGTGTCATTCTTTTCAACTGCTGGAGCGTGCCGACTAGGGCCTCCAAGTCATCAGCGTCAAGTGATGAAAAGCACTGCAACCATTGCAGGAGTTGGATCACGGGGGCAAGATGCCGCTTGGCCGCATCCATAGTTGTTTCGCCCGATGAGTTCATCTCACCGCCCTCATAGTGTTCCGCTTGTCTGTTGTTTGTTCGCGCCCAGTCTTCCACCATTGACACGTTCATGCGGATCTGCATTGCCTTTGTCCTAGCTAGATACTTGCGATTGGATATGACCCTGTTGAACAACTCACACCCAAGCCAGTAGAGCAGCTGAGAGATGATTTGTGCCGTGATAACGGAGTGGATATCGTAGAGATCCAGCACAAAGAGCGTTGATGATAGTAAGGACGTAACATTTCGAGGTGCGGGTTTCGCCCTTTGTTTTGGGGACGGGGGACGGAATCGCTTCTCGAGGGGTTGCTCCTTGACTGTAGACTTTCTTTTGAAAATCTTCCATTCGTTTTGGAATGCAATGTCCTCAAAGCCCGGGATTGTCTCGTGTTCCAGCATGGCAGGGTCAAGCACTTTGTCCAGGCGTCTCTCGGCGTCTCGGACGATGAGCACAAATATCTCGTTGATAAGTTCAGCCAGCTGAGCCTGGAACTCGGTAGTTGCTTCAACTAACCCAGCATCTTTCTTGAGATAATGCAGGAGTAGCGTCGCGTTTGAAATCCAAAAAGCCAGTATAGTCATGTCCCACTGGGACTTTTCAACTACGGCATTGATGCGCTCCATGGCAGATACCAGCAACCTCCTCAACAGGTCTGGGCTAGCATGGTAGTGTGCATATCTGGCACTGAGGAATATCATGTTGGCCGGTACAGGCTTCTGCGACGGCGATCGCTGGGGAGTCATGTTTGTGACAACAATATCCAATAATCGGCCCAATTCATGTTCTTGGAAGACAAACATTTGGTCATGGAGACAGCGGCTCCAGTCAAACTCCTGTTGCTCTTCCTCAAATTCGTCCATGGGCTAAAAAAAAGATCATGTAATGTTAGAGGAAAGTCCAAAGATTGCCAAGGAGTAGTGTCGGATTGTAACTATTCAGACATACCTCTGGTTGGTCATCCATCCCAACATTTCCCAGGTCTACTTCTAGATCACGAGCACTCTCCATCATCAGCCGTCTCCGCATTTCGTTTTCTGCCATTTCTTCTTCGAACCGATCTTGAGAGAAGCCAGCGTTATAGAAATCACCCATAATACCCGCACTCCCAATATTATATCCATTATCATGCAGATAAAACGACATATCGCTATCCGGGGGAACAAAGTCGAAAGCTGTCCGTCCGGATGATGTCTTTTGCTCCGACGATGCTCCTTTATCGAGTAGCAACTTTGATATCACTTTGTGGCGATTCGTCATTGCCCACATAAAAGGTGTCCATTGGTTGCGGTCCTGCTGGTTCACATTGGCACCCGCTTCAATCAGAGCCTCGACGACCTTCTCGTGACCCTTGATAAATCAGTTAGCAAATATATCACAACGGTATCCTCTCCGCATAGCATGGAGGGGGCGACGAACAAAACAACTGGCGTAAATCAATGCTGGAGTTCCGTCGTCATCGGGAAGATTGACGTCCACAAAAGGCTTCGCATCTCCCTCAAGCAGCTTCTTGACCTTTTCGGTATCACCATTGCTGGCAGCCATGGTCAATGCTCTTTGGAGTATGTCCTTCTTCTCAGACTCCGACATCTTGTCGTTGTTTATGATAGCATCTTCATCTTCGAGTGCCGCTTCGTTGCGGTGGGCTGCTTGGGCTGCCAACATTTCCATCAGTCTGGCGTCGCTGTCTTTCGGGCCGCTGCCAGCGAAATCGTCTTGGTCCGTCGGGTCGTTCAAGGACAGGTTTTCGAAGTTGAGCGGCTTAGCCAGTACCGGCGAGGTGAGAAACTGAGATTGGCCTGCATGGTGTTAGCGAGTTGGTTCGTATTCGCCAAACTTGGCATTCATCGTAAATAGCTAGGCAGCTAGGTAGTTATTAAAAGGGGGGGGGGGGGGGGGGGGGGGGGGGAAGAGAGATATCGTTTTCGCCACGGAACACACCTTGCCAGCCATCGTACATCTCCGTCTCTGGCATTGTGAATTCTCCAGCAGCATGTCGTCGGTCATCCAAGGACTTTGGCAGGTCATCGGGAATGGCTCGCGGTTTGCTCTCGAAGCCATTATCGCTGCCAGTTTCCCCAGGATCCATGGTGGGAGGAGGGGCAGGGCCAGAGTCCCTGGCTCATGGGACGTCCCGTCGCTTGTTGCACTTGGCCGATGCGGTCGCCACGGATGAGCTGCTGGCCCGAGTAAGGTATCGCGGTCGAATTAGAAGCCACTGCTGGTTTGCTCGAGCAAAAGGCGTGCCTGGAGTCGCGTGCGAAGTGTCGTGGACAAGAGAGCGGTCTACCTATCCTACCCACTTTCAATTGCTGGTAGCAGTTCTGGGGCTAACGTTGCTGGCAGGTTCGTCATCGGGTAACGATAGTATCCCCGGAGATGGTCCGTGCGCACACCGTCTGGCCACTTGCTGGAAGCAGAGTTGAACCGCCTCGAGAATTAGCACCAGGGGCTCTCTATGATAAAAAGACGAGCATTTCTCCAAGTTTCACGAAGAAAACAAATTTATTTTCTTTTTATTTTCTTGCTAAGTTGGTGAGTTTATCTTATCATACTTTTTATACGCATATATAAGCCAGTCAGAAGTACATCTACATACAAGTAAGAAATCCATTGGTGCCCAAAGGGGTCGCCCCTCAATTCGATCCGTCCAGCTCTATACCGCTCGCTTTCCAAATGCCCGGAATCGCTTTACTCCTCCATCAGGTATCATAGTAAGTCTAACATGCGTAAAGGGCACATCTGCCACTGCGGAAGCAAACTTGTGTTCCTGGTCGGGCCCAGTCTTGCTTGGAGCCACAGTCTCAACCCATCCGTCAGACTTGATATCGGGCTCTCCCTCTCCTTGCCACGCCAGACCGTGGACCGCAATCTTTTGAGGGAAGTTTCCTCGAAAGTGTGCAGTGTCGATGACAAACTCTTGAATAAGTCCCGGTGCGCCCAGTTTGACTATCGTCCAATCAATGTGATCCTTGCCTCGTGAACGCTTCGTCTCCCAGCCATCACCCATGTCTTTCCCACGGCCCGGCAGCAGCAGGTTGTCCTTGGAGCCAAAGTGTTGATCACTGCATGAAATGGCGATACCACCATTTTGTGCCGCCGCAAGATCAAAAATGGCATCCTTGTCTTCAGGGAATACGGGGACAGCATGCCCAAACAGCCGGAATCTGGCAATGCCTCCGTCGGGATACATGTTGAGCCTCACGTGAGTGTACTGCTTGCCTGTGGGCTCGTTGAGGCTCCAGCCGTGCCTTTGACTCGGTCCACATTCCCGAATATCGAGGATTGTTTCCCATTTACCTCGACCCCCTTTCCACGAAACAACCTCGTCATCGTTGTCGCTGAAGCAACCTTCGACAGAGATGGCGGGAGCATTGTTGCCGTTAAAAAAGGCCGTGTCTACTTCAACGCCATTAACAGTGCCTGAGGCGACGCCGAGGCGAATCACAACCCAGTCGAATTCCTCGGGATTGTGGCGTCTTGTTTCCCAGCCGTCGTACCACGCTCCGGTATAGACCATCTTGCCCGGCTGGCGAATGGGAGCCGTAGGAGTTAGGAGATTAGCTGCCTCAGCAAACCACTGATCCGAAAACCCAAGGACCTTACCACCCAATCCCGCTGAGACAAGGTCTAGTTCGTCGAACCTCATATCAGTAGATATTTCCTTACTAGGTGCGAGATAGAATAGGGCGAGACAAATGTTTCGGCATACCTATGCATGCTGGGCGGAATGCCGAGTCGATTTCATCGGGGCCCAGTTGCGTTGCCTTGACGGCTTGCAGCTTATACTCAACCTCATCAGCAAACGAAGACATTGTGAATGAAGTATTGAAATAATGATTTAGCAGCAGCCAGTAGACAGTCGTATATCACGCTAGAGTGCAAGATTGCTCGAGAGGCAGAAATCAGAAGTGAGGTTTATCTTCCTATGCACCAACGGCCTGATGAGAGGTCATAGACCATGCGGGTGCCCGCCCCTCTATTAGGTAGACATCGGCCACCTCCGACGCCGGCCTGCGGAACGGTAGCCCGGCATCAACCGGGCAGATAAGCGGGGAAGCGCATCTAAAATTCATGTTTGTAGTGATCTGCTGGTCTGCTGATAGCGAAGTAAATTGGCAGAAGGATCCAGACATGTCTCAGCCACTGCATCGTAAGGCTCATTCGAGTCGAGGATGGTGGCATCTTACGTACTTTAAGATCTGGTTAGAACACTAAAGTAGCTAATCCACCAATATCTCAAATTTCCGCTGCTTTGAATAGAACCATTGGCTACTTGATTTTGAGCATTGATATCACGAATCGATAAAACCCAACCTTCGCCGGCGCGTACACGACGCACACACGAACAATTGCCTCTTCCTATGCTAGCACATGGGCGGACTGCTACCCTTATCCATTTCCCAATTTCAGGGTAGCCCTACTTAGAGATTGGACATGAGATAAGGTGCATGTATGCATGTACGTATGTAGGGTACGGCCCTCTTGGGGGAAAAAGATCCGAAGCAAGCCAGCGCAGGCATTGCGGGGGAAGAGGCAGCTAAAAGTTTAGACCCCGCAAGCGGCCGATACGGCATATTGTACGGAGTAGATGACCTAGATATTGGGTGGGCTATGCATCTGATGCTAATGTTGTATCCCGATACCCAAGCTCAGCAAAATCACGAGAACAAGGTAAAGGGCAATAGACCTCTTGCGTCCAGAGAGTGAAATGTGTTACAGGCTTGTGCTGCGCCGCATCACGGCTCTCGCCAAATATATGCCTCCACGTACCACCAATGCCACCGCTTTTGACGTGCTGGCCAGGTAAAATGGTGATAGCTGCCCTCTGCGTGCATCTCAGCATTCACTTCAGCGCCTCCCTGCGCTACGGCCCCCATATTTGGCGGCCGTGGTACAGCTTGGTTGCTAAACAACAAGTGCTGATTGGCCCAGCTTCCCGATAAAGCTGTTATCTATCGCTCTGCCCCACGGCTGCCAACCCGGATCGAGACTGCTTGGCCTGGACGCCTGTCAATGACGTGCTGTTCCCGGATGGACGACATCAACGCTCGCCACCTTGCAGCTTTTCTTCACTTCTCATGCTGTGAATTTCTCTTTTCCTTTGTTTTCTCTCGACCGCCATCGCTTCGTGATCTGAAGATTTGATTGCTACGAGACAAGAAATCGACTGCATAAAAGCCTCTATCGTCAACCATCATCATCTCTGATCCCGTTGTCGCGGAACTGGACAGCTTATCGGAGCTTAGGGATACCGCTGCTTCAGACCTCAAACTCTAAACTTGCCCGGGCATTTTACCATCACTTAACCACATATTTCCTGCCATTAAGCTATTGAAATCAACATCATGGCCAGTGCTACAGGCGTACCGGAAGCGCGCCTCAGTGACACGGAGGAGACTGGGCTAACGAGTCGCGAGACCGAACCACTCCTCGGCCGTCCTGGAGATGCTGCGCAAGAAGAGGGCAAATCAGCCCTCAACAATCTAGTTCTTGGTATGTAAATATTGCGCATCATGCTCGAACCAAAAAAAAAAAAAAAAAAAAAAAAAAAAAAAAAATTAGCGTCCTAACACGAAATACAAATAAAGGCACTGGTATCATTGCGCAAATAGGCATTTGGCTTCTTGTCGTCCTCATCTGGGCCAGTGTCTTCACCAAGCCTCTCATCCTCTTCTCAGGACATCCTCTCGCTCAATCTTTTGCTGTTCTGGTGTTGGTGCAATCCATCCTCTCCTTGCAGCCTACCCACACCCTCGAGCAGAAACGCCTGGGACAACGTATCCACGCTCTACTTAACCTAGTGGCCTTCCTTTCTCTCGTTGCCGGCGTGACTATTATCGAATACAACAAAGTGAAGAACAACAATCCACACTTTCACTCCGTACATGCGTACCTTGGCGTCATTACCGCTGTGATACTTCTTCTACAATATCTCGTTGGGTTTACCATGTTGGTTACGCCGAAGCTGTATGGGGGCGAGGAGAATGCCAAGGCTATCTGGAAGTACCACCGATTCAGTGGATATTTCATCCTGTTGCTTCTGCTGGCGACCGTCAACAGCGCGACAGGAACGGACTATAACAAGAATGTATTGAAGTTGAAGCTCTGGGCTACACTCGTCTTGTCGATTCTCGTTGTTATCGGAGTGTATCCTAGGATCCAGAAGCAGAAGCTGGGGCTGGGCCGGCCAAGTTTGTCGCTTTGAGTGGCTACATATCAGATTGATGTTCTAGTTTGACAAGTGTATTTTAGCATCACCCTGCTTTATCATTTAACTGAAGTTGCTCCTACGTAAGAGCAGCTGAAAAATACATCATTGTAATTCAACTTCCCCAAAAATTGATGCTGTGGTCATCAATATCCGTTGTCATGCCTGTGCTCAGAATACGAAGCACCACAGCGTTGCAACCGAGGGGAAATGGAACGCTTGAATCTATATCCGTGATCAAATAAGTAGTATCAGTAGTATCTTTTAATTATATCCCCTGGCGCCGTTGACATGCTCCTCATACACGAAGCCGCTGCGCCTCATTCCGGTCGTGCTAAGCTTTTAACGATGCCGAACGGCGAGGGGGTCCGCCGCCTCCGTTCAAAGCAATTTAAAAATGTGGGGGGGAGAGGGTCCACCGTCCGAGAGACAGACGAGGAAAGGCTTGCCTGAGTCGGGAATACCTCTTCTCTTCTGTGCGCCGAAGGATGACAGGCTGGCTGGCTGGAACTTCTTTTTCTCTTTCCGTCCAGAAGACATCCCGGCCTAAGGGATCCTGGGCCTAGTCTTGGAGGATGCGCAGTAGACGCAGGCCCCAAGTGGAGCATAGAATATCGCGTCGAGATAGACACGAGAAAATAGAAAGAAGAAAACTAAACCTGTTCCTGGCGGTGGTGATCCATCTGGTAGATCGCCATCTCTGTGGAAATACCGGTCGGAACGATTTCAGGGTTGATCTCGGATACCCGGGGGGGCGCCGAAGCTACGACCTGTGTACATACAATCAATTCTGTACATGCGTTGCAGGTAGAAATTGAATGAGAGCATAGGGAGGTATTCCCATTAGGGCTAAAGGGTCTCTCTAGCCTAGAGCCTAGAGCGGTGCCTAGTAGTACAGTGTGCATAGAACGCATAAGAGGTTACTATGTAGTCTGCTAGATAGTATAGTAGCCCAGTCCGTGCTGCTTTCTCTCTTATCCCACACATACGGAGGACTTACTCGTACTGTTACGACCACTTTCTTCTCCTCCTCTTAGCTCGTATCTATTTCGCCATATGGAAGTCGTTTGCGGAAAAAAGAGTAAACTTAGAAGTCTGCGTGTAAAGTGATAAACTTCAGCTCTAGCCCGGCAGGCTGCAGCAGAGAATGCTGCAATGTGATACTGCGCACGCGCAAAAGCCCATTGCTGGTAAAAACAACGCTTTGCTCCTCCGCTTCTGCTCGCAGCGCTGTGCATTGGAGCGACACGTGTCTCCATCGGGTCCACTTCCCCAATACGGATTCGGCCAGGATCTCCAATGGTACGCCACCGACGCAATTGTGGGCCACAAACTCGACTTCCGACGTCACCCACCGTTAGAGCAAGCGCGCCTTCCTGGTTTGTCGAGCCATCATTTTCTGTTAGTTTTTGGGAAAAGAGTTGTTCCTAAATCGGTCGACGCTTGAAGTGCCTGTCCAGTACAGAGAAAAGGAGGCTTTGCATGCTCTGTAAAGCTACTTCGTATAGCAGCAGCATCAGATAAACTTGTATTATAGAACAGGACGTAGTTGTGGCGCAGAAGCGAGTTTCTCTTCATCTCCCCCACCTTCAATAATACATGCTGTACCTAATCTACCAATTTTTCCTCTCTCTTAAGGTAGGTACCTAGGTAGGTACTGAGGTAGTCGATGTCCTGAGTGTACACCGAAACGTTCGTACTCCGCTTCTCTTGTTTTTGGGCTTTTTTCATTTTCTGTGGTAGCATCGGTATTGCGCATATTGTATCTATAAGAATTTGTCGGTCAGCATGTGCGGCTGAACTTCCTTTTTACTACTGCGACAGTGCCTTAGTAGCGGATTCCTACGTCATTTCGCCCCCGACCTTGTGCTTGTTATACCTTGAACGCAGCAATCGTGACTAAACAGGCTCGGGTAGCGGCATCGTTTTCACATGTATCAGTCCACCTTGGGTCAGCTTCTCTTCTCTTTCTTTCCTTCTCTTTTTAGATGAATGTGGCGTGATACGGTGTGAAGGCAAACAAAGCTTAGACCGGCAACGAGCATGTACACTTACTACTGTAGTAGTAAGGAATTCTGCTGGAAATGCCTACCGGCGTAAAGCGGGTCGTTGTCGAATGAGCCATTGTGGATACAGCCGGTGTCCCGGACAAGATGCTCCCGCTGCCCTAGGATTTGTCGAAACGATGAGCTTTGATGAAGTTCTCGATGAAAGATACGGCTGGGCTACGAAGTAGCATTACCGCAACTGTATGTGCGAGTCAGCGAGCCACACAGCCGACGCGGCAGAGCAGTATACGGTGTAGCACCTGTATCGGGGTGGTGGGAAACCTGCATCCTCTGTACATGCTTGCCCATCTTAACCTGGTAGCTGAACCCCTTTAGGGTCGATGCCCTCACAACCATGCCCCTTGGGAGCTTGACACCTACCATCTGGATTCCGCCCTGAGCTGGTACATACTATGCAGCAGTCTAGAGACTTGCTGACTCGGACCGATCGCCTACCGCCAGGCTGTATTGCATTGCATCGAGTGCCAAGGTGGGTTTGGTTTTGGCAAACTTTGCATCACCTTCCCTGCCACCCATATCGGTGGCCGATTCTTTCTAGCGGATAACTATCTACCATCCCCACCGCAGTGTGTACAGGGGGCCGTCGACGATGAATGCTGGAAGCAGATGGTTTGGCATGCCGTGAGGTGGATATAAAGCCCGCGGACGCAGGTATGAATACCTAGTACTAGTGAATGGCCTGGGTCCTGGTGGTCATGGGAAGCGTCCGATTTAGGCGCTCGATCATTTACTGGCCGTCCTTTTGCTTGCTGGATATTGGCTAAATGAGCGATCAAGCAGCCCTCCCAAGGCGTTGCATGGCGTTGAAATTCGAGTGTCTCGGTTGAAATCTCCCCCCGCGGCTCGCCAAGCGCGCACCCGGTAGGCTGGAATATTACAGCAGGAATTTTGCCAATTATAGCCGACTAAAAATAAACCTTCATTTGGCGAAGAGCCTGCAGCTGAAAGGAATCTACAACAAGTTAAGGCAAGATATGTAGCTGTGAGAGCCGGGGGTGGTCTAGAGCCGATGCTGCGCACACACGTCGTGGGTTCATGTGACCTTCGGGCGATGGCGGGAAAGGGAACAGCGAGATGAAAGGAAATGAAATGAAATGATAAAGCTCGCCAGGGAACGCAAACTTTTTTTCTTCTCATCAAACGATAGGAGGATAGAATACGAAATCTTTTGCGGCTGCACCGGGGGCATGCTTTACAAATGACGTCCATTCGGCAGGCCCCGTGGGGAGATCTCACGTATTGACGGGGGGCTTCTTGACGAAGCCGAGCTCTGTGAGACAGAGGCAAATGGCGATACACCGTCATCAGGCGTGGAGGGGAGAGTCTTTCAGCCTCTCCGAGGGCGGATCAGCGGTCGATCTGTCGGTCCATTTCCCGGGAGGCATCGCATGTTGTCCACGTTGTACTAGAGCGGCCACAGGTATGAGGTTTGCATGATTTGCATGTACGTCACCTCATGGCCTGACAAGCTTTGAGCTTGTGATGATTCGTCTTTCGTACCCGGTGTTGGCCATCCCCCTGCGAGGGGTTGCACGGCGTCGGCGTTGCAACTTGGGCCAAGATTAATGCAATCTGGGCCGCCGCATGGATGCTCAGACGCATACCAGCCAGCAGGTGGTAGTGCCTAAGTAGTAGCAGACAGGGCCGTGGGTTGCGATATGTATAATACCTAGTAGTATATAGGTAGTATGGAGCACAAGTAATAGTGTAGTACCCGTAGTCTAGCAGCAGCAGCAGCAGCAGCAGCAGCAGCAGCCGCCCATTGAACTTGGCCCCAAATAGCAAAGACCGCAGAGAGTGCCAGCAGAACCAGCATCACGGCACGGAGCGCTTCGTTGGATAGGGCTAGTCCTGTGGTTGGCGTCCGGGGAAAGGCTGTGTGGATGCCAGATCAAATTTGCAGGGCCGCAGATTAGGGGAAGTGAAAAAGACGCTTTTCCCTCGTGGCTTGGCCGCAATGTGCCAAGTGCCGATGGAAGCTTTTTGTTCGACGCCTGGTAAGCTGCTAGCGTCCCATCTGCGTAACGCACAGCGGCCCCCCTGGCTGGACGTCTGGATTGTGGGCCAGGCGAGGTGTTGAGCGACGGAGCGAGGATGGAAGGACGAGGGATCGTGTAGCCCTTGGTTCATCTTGATATCCGAAGGATCGAAGAAAGCGATGCTCACCTGCACCTCCTCTGTAGCGTCCATGCCCAGGTGCTGTCCCAAATCGACGGCGGCGGCTGAATATAGTACATGTACAAGCAAGTACCAAGGCCCTCCGTACCTGGTGTGTACATGGAGGAGTCTTGTCCCGGTAGCGTTCCTCTTGGCAAATAGCTGTGGCACCAACAGCTGGAGCGCCCAAAAGGTCTCCCGTGTATACAGGCGAGGTACATGCACGTAAACCGCCAGCATCGGGCCGCACCATTACATCGCTGCGGCGGTCAGCATTTTAGACCAAGCACACATGGCTTCACGATTCATGCTCCGTGCCTTGTGCCACAGCAGATCAAGGCCCTGCAAAGCATGATCGAGGCAGGCAGAGCAGGAGACGCGGCACAGCATTGCAAACTCTCCATATTCCTGTCCGTCTCACCACTTGGACATGCCGGCCCACCGACGCTGCTGCCACTACAGGAGCCTCTGCTCTGGCACGTACAAGTTAGCAGGTACAATCCAACTTGGGCGACTGGTTGACCCGGTGCCACGCACTCTGGTCAAGGTCAAGCCAGGCCAAGTCAGCCATCCGTCCTCATGTTGTCAGCGGTCAGCAGTCAGCAAGCTGCTGAAGCAGACATCCATAGCTGCCAGTTGCCTGGGAACACGTCGTGTCTTTGAGTATAGCGTCTGCGAGGATATGCAAATCTGTAGCACGGAGCACCCCCAGGCAGGTTGACACGTCTGCTCCAGAGGTGGCCAGGCAGGCGTACCAATCGGCTCAGCAGCTAAAGGCAGGGAGGCGCTCTTGAGAAAAGCTCCGCGTGGTCGCAATTTAAAGTTGGAGGATAGGCACGCGAGCTTCACGATGCCCGCCGCAACGGCCAAGGCCAAGGCCCGCCCTCTCACTATGTACGAAACGGTGCCGGCGTTCGGAGTCGTGCTTATACGGCAGCATGTACCGCACTCCCAGGCAAAGCTGCGGCCACAGGAGGATACCACTACTGCCACGACTAGTAGTTTTAGCATTATAGTCTCCGATAGCAGCTGGTGAGAGACCCATGGCCGCGGATTGGCGTTGTCAAAGCCCGTGCTCTGTACCAATGCTCTGGCACATGCCTAGTGGCAAGAATCAGTCCCAGAAAGTGGGCAGACCACCAGCAGGACTAACTCGTGCCGGGTATTCCCAAGCGGTACCCAGTAGTATCCATTGCCTCACACACAGGCAGGGAATAAAAAAGTAAAACAAAGGGAAAAAAACCTCTTCCCACCCCTTGACGTGGGGCCTCTAGGTTCTTGTCTGGGATCGCTGGATTGGTTCACCGGAAGGGCCTGGGGGGTTGGCTGGAGCCTCGAGCGTTTGCTAGCGGGCTCTTAGTGAATAAGGCCTGGGCTGATGATGGATGCCAGCCTCCAGTTCCTGTCGTCACCTACGTCATACCCTCTTTTTTCTCGCTCCCCTAGACGGCGCCTGCACAGGCCTTTGCCGGGGGCGTTTCTGGGGGGCGATGACATGGGGGCATTTTCTGGCAGCAAAAGCGCCTTTTTGGCAGGGCCGCCAAACTTTTGCAATCGTTGATCCGTCCAGCTCTTTCGCGCCCCCGTTGCGACGCCTCCCTTTGCCTTGCCTGCGCTGTGCAGCGTCTGCAGGCCCAGACCTGTGCTTCTGCTGTCCCGAGAGCCTCTGATTCTAGCGCTGCTGGACGCCGGCAGCCGCGCCGCAGCGTCTATCCCGTCCAGCTGCCCCCTCGTTTGCCCCGAGGTTGTTCCCACCCCTGCTCTGTGGCCACTAAACGAGACCACTCACTCACTGTACTGTACTTACCGCACTGCTGTGACGTGTGAGGAGGCCCTACAGCCTACAGGGAAGCACAACCACCACCGTTCTTTTCCCGCACACTTGACCTCCAAACCTCTCCACACAACCAGCCCGTTTTGTCCGCGTAGCGAGGCACAAAGAGCGATACTGCAGGAGGCTAAAAACGAAACAGAAAGAAGGAACAAGGACAAAGGATTGAAAGAGAAAAGACATAAGGGAAAAAAAAAAAAGAGAAGCAAGAACCAAGCATCCAAAAAGGGAAGACAAGTAAGTGAGAAAGCTGGGTGACCAAAAGCGAGAACGAGAGAGGCACACAACGAGATCGGGATCGAGACCGCGACCAAGAAGCAGAGACCGACAAGGACGGACTTGGGCCAAGGCAGAGACAAGACACAAGCAGCCAGACCGATCCCCGTCTTCGCCTTTGCTGTCCTTTCTCTATCGATCAGCTGCCGCTGCTGGCATCTTTCGAGCCTTTCCTGCGCTTTGGATGCTGCCGCCCTGTCCTGCGTATGCGGCATCCCACTTGCCGACCTGACCTCTCAGAGATCCACCGCCATCCCTCTTCTGCGGGAAGAGGCATGAGGCATGCCACGCCAGAGCTACTCGGCCGAAAAGAGAGCCCTATTCTCGCCCTCTCTCTCGACCCCGGCTTCTTCTACTTCAACCACAACAGCAACAGCAACCGAAACTGCAACCGCAACCGAAACTGAGGCTCCCTCTCCCACCACTTCGACAACCTCCTGGACGCGCCAACTGGAGCTGCCCACCAAACCATTTGCTTATTGGACCGTTGATGCTCCCGACCCGACCGCTGCGAGAAATGGACAAGTGACGGCCAGCACCACTTCACAAGATCGATATGCCCATGCCCATGCCAAAAGTGCAATGGCAGGACGCCGCTCTAGCTACCCGTTCTCTTCCCTGAACCCCCCTGAGGACTCGGTCTCTTCCACTCCTAGGCCTTTCTTCCCACGGCGTACGACTGACGTGAATGGCCGGAGTGTCGGTGATGACCACGAGGACCGTGTCGATGTTGATGTCGATATTGATATCCATGCTGTAGACGATAGCCACAATGCTACGTCCTCCGCTGCCTTTGTTTCCTCTGTAATTAATGGATCTGCAGAAGACGAGACACCAGCTGCTGATGGACCGAAGAAGCAGCTTGTTGAATACCGGGAAAAGCTGATTCGCGATCTGGAGCAGCGGGATGTCCCCGCCCAGGAACTGCATCTGGGCCTGTCCGACAAGGGCCGTGTGGCCCCCATTCTCGAAGATGCAGTATTGAATTCTCCCTATCCAACTTCGGCCTTCACCTCTACGTCGACTGAGTCTGGAAATACAATCCGAGGAGGCATCACCCCGGCACCTGTTGCCAGTACCCCCTCATATCCTTTTCCTCGGATGACTCTACCACCCGAAAGTCTTGGCCACTCAAACTCCCCTCAATCTTCTACTGCCCATATAGGTTCTGCTCGCTTCTCCCAAACCTTGGCGTTCGAACACCGCGGCGTGCTCGACAGAGTCTTATCAGAGACATCGACCCCCGCTTCGACTTTGACCTTTCACCCAGGAGGCACCCCACAGCCCGAGAATTTTGACTTTCCTACACCCAACCTCTATGATCTCTCGTTGATGCTATGCGCCGAGCCAGGACTTGATGCCTGGTGGAGCACTGTCGTCCAGGTTATGCGAGAAGTATACAAGGCCGAACGTGTGACATTAGCAGTCCCCGCCGATACTACCGATATTGAAAACGTTCCATGGGGGCAGAAGGCTACATACAACGAACATGAACAAGATGATCTAAGTCTAGAGTACCTGGCGAGGGGGACTAGCGTCATGCAGAGCACGGAGAATGAGGCTAATGATGATACTCTTGCTGAATCCGCCATTGAAACGCCATTAAACGGACCACAGCGACCTGCGTTTGCTAGTCGGCACTCGTTCACCAGTTTCGAAGAGAACAAGGAAAGGTCACAAGGCGGAGCAACGATGGCACCTCAGCGTCCCAGCTACTTGAGAAGCCAAACTCATTTCCCACCCATCCAAACTGCAGCGGAACGGGAAAATGACCACACAAAGCTTAATAAAAGCACCTTAGAACAGCATGACTTTCTTGAGGAAGAGCAACAGCAACAGCAGCCAATCCCTAGCTGGGAGGCGCCTCTTGTGCCCAAGTATGCTGGCCAGGGCAGAGTCCTTCCTGTCCTCCAGGCTCTTGACTATGAAGCTGACCCCCTCATTGATCATACTGGCATCATGAGAGTATTGGAACGCGGGCGGCCTGTTGCCTTAACAAGAAACTATCCCTACTTGGCTCCGGCAGCCCCGACTCCTTCATCATCATTAGGGCAGGCCAGTGCTTTCAAATCTGGTCCCAGGACACCTGGCCAAGAGCTGCCGCGGAAACCTAAAAATAAGCGGTCAGACTCCGCGACCAAACTGTCATCTATCTTTGCCGGTCCGACCGGTGCTCGTGCGTCTGTCAGAACTAAGGTTCATTTCGGCGACACGATACTGGACGACGACAGCCCTAGACCACCTACGCCAAAGTATGAGGAATACGAACAAACTCCCCCTTCGCCATGGTCACAATCTCCAGCCCCGTCACCCGCAGTCAGGCCCGACCCGAAGGAAAACCCCTTCTTTACGGACGCCACCGTTGACGAAGAATCGTTCAATCCCGACCCCACGCCGACAGATTATACCACCATGCGGCCTCCCGAAGCTATTGGCGTTGATCACTCTTGGACGGTTTTGCACATACCTCTTTTTAACGTCGTATTTTCTAAATTACAACCGCGTTCTTTCAGGCTTGACGCCACGACGATGCACCAGAAGTCACAGTCGCGAAGCAGCCAGTCGCCCGAGAGTACACACCGCCAACACTCTACGGAGCCTGAGAGCCAAAAAAAGGATAAGCCTCCCCCAATTGCTATTTTGTCTATTCTTAGCCCTGTTATTCCGTACCCCTCCAACCTGCGGCACTCGCTAGAGCATTTTGCACCGCACCTCGCCACTTCTTTTTCGCAGTGCCGACACTATACCCATCTTGAGACAGAACTTGCGGGTCTCAAACGAAGAAGACCATCTACCGCTGGATTTGGCGCAGTCTCGGCGTACGGGCGGCCTGTGGAAAGCTCCACATATCTCGCGGCAGAAGAGACGGCAGCTTTGCAGCAGTCTTTAGCTGGGAGCATTACGAGTCCCAGCGACTATTCTGGAATCTCCAAGAGTGCGACTGGCTCTCCGATTGGGACTCCTGGCTGGGATCCAGGCTCTCTAGTCTATCTAGCCGAAAAGCGTCAGCACGCGGCGAGCCCCGCAGGAGTCTCTCAATCTTCAGGCAGCTATTTCAGCAGTAAACTTGCGAGACAAGGTTCACAGCGGTCTCGGGCTGGATCGAAAGATGATCCTACTGGAGATGTGCGGCCCTCTCGTTTGTCCGGCAGCAAAGCTCCCCAGACTTCTCAAGCTGCCGCGATAGACGTTGACGAGTTGACGGACACACACACTGGGAGCTCGGAGGAACCCAATCAAAGGGACGTTCATTCCCGGAATAGCCTGGATGGCAGCGTTGATCTTGACCCCTTGTTGGCCGATAGATTTCCTGAACCGTCAAAATTCGAAATGGGTCCGTATAAAGCAGGCCATTCCCGGCTTCACAGCTACGGTGCGGACTTTGCTTCGACGTTCCAGTCTCTACCTCCTGGTTCCAGTCTACTTAGCCGGCCTACGTTAGCATCTAGTGCAAGCGGTTTACCAAGAAGCAATTCATTCATGGCTTCGGCTGCAGACATGCCGCCCCCGTCTGATAAATTGAAAGGCCTCATTCTAGACTCGCTACCCGCCCAAGTATTCGTTGCGTTACCGCATACGGGCGAGATCGTCTGGGTAAACAGCCGTTATCTGTCATACAGAGGACAGACAGTGGCAGATTTGTCTGCGGATCCCTGGGGCAGCATTCACCCAGATGAACGTGATGAGTATCTCGCTGCCTGGAGTCGCTCGTTGCGGACCGGAGAGCAATTTTCCAGTACTGTGAGAATCAAGAGATTCGATGGCGTCTATCGATGGTTCTACGCTCGTGCTGTAGCTTCCAAAGACAAGCGAGGAGCTGTTGTGCAATTCCTGGGGTCTTACTTGGACATCCATGAGCAGCGCATCGCCGAGATAAAGGCGGCGCGCCAGCAGGAGGTCGAGGCCTCGGAAGCGAAGCACCGCCTCTTGGCAAATTTGATACCGCAGATCATCTTCACTGCCACAGAGGAGGATGGTGTGACCTTTGCAAACGAACAATGGCTGTCTTATACTGGCCAAAGTTTTGAAGACGCGCTGCGCCTAGGCTTCATGGATTTTGTTCACCCAGAAGACTTGGCTAGGTGCCGCATTCCATCTACACAGTTGGCGCAGTCATCCAATCGAAAGGGTAATAGTGGTAGCTACGGGTCGAGCGACAACACACCCACGGGCGTGGCAAAGGAACGGCCAAAAGAGCCTCAAGGCCATGAACGACCACCAAGTCAGCAAATTGATTCCAGTAGAGAGAAAGGCTATCAACTCGCCAATCCTGACCTGGCAGAGTTGGCTAGAAAAGGAGTCATCAAAGTCGGAACTGATTCGAACGGCCGGCCATCATACACAACAGAAGTCCGATTACGTTCCAAGACAGGAGAGTATCGGTGGCATCTTATTCGTTGTGTTGAGATTGATACCATAGATTTTGGCAGCGGCGCAAGTTCCTACTTCGGTTCTGCCACCGATATAAATGATCACAAGCTCCTTGAGGCCAAGTTGAAAGAGGCTATGGAATCAAAAGGCCGATTCTTGAGTAACATGTCTCATGAGATTCGCACTCCACTTATCGGAATATCGGGCATGGTAAGCTTCTTACAGGAAACCACACTCAATGAAGAGCAACGCGACTATACCAATACCATCCAGACGAGCGCAAACAGCCTAATTATGATCATCAACGACATTCTAGACTTGTCCAAAGTGGATGCCGGAATGATGAAGCTGCGATACGAATGGTTCCACACTCGTTCGCTCATCGAGGATGTCAACGAACTTGTCTCGACCATGGCTATTGCGAAGCGACTGGAGCTGAATTACCTCGTTGATGCGGATGTCCCAGCGTGGGTCAAAGGAGACAAAGTTCGGATTCGTCAGGTTCTGCTAAATGTCATTGGAAATGCTATCAAATTTACATCGGAGGGCGAGGTTTTCAGCCAGTGCAGAGTATACACTGGTGATGACGGAACGGCAGGACAAAATGAAATCATGCTGGAATTCATCATAACCGACACAGGTCGTGGCTTTTCAGAGGAGGAAAAAGCTCTCATATTCAAGCCTTTTAGCCAGATCGACGAGAGCAGTACCAGACAGCACGGTGGCAGTGGGCTTGGCCTAGTTATTTCAAGGCAGCTTGTCGAGCTTCATGGAGGCAAGATGGAAGGAACGGCTGTCATGGGCGAGGGTTCAACGTTCACTTTTACAGCCTGTTGCGCGCTACCCACAATGGAAGATCAGCCTCCAATGCCCAGCAGTCCCGGCTCAACAGCGACTGCCGTACCTCTGGCAGCAGCAGCAGATGAAGCTGAGCGGCCCAGCGATCCCACGGCGACCCTTCTACCGGCTCAGCACACGCACAGCGGAGATGAGACTATCCCTGCGAACGTGGAATTCGTTTCCCCTGGAGGCGACTCAACTGGAAGCTCCAGCCAGTCTGCCCACTCTGGCCAATCGCTCATTACAGATAGGTCATCGATAACGTCGATGAACACGGGACTGGCTCGTTTCAGCGAGGCTGCCAAAGCTAGTGGCCAAGACCTGTCGCAAATGAAGCTTGAGATGCCATCCGATCGGAGCTCAGTAACACGAAGCGTGACGCCAGAGAAGCTACAATCTGAAGCGTTCCGCCCACCAATGTATCTGATACTGATTATTTGCCCCCAGACACACAGTCGTGAAGCAACTGCACAGCACATTGAGATGACCTTACCAAAAGATGTACCTCATCAGATAACTGCTGTCGGCAGTGTCGAAGAGGCTGAAAAGTTTATCGGAGGCGATGACCCAATCCGGTTCACTCATATTGTCATCAATCTAGGCGAAGCAGAGGCCGTCATTAGTGTCATGGATCAAATTACCAAATCTCAAAAGATGGACAGCACAATGATTTTGATCCTCTCGGACTCTGTTCAGCGCCAGGCTGTGATGAGATATGCGTCTGGAACCAAATATGAGAAACTCTTCTCAGACAAGCTGGTCAATTTCATCTATAAGCCTGTCAAACCATCACGCTTTGCTGTCATCTTCGACCCGGATAAGATACGGGATTTGAGCACGGACTGGAATAGATCCACCGCGCAGCAGATGCTGGAGAGCCAAAAAGCTAGCTCCTTGGATCTTCAAAAGCGTATGGGCAATAAGGGCTTCAGAGTTCTCCTGGTGGAGGATAATCCAGTCAACCAGAAAGTGATGATGAAATTTCTCAAGAAAGTTGGCCTCGATGTGGACATTGCAGTAGACGGAGAGGAGTGCATAGAGCGAGTTTTATCGAAGCCGCATAGTCATTACTCTCTCATACTGGTAAGTTTGATCCCCCCTTTTTTTTTTTTTTTTGGTTGAATTGTAGTCCTCGGCTAACATCTGGCACAGTGTGATCTGCATATGCCACGCAAAGATGGCTACCAGGCCTGCCGCGAAATTCGCGAGTGGGAGCTGTTGGGTAGTTATCCCGCGATGCCCATCATTGCCCTTTCTGCAAACGTAATGTCAGACGTCCAAGAGAAGTGCGTTGCAGCTGGATTCAGCGACTATGTGACGAAACCTGTGGACTTTATTGATCTCAGCAGAGCTATGGCGCGATTTTTTTAAACGTGACAGCTTGCTATTGGTATATGCGAGGAGGATACCAGGCGAGTCTCTTCTACCTGATAGCCGTGACTGGCAGAGGGAAAACTTTCTCTCACTGGAAACGGAACCATTACTCATCTTATCTCCTTTTTTCCCTTCTGCTTCTTATAAACCTGGTTCATTTCTGACCTCATTCCACAATGATGTGTGTCAAGGGACCTTTTTCTTGGCGGTGATTGGCGGCTTTTTAGAGGGTGTACCGGCGAACTATTTCATTTCTTGCCCCCTAGTTTTTCTTTGCTTTTCATTCATCTTTTTTTTTTGTTTTAAATCTTCCTTCTTTTTTATCTGGCTCTTCAAAATTAGGCTGGATGGAACCGAAGAGCTAGGCAGTCTTGTGATACCACATTATGTAGCAAGCACCACCATGCCTTGGGGATTTCTTTCGACATATTTTTTTGACCACCTTGACCAATTCTCACGGTGATCATGCTGTTGAAATGGCGAGACGGAAAGGGATTAAGTTGTACTGCTCGTATTTTTCTTACTCTATTTTCTTTTTTGCTGCTTTTTCTTCTCTCTGTTCTTAGCGCTGGGCATCAGAATAGCAAGACAGGGGTAAAGACTAGGGAGGCATTATTTAGGGCAAAGGCTAGGCAAAGCCAAAGGCAAAAACAAAGGCATATGTTTACATAAAGGATTTAGGAATGGATGGAGCCTGTTTTGTTTTATATGCTCGAGGGAAGCGAGGCATGTAGAGTCGCAGCGACAACTCTGGCGTGCAAAAAATGGCTGCGTGTTTTTTTTATGTCTTCTTTACTGCTCTGTTGATATTATGGGATCTATTTTAGCCTCGAAACCCAATTTCTTTCTTCTTTTACTACATTTCTCCTCCCCTTTTCTCCTTTTGCCTTTTCCTCTCTCTTCTTCTTGGCCTTGTCAGTGTGCGTGTTGTATGCTTGATTTTGGTCTTGTGTATTAAAATAATAATCTAATGATTATGGTCAATTTTGCTTTGATCTGGGAAAAGCAGAGGAAGAAATAAGGGTAGTACTAACTCCCTTCACTATTTACAATGATGGATTTGGTTTGACCTGGAAAAGGGATGGATGAACAGATGGATGGCCCTGGCGGAAAATACAACAACGGAATAAAAAAAAAAAAGAATAAATAAATAAAAAGTTTAAAGATGATAGCTAGTTAAGCTTTGAAAAGAAATGCAATCATTGTCTATCAATGTCGAGGATTAAGTATCCGACATCTTTCAGTCACATTCATGGAGCTATAATATTCAAGATTCTCAGAAGACATCAATGTGGATATAGTATTTCATAAATCAATCTAACTCAATGTAGCCCAACGCTTTTATTTCCATTTATACAGCCAGGGAATCCAGTCTATATAGTGGTATCCAACAAGAAAATAGAAAGAAAACAGTGTCGATATCGCTTCGCCCGTTGCGCTTATTTAATCCAGAGCTTTTATTTTCCTCACTTTCCTTTCCCCCTTTTTAGTATATGCTTCCTCTGATACTTCTGTCTTCTTTCTCAGCCTTGTCCAAATCCTCCAACTTGGGGTCTGCGGCACCGCTGTGTGGCTCAGGCTCATCTCCAAGGCGATTTGCCAATCCCATACCGGGGTTGGCGCGAGAGTCTATGGAACCCATACGACGGCGAGTGGTTTCGTTATCTGATGCATCGGAATCACTTCCTGCAACAGAGGGATGGCCTGAATATGTACCGCCGAAATCTCGGCCAACGTGCAAATGAGCGGCTTTGAGGTGACGTATGCGGTCCTCTGCCGTGATGAAGGAGGGCGTGCCGTCGGGAGAAGAGACACTCCCGTCAATGGCTCGTGCTAAATCAATGTGAACCTTCTTCTTCTTTTCTTTGGGATTTTCTTTTGACGATTCTTCGCCATCTGCATCACCTTCATCGGAGCCACTCGATTTGTGTCGTTGCAATCTCCTTATGGCAAGATTTGTGCTACTACTGCCAGGGGTACTCTTATCAACTTGCTGCGGCTGGTTTTCTACCGCTCGATGGCTCTCATAATGAGCAACATGATTGCAGCCATTGGGACAGCCTCCCCAGCGACGAGTAACAACAAAGCTCTTGTTCTGCGCCAACTTCAGGTCATCCTTTGCAGTTTTGTCGGTCTTGTCCTCTTCACCCTTCTCCTTCTCCTTGATTTGTTGCTCGCGTTCTCTCCGCAGTTCTGACCAGGTACGCAAATTATTCTCCAAGAGATATTTGCCGTTGTCTTGCTTGCGCATAATGAGGAACTCGCAGTGATTCACGTTTCGAAGGTCTTCGAAATATTCGACGGAAAAATGGTACCACTTCATGAGGAAGACACGAGACATGAGGCCATGAGTGACTATATCATTGAGTTAGCATGATAATACACAGTTGAAAAAAAAAAAAAAAAAAAAGGCCCCCCATTTTGGCCAGCCAAGATGAAAACTCACCCAAGACGCATACGCTGGCAAAGTCGTCTTCTCCAAACTGGCGCCACAAGCTCTCGTTGAAGCCACTAACACGGTCATAGGCGTCGGCAGCGCTCTCTCCGTTGGGGATACGATAGAAAAAGTGGCCATAGTCGGCTCTCTCCTGCCACATGCGTTCCATTTCGGCGCTGCATGGCTGGAAGTTGCCAAAGTCTTGCTCTCGCAGACGGGGCTCCTCGTAAACTTTGATGCTAGACCGACGATACGGCGAGGGCTCGGGGTCGTCCGAGGTCAAGGTGGACAAGATGCCCTCGGTGGTCTCTCGTGTGCGGCGATATGGCGACGTGAAGAAGTGGAGGGTATCATCTGGCCGGAGCAGCTTGCGCAGGCGGCGGCCCGCTTCATGGGCCTGGGCCCAGCCGTCCTGCGTGAGCTTAACACGGTGATCAGGGATTGTCTGGTGTATATCGCGGTTCTCTGGCACAAGCGGTCAGCAAAGAGAGATTTGGATTGAAGGCCGCAGCGAATAGAAAGGCAGGAGACGACGTACTGTTGCCCTCGGACTGGGCATGGCGGATAAGGATGATCAATCGCGGCTTGGCCATGGTGGTCGCTTTGCGCACGTGCGGCTTGTGATGCTGAGGCTCAAGATGGGAAGTCAAATCGATCGATCGATCAACGGAATAAGCAGATACTAATAGGCTGCCGGTCTAGTGGTGGGGGCCGCTGGTGTGTTTGGCAGGCCTGCTGGTGGGATGATGACTTGGTCGCTGTTGCGTTTCAACTGCCGGTGCCAAAACACCCCCTGTCCCGAATTTCGGACGGTTCAGAGGGACAGAGAGATGAAAGGACGGAGATGGAAGCGATTCGGGAAGATGACCGACAGTAAACTGGGTGAAGTGTGAAAAGTAGCAGAGATAGATGGCGGTTCAGGTGGTGGAAGGTTGTAAGTTGAGAGGGTCAAGTCAGAAGTGCCATGGGGGGTTTAAGGGGAGTTCACTTTGGGCGCGGGGCAGCAAAGCGGCGGCCTATAATATTGGGCATAGGAACAGAGGGATCTACAGGGCCTGCTTCAGCTCTGTAGAACGGATGGAATACAAATTACAGCAAAGCTTGCTGAGCATGTGCCGGCACCAGCGCCTAAAACACCCGACCTGAGTTTGCCTCACAGCGGGGAAGGGACCTGCTAGCCCGGCGAGCGTCTCCTGGCCCAGCTCCTTGAAACCTTAAAACTTGGATGGAACCAAACGGCTGATTAGAAAGCAGGAAGGCTGAAGAGCGAGGAGCGTGTGGCGCAGCCAGAGCATTCCCGCCACTGTAGCCCGCTTGACTCTCAACCTGCCAGAACATTCGGATGGAAGTTTCGGGGAGTTCCCGTCCGTTTCTGTGATTTGCAATGAACCCTCGGCCGTCACTTCTCTGGACCTGTTCCGATGCTGTTTGTCACCGCTCTATCCCGTTCAGGCAACGCACAATCGCCCAGATCTCGGCTCATGGCATCGCATCTAAGCCGTCAATGCTACTTACTGTACATGGACCCGGCGCTGCCCCTCCCAGCCAAGGCTTTCCGTACTGCTTGCTGCACTTGGTTTAGTGCCCTGTTTAAGCAGTGCAGCTTGGGCTTACACGGTTTGGTAGCGCTGGAGAATTATTTTTTTTTGGCAGCGCCAGCCTCAAGCGTGGATGACTCTGTAAAACTCCAAAGCCTCTCTCTCACCAAGGCAAATTTGACATCAGCGCTGCGGCGTGCAGAACCAATTCATTTTCCCGGTTTGGCGCATCACGTTTTGAGCCATTGTTTTTCGTTGAACAAGTTTCCCTCTTCGACTTTTCATTCTCCATCGCTCATTCGTCTCTCTCTTCCGTCGCACATCACGTCGCAATCGCACCGACCTCCATCTGGGTACTCAACTGCACCGCAACCACAACAAAAACTGCCTTAAACCGCCCAATCAGTCGATAAAACATCCACCATGTCTGCCGAAGGCCCCGAATCCATCCCCACCTCCGCCGACCCTCGCTCCAAGCGCCCGACCAAGAGACGCGCCCTCACCCCCGGTTCCGCCCAAGCCGCCTCTGTCGACGCCCTCTTCGCCAAACCCGACCAGGAGATCCGCGTCCCTCCGCCAGTATCTTCCCTCGAAGGAGGCAGACGGCGGCCTCCGCCTCCCGAGATTGTCAGCAACGTCCAGGGCTCCAGTGCTGGTGCCGGCTCCGGCGAGTTCCACGTCTACAAGGCCGCTAGAAGGCGAGAGTACGAGCGCCTAAGGGAGATGGACGAGGAGGTCAAGAGAGAGCGCGACCAGGTCGATTTTGAAAAGGATAAGGCGGAAAAAGATCGCAAAGACGAAGAGAGGACGAGGAAGAATCGCGAGAAGAGGGACAAGGCTAAAGCTCGAAAGGCAAAGAAGGGCAAGGGAGGTGGGGGGGATGGCGACAACGCAAAGGATACCGATGGAAACGGCGACAAGACGTCGGCGGAGGCTACATCAAATGGAGGTCCTCAAGGAAGTGAGAGATTGAACAAGGGCGAGAACGGGGCCGAGAGAAATGGCGATGGGAAACCAGCCTCAGAACCTGTTGGACTTGTCATCCACGACGATGACTAGAATGAAGAACGAGAGAAATCAAACGAGAGAGTTGCTACGAAATTGTTTCTTTCAACACTTTCTCAGCCAGAGGTGGTGACTTGTAATAATATACTAGATAGAAGCAGTGATACCCGTATAGAGTGCTATTTCATAGATCTATGCGTCGCCTTTTTGTTTTTTTCAGCGGCCCTTAGTTAATACCATAGTCTATTTTTTAAATAAAATTTTGGTCCCCTTTTAGATTGGTCTGAAAATGCTCCCACTTCAATCCTAGCCAAGGGCTAGAATAGGGTACGGCCTTTCCAAGCAAACCTGGCGTGCCGTCCGCCTAGATCGAGGCTTCTCAGGGCTGTCTCTGCCCCTCTTCCACTCTTATACAGAACTCCAGCTCGTTTAATCATCACCGCCTCCAACTCCGGGAGCGGCACCCTGCTGCATCGTCTTAGCACTGCAAATATCGTCTACTCTTAGCAATAAACAGGCGGCCTAAGAATCACACAAAAGTCAGCATGGGTTGCTCTACTTGGAAAAAAGTGGGGGAATAAAGTGCCGGTTGGACATCATGGAATCATACCTCGATAGCAGTCTTCAGACTCTGCAGCTTAATGGCCTCAGGCTCCCACACGCCATACTCGTTCATGTCCGCAATGGCACCGGTATCGCCGTTGACACCATATGAGCTCTTACCCTCGGCTTGCTTGGCACGGAGCTCGGTCAACACACGGACTGGGGACTTGCCGGCGTTCTGCACCAGCGTCCTGGGAATCACCTCCAGTGCGTCAGCAACAGCCTTGTACGGCCACTGCTGGACACCCTCCACACCCTTGGCCTTCTGAGCCAGTCGGACAGAGACGGCCATCTCGGTTGCGCCACCGCCAGGTGATAACCGAGGGTGGAACATGACATTTCGGGCAACGCCCATGGCATCCTGAAGATTTCGCTCAATCTCGTTGAGAACATCCTTTGAGGGGCCACGAAGCAGGATTGTGCAGGCCTTGGGGTCCTCGCACTTGGTGAGGAAAGTGAAATACTCGTCACCGATCTTCTCAATCTCAAACAAACCACATCGAGTACCGACGTCGGCCTCTTGAAGGTCCTCCACTCTGTTGACAATGGTAGCACCCGTAGCGCGGGCTATTCTGTTGTTATCCGTCTTACGTACTCGGCGAAGGGCTGTAACGTTGGCCTTCATTAGGTAGTGCTGGGCCAGGTCTGAGGGAGTGGTCAGCTTCAGTTCCTTGGAAAGTCGAGGGCTATCCATCGAGTCACTCACCAGAAACACCCTTTTCGGTAATGACCAAGTCGGGCTTAACAGACAAGATGGTATCGCACATAATCTTGATCTGCTCCTCTTCAATTTGCAGAATTCGGTTCCAGTCTTCCTCCTTTGTGATTTCAATGTTTGTCTGTGATTCACCCTTCTTGTACTCCAGAGGACAGTCCAGCAGGACAATTCGGGGGTTCTCGATGCGTCGGCGCATCTTGGGGTGCGTGATATCCTTGTTGAGCATGAGGCCGTCCAAAACCTTGCTGTCCTCAATCTCGCCACCGGGGACCTTCTCGACACGCGCATATCGCTTAATGTCTACCTCGGTCTTGCCATTGCCAGCTTCCCATGTAACGGTTCGCACGGCCTTGAGAGCAAGGGAGCACATCTGGTCCATCCATCGAGAGACAAACTTGGTACCGATCGAGGAGGAGATGAGTTTGGCCATGGCCTCGTCGTCGTTGACATCGATCGGCAGGGAGATCTCGTCGATAATATCGATGGCATCCTTCAGCGCACGCTTGAAAGCGGAAATGATGACCACGGGGTGGATGTTGCGCTCGAGTTGAGGAAGAGCTTGAGCCAGAATCTCACCGGCTATATCGAGTCAGCATCAATTCTTCTATTTCTTCAGCTTGCCCCTCCTTTTTCTTCTCCTCCCCTTCCTCCTCCTCTCCCCCCTTTTTTCCTCCCCCCCGTTTATCCGCCGGACCACTATCTGCGAGAAGTGGGAAAAGCGAGAGCCTAAAGCGAGAGCCTGACATACCTAAGATAATTACAGTAGTTGTACCATCGCCGACCTCTTCGTCCTGTGTCCGGCTGAGCTCGATCATGCTCTTGGCGGCGGGGTGGGAGACTTCGATTTCTCGGAGGATAGCGTGGCCGTCGTTAGTCAGGACGATACCGCCCATGGGGTCGAGCAGCATCTTCAGCATGGCCTTGGGGCCGAGACATGATCGAATGATATCGGCAACCCTGGATTAGAAGCACCGAGTCAGTTGGGCCGTGCAGCTTGATGAAGTTGTCAGGAGCAGAAACATACGTCTTGGCGGCAGCAATGTTTGACATCTGAGCTCTCCGTCCGGTCTGCCTCTCACCACTATTGGTGTCTGCGAGACAATGCGTTAGCTTGCAAACACTTTGCTCAGCTGCAAGAGGCCGAGAGTCGCCTTGATCCGCCTGCTGAGACGAATCTAGCGATCCCGCTCCGGCAGATTGGCAAGATAGACATCAGGTATACACACTCATAACCAACACAGGGGCCTGCATGATGGGCTTTGTTTCTCTTCGCGAGCGGATAAAATGGGGGTTTGGTGGTAGAATGAGGAGATAGCACCTAAAAGGAGCTTTGGATCAGATTCGGCACGCCTCCAACAGCTGCTTTCGGGAGTCAAGGGACCGGCAGAGGCTCGAGGCAGCTTTTGAGGTTGTGGAAGGCGGTGGTTTGGAGGGGCGCACTAGAAAAGTTCCCACGATGCCTGGCGGGCTTGGTGGGGAGGCTGCAGTTTGGCCAGCTCAGGCAAGGTTGCTGTGCTGGAAGCTGCCAAAAGGATCTGGTGCAATGTTAACCCGGCCCGCCAAGGGGCAACAAGTAGCGGGTACTTGGACCTGCCCCACGCTGGACATTATACTGGTGCCTACATGGAACCCAATCCCAGTTGTGAAAAAAAGAATCCAATAGACAACAAAAAAATAGAGTACTGCTTTGCAAGATTGCTGCCATGTAAACATAAAGCAGATATTGTTTTGTGGCTACATCCTGTAGTAGATATCACAGATGGCGATTACTTGATACCCCCCTTCCAAGTACCAGTACCTTTAGCTTCTCCTAACTTCCTAACCGTACATTTGTCATCGGTGCCCCAAGCCTAACGAGCCAATCAAAATACCATACCAGCTCTTTCTTTGCCCAACCAGGCATACATAAAGAAAGTGTACTATCAAACTGATCAAGTATGCGCAGAATCTTCTGCATCAGCATTCTATAATGTCAATTTTTACGGTACTTGAGCCTGGAGCGCTATGTTTCAGACGATATTCAAGTCCACAGCAGACGTATGCCCGTATCCTAGACTTGGTCATTTGCTTCTACCGCTTGCAGCTCGCTGGATGACAGATGGGTTAATGTGACGCCTAAGAATCTGCAAAATGTGGCCCGTAAATTGCTGCAATCAGAATTCAAGACTACGGTTTCTGATATATTGTAATATCTAAACCTAGAAGCTAGGAAAAAGACACTTCGTCATTGACACCCCAGTTCACGTACTCGTCTCGTGGTTACATCGTCCTCGTCGGCAGCGTCAATATCCGCGGTGCAGTAATAGCTGCACTGACCAATTTAATAAGTTACATCGACTCATGCGAGAGGTTGGATATCATAATTTAGTTAGAAGTAGAATTTAAAGTACAGCTAGAGCTAGAAGAAAAACCGGAATAGAAACGTGAACTCTCTGAAACTTCTAATGGAAGCCAAGAGTTATTGCTGGGATCCATAATGAACCATTGCCTATTCGACGCTTTACTAGGGTCTGACGGGTGTCTTCATAACCAAGAAACACAATGTCGTCGATATCATGGATAATCCTGAAGCCAGCCGCCAAGGCGAGTTCTTTGCGTGATTCGGCAGACCTGGCGCGAGACTATGGAAAGACCCCCCCAAAATATCAGAGTGTATCCATATTCTATAATGGATCCACGAAGAACATCAGAGGTATTATAAAGCCAACAACGCCAAAGCAATACTATCCAATAATACGACTATCGATCCTCCAGATGGACTTCGTGCTTGAGTCTTGAAGACCTCCTGACATCGCCACCACCACTAGATCGTTTAGGCTGATCAGGCCGTTCGGGGAGAACAGTAACCCACCCAACCCCAGGCTTCGAAAATGCATGGATAAAACACGAGTTGGCCGTCATGGCATCTTGTATCACCTCCCACTTGGAGTCGTCGAGATCCGGCCGGAAATCGAACCACGCCCAATGAACGTCACCCTTCTCGTCCGAACACGCCATACTTGGTACTCCATCACGACTATACCGCATGGCTACTGATCTTTTCTTCGGTTGAAAGTTCCCCCCCTGTGGGACCGAACCTGGCGCTGCATCTTCCATGACGGAGTCCCCATTTGTCATTTCGCTGGAACCATGACGTTGAAACCATTCGTCGCGTAACACCTCCACTTGAGACTTGGGGATCGCAACGATGTTCCAGGCTTCTTGGTCTGTAGACATATCTGGCGCGGGAAAGCGTTTTGATTGCTCGTTGCTTGCCAATGGCCTGCAAATCTTGAGCCACAACCACGTGGTGACACGACCGAGTTCGTCAGGTCTAAGATAGTTTCCTCCTTGTTAGTTTCTTCAACTTGCATAATCCAACAATAAAAAAAGCTAATACGTACACGTCAGACTCATAGATTGCCAGGCCCCCATCTTTTGCGTCAAGTTCCACGCGGAGCCCAGTCCTCGCAGTAGCAGGCATGGGCACAGAACCAAGCGGCTCACCCTTAAAATCGTGGGAAACCTTGATATGCAAGAATCCAAGCAGATCCAGTTCAAGTTTCCTGTAGCCGTATTTGCGGCAAGCTGAATGTAGAAAGAGGCGTATTTCTTCTCCCGGGCCACGTTGAGCTGAAGCTTGAGACACGCCAGTGGGCACGAAAGCGGTGTTGTTTGAAAGCCTCATGACTGCCTGCAGTCTTCGACTTGTATTCCGCCTATATATGCCAGCACGTGTCAGATTTCGTTGTTGTTGTCGTCTTTTTTTTTTTTTGTTTCATCCTCAAAATTTTAATCAGCTTACCTTTGGTCGATTCTGCGACAAAAGTGGTGTATGCCAATCTCCCTTCGTTCTTCAGGATTAGACTCCTGATACTCTTCCTCTTCTTCCTCTGGAAACATCATTTTGGGGGATTGTGATGGAGAGTTTATGCTCTGAAGAATGCGCGGGTTTACATGGAATTCTTTGTCCAAAGCGTCTTGTAATGTAGCTACTTCATAATAGCTTTGGCTATTATGAGCTGCTTGTTGTTGCTGACCTTGCTGCTGCTGCTGATTCTGAGCCCTTTCAAAGCCAATAGCGATGCCTTTGAGAAGTTTCTCTCGCACCGACGTTCCTGTCCTCTCCATATCTATTGGAATAAGTTGTCCGGTTGAATTATCTGACACGCGTTTCTTCTTGGCACTCGGATAGTCGAGATGAGAACCTGAAGCATGCTTCGTCATGGTGTCGAAGGCAGTGTTGTACGGTTTAAATATGGCGGGCGATGACTGACTCGATATCAAGATGATGGTTGTTACAGGATGAATAATTCTAATTTTGAACATCGTGAATTATTATGTGTTAAAGAGAAACAAACAAACAAACAACCAAAGAGGCCGTGAGTCAGTTGAGCTTTAGCAACTGGCAAAATTCATTGATTCACTTCAGCATTGGGTTGCGGCTCTGCCAGCTAAGTGCCAGCATTCGATACCCTATTGGAGAGGGTGTCTTTTGTTCTTTTTGTAGGTACTCTGATGTTTCAAATGACAGATAATCAGTCGCTGCAGTCATCTTATTTTTCTTTTAAATCATCAGTTGCATGAACAACTGTTGAACTGCTGGCACATCACCTAAAACGAAGGCAATGAACAGTCCATATGTATTTTGGAGACTGCGAACCTATGATGCTACCTTTTGCATATTGGATCTCTCGCTTACCATTGAACGGATTACGATTGATATAATTAGCGAGTCAAGGGAGAGTTGGTTTAGCGGTCTATAGAAGCGAGATTACATTGATGGATGCTGGATGATTTGCTTCTACCTGAACTCTATCATCTAGCTAAATGCGCAGTTCTACTCGACGTCAGAAAACAAACACAATAGTAGCATCGACCAAGCACCAAGCCCAGCTATAAAGCAAAATGGATTGTATAATAATAAATTTTCAATTCCGTTATTTTTTTTTTTTTTTGTTCAGAGTAAATATAATATTTCTTCATACTACGGCTGCTCTTCGCACCCAGCGGTTACATGTAAAAGCTGAGTGCTGGAAAATCAGGCTCTGACCACTAAAGACCAACAGAGACTTAGACATCATATCACACCCACCGTAAATAACTACTAATAACATGAAGTTAGTAAAACATACATATTAAGACACTTGGGCTCTTAGATCATATGATAATGCATGTCCTAAAGCCACAACTGCGAAGGACTACCGATCACCGCTCCGATTCAGTCACATGTTGCGTCCGTGAACAAAAACACGATTACATACATGTATATGCAGCAGCCTATCTGCTCCGCAGGAGCTGAAAAATAAGCCACCAGAACAAAAGGGTTGTATGAATCTAATTTTCAAAAGGCCAGCGAGAAAATAATACAAGAGAAAATAAGTAGAGGGCGGGTGGGCTCTTATGCTATAGCTGTGTTCATCTTGTATATGAAAGAACTTGATATGTCTAGGTAGAGAGACATCTTACTTCATTGGCCTGCAGGTACACTCTCCAGCAAGATAGTGTAGAACGCCAAGGTTTTATTACGAACCTGCCAATGATATCTTTCAGTCTGTTCACCGAACGGGGGGCCAAACAATACCCCCCCTCCCAACAAGCTTTGATGCACACGCTCTCCATCAAGATTGATTGACAGCCACCGTCGCAGGTCAGAGCCGGGTCACTCCCGAGAGCCCTGTAAGCGTAGCAAGCAAGCTTAGAGACATTGTCTCTGAGAGGGCTCATGCCTCCGCACGTTAGTACTATTCTGCGCCGGTGAAACAGAGCCTTACTTCTGTTTCTCTGCTCTATACAGTTATGTTACTTGATATGGGACACAATGATATTGCTGCAATTCTGCAATTTATATTTGTACAAGCCCACAGCCATAGCAACCCATAGGTTACAGTGCTATGAATACAGAGATCTCGAAATAAGGGAAGGATATGGGCGTAAAGGTGGCATCTGCCGATTTGCTAGGGAGAGATTGAAAGGATAGATACCATGTGTATTCATAGCTATAAAAGGTAGAAGATAAAGAAAATGGAATGAATATAATGGCTAGCCAATGAAAGGCGAAGGCAGAGTGCATGTAGAAGGGAAGGGAAGGGAAAGGAATGGAAAGGCCAGCTGAAAACTCGAGCTGCAGCCTCGTCTAGCTTAGGCAATGCGCAAATGAAGTTTGCTCAAACCCCTGTTGCCGCTTTCAAGACAAAAGGCAACCACGAAAGAGAAAGTAAGAGAAAAGAAAAGAGAGACAGAAAAAACAGGGGCCGCTGCTTCAATCAAGCCACACGCCGGATCTTACTCTGACGTCTCATTTCCTGCCCACCTGAAAGAAGGCGGCACGGACTGCGCACGCCTCTCCCTCGCATTACCTTGTATCTCGCCCAGGTAGTACTGATCGTCCTTGTCATCCTCGTCTCCGCCGGCGGCGGCACTTTCATGCAGCCCACCTTCTGGGGAATCGGGCGGCGTCGGAATCATGTCACCGGAGATGGGACAAGGAGCGCAGGGGCTCATGCCATGATAATTGTCCCATTCGTTGCCAGGAAATGTGAGCGCCGGTGGATAATACAGCGCCGGCGGAGGTTTGTATAGAGTTGCTATACAAAGCAAAACAGCCATGAAATCGGTAAATGCCGTCATTTCAGCAGTGGTTGCGGCATAGATCGCCTCATTCCTAACTTTCACGAACTTATTAGAAGACTAATCATATTGTTATATCTGTAGACCATGGTACCTCGAAGATGCTCTTCGTTCCTGGCTTCGTTCCATCAAGCAAGAATATTTCTCGGCATATTTTGGTTTTGGGCCGGCTACTCTGACTCTAATCCTAATAGGCTCGGATTTATTTTTATCATCAAAGATGAGGTGTCGACCTTTAAAGTACTCGGTTTTCATATACGCTAAGCACCCAAAAAGAGAAAGATTAGCGATGAATAACTTAATCTAGATGGTTATACTCCAGCCCTCGGCGGCGACTTACCCAACACTGTTTCAAATTTTTCTTTGCCGTGGATACAGACCCATCCTGAACAGCTTACAGGAAAGATCTCAACAAAGTCAATAGCGCAGGATTCTGAAAGCCAGTCTTTCAACTCTTGCCATGTTGCTTTGAACGGCAACTAGTCGTCGGTCCAGTTAGAAAGCGTCAATTTGGAGTAGAGGTGAAGAAGGGAGACTAAGGAGCTCAGCTTCGTTACTAACATTGCAAAAGATAATGTGATAAATGCCAGTTTCGTCTCCCGGCTTTACCTCGATTAGTGTGGTTGGACAAATATCTCTGTTTGCCATGCTGTAATAAGAGGAGATGTGAAGACTATAAGCTAGAGGTGAAGAGGGACAGCGTTGGGAGCTTGGCTGCTTTCACTTGGGGAGAGACCGTGTTATTTATAGAGTTCCACGTTCAGGTAGACGCGCTTGACATAAAGTAGCAAAGAGGAGTTCACTAAACTCTCGTCACATCAAACCGGAAGAAGCCGCTTATCAGATAGATGCCAAGCATTAGGTTAGCTGTCGATCATATATGCAGACACATAAGTATACTCTCTCGCTGCCAGATGACTGATCCAATACATCACCCTCCTTATGTACTCTCGTGTCCACATTCAAGCCGAAAGGCCCAGAGGTCAATGTAGCATCTGATCGCTAATGCAACACTTGAAAACGCGGCCGAAATTTAGCTCATAACCCCGGTAAGGCGATCTGCCCATGCGCCTCATGCTATCGTACCTTAGTCCTTGTCTCACACGACAATGAACTACGCTATGTGCATATACATTACCGGGGAACACCCCAGCCTTAATAGGCTGAGGTGATACAATCTTATACATACATTCATGCTAAGGAGTATTTTCATTAATCTCAACTCGTGGTCTGTATGAGATATGACAGACCTTCTCAGGTTGGCGAGGAGAGCGTTGATTGGTACTGCCATCGTGGCTGAAAGCCTTCTCCTTGCGAAGGGTATTAGTCCCAGGGGCCAGGCTGACTATTAGCAGAGTAATCTGCCTCGGTAGATGAGACGGCAGCGTCGGTTGTCGATGACTTGGATTAGAGCGCGATATTCGGCCCTTCGCAAAGGAAATGATTCTGCGAGTCGCTTTTTTGGCAAGTGGCTTGTTTCGGGCTGTTTTATCCAGACCACCTTTAAAGTAGAGAAAGAAGAAGCATGAATCTCTCTCTGTCTCTCTCTCTTTTTAACACCCCATGGCTATACAAAATACCCCTCGTACCAACGTACCATTGCATGGTCTTACCATCACCCCCATGGCACCCAGAACGCCACACAGCAGGGGCCTGATACCGCAGAATTGGGTGGCGTGCGCAATGCCTTTTGTCCGCGTGTTGCGAATTAGACAGCAGTAACGTATATGCTGGCAGGATGTTTCTCGGTCGATATTTACAAACCATAACGAGAGCGGGTTTCCATATCAAGACTGGCAATTTTGGCTCTGAAATAACAATAGTATGCGATTTAGACATTTCTAAAGGAAAAAGTATCATCCATAACTTCATCTTCGTCATCCATCGCGTAGTGATTTGATGTTGGGCTACCGTATTGAAATTCACTATTGTCGTGGCTTACGGCGGCTTGCTGCCAAGGATTTGCGCCCTGGCTGGCACCTGACGGAGACAACAAAAGGTAGTGCTGGGTATCAGAGACGAACAACACTGGCAGTTCAGTCTCGCGGTTGATCCACGCAACCTGTGCTTTTCCCGCCGCCCTTACTTCAGGGAGGTAAATTTCTGGAACAAGAGGCGTAGGTCCATTGGATAAAGGATCCCAAATGAACGACACTCCTTGTTGCGCTGGATCTTGCGAAGTAATTAGAAGGAGCTCGCGAGAGCTTGCATGCCACTGAAAGGCAACAGTGGTGTGGAATATCAGGACAGCTCTGAGTTCAGCCGCAACAACATCCCAGATCCACAGGGTGCACGGCGAGTCGTCCAGCCTTGTTGCCAAGAGGGTCGAAGATGAGTCAAAGGCTGCCATAGAGCAGCCGGATTTACTTTCTTGGGCGCCATGTTCAGTAGCAGATCCGGGGGGTGACAATATCTGAGTGGCCCTAACAAAGGTGTGGGTGGTCCTCCCTTGAAGAAGCTCAGCTCCGATTTGCTCTTGCCATACCTAAGATGGAATTTAGTTTATAGAACAATTCATATGTACTTTGTCTGAATGTATCATCTCACCTGAAGAGTATCTTTCGGTGTGATGGAGGCAGGATGAGGCAGTCTCAGTTGTGCCCTCCATGACTGCGTATGAAGAATGGCAACATCTCTACTGTAGTCTCCAATGACACACAGTTCTGCATTGGGACTCAGTTGGCAGGTTTTGATGCCCAGTTCCAAGTCAGCGTCCGGACCCTTGAGCAGATTAGATGCTGTAATGGTGCGGAAGTGCTGGCCATCAGCCGTGTAGAGAAGCAAGCGATGGCCTTGAGCAGCTGACTCCCAGAGAAGAAGCCACCGGCCGTCAGGGGTCCATTCGAGGCCTTGGGCGTCCAGTGTCTCCGGACACCATGATTTGAGCACTTGCCGATCAGCCGGGCGATGAAGGCTCACGACATCTTTGCCACCAGAGCGGGCCAGCAATGCCAGATGCCCGGTTCCTGGGCGAAGAGACACCCCTCGTGACGCGGACGCAGCTTGATGGAACTTTGGACTCGAGATCTCAACCACCCCTGAGCTGCACACATCAAGAACTACAAGCTTTAAGCCAGATGCCGACCAAATCAAAACTTCGGCGTCTCGAGCCCCGAACTGGAGGAAGGAAGGCTTTCCACTAATAGAGCTGTAATTGCGGACTGTTGCGTGGAACTCAGAGCCACGAAGCGCAGAAAACACATCCAGCTGATCAGCTGTAGAAACGAGAAACTTGGTAGACGACGGAGCCCACAGCAGCGTAGGTACATTAGTCGAGCTAGTACCTGCGGCTGAGGAGGCAAATGGAGAGCCGGAACCAAACGAGAGTGTCACAGCATTAGTGACCTGCAGGGTCTCAGTTGAGCGGACAATAATCCCAGAGGCTCTAAGAGTCACAATAAATCGTCCATCTGGACTCGGCCTGCAGTGGGGCGACGCTGTGACGTGTAAGGATTAGCAGCGTGAGCTTCAAGTGAGGTCGTCATGGCGCTTACATACACTCCAAAGCTGTAGCTGAATGCATCAAGCCAGTGCGGTTCGTCTAGGAGACTATCTGGCAGGGTTTATCGGGTGATCTACTGGACCCAGGGGCCACGTGAGGGGGGGATGAGAGAGAGACCGGCGATGCCACTTGTGCCCGAGTAAAGCTCGCCTAGATGCTCAAGAAGAGCTCTTTTGGCAGACACCGATGTACTTCTCCCAAGCAGCCTTTTCCCTTGTGCTTTGGGAATCCAACTATGGGTGTGCTCTTGGGCAGTGGATACTCCTGGCCGATTGAAGATAGTTGGCACTCTTTGTTTTTCCTTTTTGTTGTTTTCCTTTTTTTTTTCTTTGCGGGTGTGAAGACAGCAAGAGGGACAGAACCGCAGGGAGCCGCTGTATAGCTGTCTAAACATCAGCGGGAAGCCAAGAACATGCCGACATATGGTGGTGGTACACGGCAGCTCTGTGGGGTTGATGCTGATATTGCCCCGTGGAAGAGCGAGCGAATGAAAAGGTGCTGAGGTTGAATATTGAAGATTGAGGGTACGTACATCAGCATGTAGTGTGGATGCCACTTGGGCTAGCACGAACGCAAATGGCCACCGAGCAGCGCAGTGAGCGCCTGTATCAGTGCTTAGCAATGGGTGCTGCGGGGAGCTCTTTAGTGCTCTGCACCGCGCAAACTTTACCAACGCTTCCAGCTAGCGCCCGCAATTCTCCCCTCCAGCAGCACCTTAACGCGGCTTAGCCTACAGATTCCCCTCATCTCTACAAATCGCGGCCTTATCGTCACGGTTGCATTATGGCCACGGGAAGGAGGCAAAACTCAAAACTCAGCTTCTTCTTCCTACTTCAATCCTCCATCTTCTAAAGCATGAGCTTTCTCTTCTAATATTTTTGTATGTCCTGCATTTAGCTGTATTTTTCCCTTTTTTTCCCCTTTCAATTTGGGACGCTTTTCGAAACATCTTACAAGTTCATTCTCTGGGGACGCCACCCGTACGCCTTACAGCTCTGTCTCACCCAGCTCTTTAGCTCCTACTGAGCTTCATCCCAGGTCCATCTATCCAGAAGCCCGCCGTCTGGGCTCTTAACCAGGTCGCCGGCATCTCCTGTTTTTTTCTGATCATTCTGCAGTAGCATGGCATACAGGTCGCTTTGAGAATAAATTGTTGCATACACAACTTCTCCGCACATAAAATCAACCACCTCTGGCCGAATTCGCCACCGACAAGATACCACCGACATAACACTACACGCCTATCTAAGAACCGTGCTCTGTGTCCCAAATGCAGGCTACTCGCCGTGTAGCAGCAAGGCTGCCCCCGAGCATCGTACGGGGCTCAACTGTCTCGGCTTCACGATCGTCCATTGGCACGGTGGCCTTCAAGAGACATGTGGCGTCGAGCTCAGCGGCTGTTGAGGCTGCGCAACCAGAACCGCAGCCAACACAGACTATTCCCCCTCCAGCTGCAGATATCCTTTCGCGGCGGGAGCGTATCCGCGATGCCAAGCCCTTCTCGGAATTCCTGACCGATACCTTTCACCGACAGCATGACTATCTGCGCATATCACTCACCGAACGGTGCAACTTGCGATGTCTGTACTGCATGCCGGAGGAGGGCGTGCCATTGTCTCCTGATAGGGAACTCCTCACAACTCCTGAGATTATCATGCTATCGTCCATCTTTGTATCTCAGGGTGTAAACAAGATTCGACTTACCGGAGGAGAGCCAACGGTCAGACGGGATATCTTACCTCTGATGCACCAACTTGGCGCTTTACGCCCGTATGGGCTCCAGCAACTATGCATAACCACTAATGGCATTTCACTGCATCGAAAACTTGATAGCATGATCGAGTCTGGGCTTACCGGTGTAAATCTGAGTCTCGATACCCTAGATCCATGGCAGTTCCAGATCATGACAAGGAGGAAAGGCTTCGATGCTGTCCAGAAAAGCATCGACCGTATACTAGAACTCAATAAGCTTGGGGCTGGAATCAAGCTAAAAATCAACTGCGTCGTGATGCGTGGCCTCAATGACCGAGAGATCATCCCATTTGTTGAGCTGACTCGCGAGAAAGATCTCGAAGTGCGCTTCATCGAGTACATGCCATTTGACGGCAACAAGTGGAACAAGGGGAAGATGTTCTCGTACAATGAGATGCTGGACGTGATCCGGGCTGAATATCCAGAACTTCAAAAAGTTCGCGACGGGAAGAATGACACAAGTAAGACTTGGAAAATCCCCGGTTTTGAAGGCCGTCTCGGCTTCGTCACGAGCATGACGCACAATTTTTGCGGTACCTGCAATCGACTCCGCATCACGAGCGACGGAAACCTCAAGGTTTGTCTCTTTGGGAACGCGGAGGTGTCTTTACGAGACATCATACGGAAATCCAACAACGGAGAGCCCATCGACGAAGAAGCATTCGAGGCCATGAAGCAGATTGAGATGAATCGTCGACAGGGTCTTGCGGGTACATCCGGCACCCCCTTGGGTATGGCACCAAACGAAACCGAGCTCCTTGACGTTATCGGAATGGCAGTCAAGAGAAAGAAGGCGAAACATGCTGGTATCGGTCAGCTAGAGCACATGAAGAATCGGCCAATGATCTTGATAGGTGGGTAAAAAAAAAAAAAAAAAAAAAAAAAAAAANAAAGACTGCATATCATATATCCCTCTTGAAAGACAAACGCATATATCAGGCGGGTGGGTGTTGTTATTTTAGCATGTCCACGCCATCTCGCACAATCTCCATTAGCATCAGGCAAATTGATTAGACGACGATATGAAATCTCTATCATTCATCCTCGTTGATTATACTTGGCGGTTTTCATACGCTAAGTAATAATGTATGATAGATCCTATTCCACCAACGCTCGTCAACATGCCACCAAGTGTACACCATCTTCTCGGTCGCAATATCATATCATCTACTACACCATCAACAGCCATTTCAGGTCGCTTCCAGCAACTGCCACAACAACTAAGACGGCTATCCAGCTCACGCAGTCTGAAAACTGAGAAAAGGGGAAGGGAAGACACCGCAACAGCAGAAGCATCATCACCTTCATCCCGCCTAACACACGTCTCCGAGTCCGGCTCAGCACACATGGTCAACATCTCAGAAAAGCAAGTGACGTCGCGCGTAGCCACGGCCGCCTGCGCGGTGCACTTTTCCGACGACACGGCCATCAAGCTGATCCAGGAGAACCAGATGAAGAAGGGCGACGTTCTGGGCGTGGCCCGAGTCGCCGGCATCATGGCTGCGAAGCGCACCGCTGATCTCATCCCGCTCTGCCACCCGATCGCCATATCAAAGGTCAACGTTGACCTAGACGTCGCCCCGGGGAGCCGGCAGATCGAGATCCGGGCCACCGTGACCTGCGATGGGAAGACGGGGGTTGAGATGGAGGCGCTTACCGCGGCGTCGACGGCAGCCTTGACAGTGTATGATATGTGCAAGGCCGTGGACAAGGGAATGAGGGTTGAGGGGCTTCGGGTTGTGCTGAAGGACGGGGGGAAGAGCGGAAGATGGGAGATGCTTTGATGGCGGATCGTGAGATGCTATGTTGTAATTGATCTCTCCTTATTTTCTCTCATTACTTTCTTTGGCATACAAGTATCAAAGGCTTGAACAGCATATAGGGGTAAATGACGTATTGAGTTCTATGTATACAACTATCATCATCGAGTAGGTAGTTGGTTGATCTACTAGTAGTGATTTACATGCGATGATGGAGATACCCTAGACCTTTTCGAGTGAGTAGAGAGCAATGTCCAAAAAAAAAAAAAAAAAAAAAAAAAAAGCTTCTTAACTAGTACCACAAAGAGAATAATGCGCATGAGTGAAAATAACAATGCTCTCCACCGCTAACGTAGTGGGCATCTTTGACCTCATCGGTGAACACGGCGGTGATGACTTCTACGTATCAATCTTACTCTCAATACGCCCGCTTTAAAAAGGGCGACGCGCCCCGGTCAATCGACAAAACGGCGCCATGGCTACGCTGTGATTGGCATACCCGTATGAATCATCGATTTGGTAAAGGCCACCCCCCGGCCTCCTCACCACGACGACGACTCCAGGCGGGCCAGTCTGTAAACTCTCAACAACGACAACGCAGCGGTGGAGGGCGACAAAGCTGCCGAATGACCTCCCGCAGGAATAGCTTCACTTTTAATGAGAGAGCCTGACCACCGGTCTGCGTTGTCAAATTATGCACGTCGAGCGGTGAGAAGAAGCTAAAAACAAAGCAAAACAAGGAAACACTCTAAAATCAGACACACCTACAGCGCAGAAGAAGAGCGTGTGGATGGGACGTTGGAACCCAACCTTGCCCTCCCATTTCCCGGCTCGCAGCAAGCAAGGTTGCAACGCAAGCAAGCAAGCTGCGTCCATGGCGACGATCCCATCACTCTGTGCCCCTCCTCCACACTCCTTCGCCTCGATGGCTGTGGGATATACGGAGAAACGGGCCCTCCGTCCTCAGCAAGGCACTCTATTTGCCCTGCGATTTATCTCCGACTGGGTGCCGGAAGGCGCATAAACGCATCGACCAATCAGGTGTTAGTTATAAAAGGCAATGAAGAATGCTAAAAGGGAGATACGCCAATCACATTGCAGCGATAAGAACAAATTAGAAGTCGTGCAGGCGATTACCCCATTCGGAAAGGAAGTAAAGTAACAAAGTAAAAGCTGTGGCTTGGCTTGGTTGGCCACTGATTGACAGATTGACAGATCGGCAGAAGCATTCACAGAAAACAGAGTGAGAACTGCAACTCGTAGCCCTCTGCGTGTGTGGTCGATGATGCTGCAAACCATATCATCAGCTTCTATTACCACGCCCATGGATTCGGGCTCTTGCCGACACTCCATGTTATACAACATGGCACGCCACACATCATGGTTCTTAGTGCCTAGAAGCACGTTGTGTCCATTTCTGCAGCTTGGGCACGTTGGGATATCCATCCGCTGCACCGGCGACGTCTCAGAATTCTGTCGATATTCAAACATTTACAGTACTTCCTGTGTATGACTGCATGTACATGTGCAGATGCAGATGCGCACGCAGAGCATGGCTGCCACACAGCGAGGGCTGTAGGGATACCACTGGGGCACGCGTGCATTCGCTTTTCGGCGTGTCGATGAGCTAGGTACTTGTTCTCTGTGGCATTCTGCTTTGCCTCTATTCGGAGCATAGTAGCCGTACAAGGAAATCTAGCAGCTCAAGCTGTCCCTTTGATCGGCCAGATTACACTGACGGGGCGGCCGTGTGGTGGCGACCGAGTCGCTCTAGTGAGCTTCTTGGAACAAAAAGCGCGAGTAAGTTCGGCTTCTGCCTGTCTGTGCTTTCGCCTAGCAGCAAAAAACCACCGGTGGATTTTTTGTCTTTTTTTGGCCGCTCCACCAGTCCGTGCCGAGGGACGTTGACAGGCCGCCGGACGAGATGACCGGGATGGCTTGTATTTGCTAGCAATAAGACACGTAAGAAGAACTAAATGCTCCGCACCAAAGATGTGGTATTATGCTGGCGGCAAATTCGCTAAAGTGTGTACCTGGCGAGCTTGCGGCGGCAGGTGGCAAACTAGCCAGGAAGTAGCATCTATGCAAGATCTTCGCAGAGCCGCATTAGAAGTTCAACAAGTTCTAGTGCTTCTTTTTTCCATACCAGAACAACGCCGTCTCTCTGCTACTTGGCGGTGTACTCCGAAGCAACGAGCTAGCTTGCAATACAATAGCAACGAGATGGATGGAGAGAGGGAGAGCATCAAAGCTTTTCGGCAATGGTTCGGAACAGTAGCTGGCCTGGCCTGGTCTGGTCTTGTGCGGTCCCGGCTCAAAAAAGGGAAGATCAAAGACTATCCTGGCAAAGATGCCGAGCCGCGAATGTTTAATTGCCCTCGGGATTTTTCCGTCGTTTTTCAAGAGCGAAAACTGTGTCTTGTTCTGCAGGACCCCTACACAAAATGGGGAAAACACATATTGCAACTAGCATGTACTCGTAATGGCGCGGGATGGATACTGTCTTGATGGGGTATATTATGTGAATAATAGCTGTGCGAATACTCGCAGCAGAGTAGAGGGAGGCTCCATAGCGGATGTTACCATGGCTGTGTGCTCCGGACTGTTGAGGGCCTTGTTCGGTTCCTCGCATAACAACCATGTCAATCCAGCGAGAGTGTGCAAAAAAAGACTCAAGATTCCCATCCAGGAACCAAAAAACCAACAAGCTGTAGTAAAAAGATCAACACGCCGAGACCTTTGTGGTGGAGACTAGCGCGAGGGCCGTCTCTGGGTCTTTTTTTTTTTTTTCTTGGGGGTGGGGGGGATTGGCACCAGAGAGTGGCATCTCCGAAACGGTTCATGCGACAGGCGACCAGAAAAGACGCAGAAGAAGAGGAGAGGCGAGAGGCGGGGTGAGAAAGATGGAGAAGAGATTGAGGGGAAATATACTGCAGGACTCGTAAAAACTGAGTTTGAGTCGGTCGTGCGCGATAGAGAAGCTGCTGTGAGCGAATGAGACAGAGAGAGTTTGATGGCCGTGCCCGAGATGATAGAAGCAGCACAAAGTATAAGTCAGCTCCAGGCAGGATGAGAAGCATGTGAAAGCTGTCGAGAGCGGTACTTTGCTCGCCTCATTGACTGTAGCCACGGGCATGGTTCTGCTTGTTTTCTGCTTAGCCGTATCCCGGCAGTGGCGGCGTCGACACCATGCATTGCCAGGGCCGATCGAGATACTGCCGCCGATGTCATTGCCTGCGGACGACTGGCCGAGGCCTCTGCACTGCATGCATCGTCGTCAGGTGTCACCGTGCAGGCCAGGCGTTTGCGTCGTGTTGTGTTGCGTTGCGTTGCGCGGTGCAGGGGGGCCTAAGATTTGAAGTTGTGCCACAGCTCAGCGTTACGAGCACCACCGCCAGTAGCTCCCAGCACAATGGCCTATTGCAGCAGGTTGTTGGTGCTCCATGGCGCTCGCGGTGGGCTCCAGGACCCCTATCTGGTGGGCGGATACGATGGGGCGAATCGTGGCGACTAGTAAGTCGAGTGAGCGGCCAGAGTTGACAAGAACTGGTTGGCGTCTGGCTTTGCCTTTTGGCGTTGAAGCTGTGGCACGCTGCCGGAGAGCACAGGGCACTGCTATTTCCAGCATACAGCAGAACTATGTAGAGGCTCGTGCTGGAAGTTGCTGCGCTGGCCGTACGAATTAGAACGGCTATAAACGACCAGCGCCAAGACGGGGCGCGCGTTGTGCGCTGCAGGAAGGTGCCGGGGGGGATTCAGTAATTAGCGCTCGCTCGCTCTTTGTTTTCTTCAAGCTCTCGTTTTGGGCACGGGATGGGTATACGCTACCTTAAATTGTCTCTCTTATTACTGGACTGTAGATGTACCCTGTACCCACCGGCAAGAGACATCGGCTTCCCTCTCAGAGGCAAGGGAGGACAGGCTGAGAGCGCGAAAGGGCAACAAGGCACCTGCCACCCTGGCGCGTTAAGCTTACTATGACGAATGGACTGCATCGACGACAGTGACTAGGCCCTCGCAGAATCTGCAGCGGTTTTTTGTTTGTTTTGACAGCATGTCACGGTTCAGGCGTAAAACACGCTGCTTACTGCAACCGTCCTTGTAATACTCTTACCTGTAAACACTACTGGGCCGGCATCTCACATCTCACAAGAGCATCGACATCCATACTTTCCGCCCAAGGCCCAAATCTTGCTCTAAGCCGGTTAGCAGGCAGTGGTGGATAGTTAGCCGAAGTAGGAGTGACAGAGCGGGCCAATAGGCAGCCCACCAATTCAACCCAGAGAAATAAAACCCCAAAGTTCCGTGCCACACTGGAGCAACGCCGAAAAAAAGAGGATACTCCAGGTGCCCTGTCCAGACCACCACGACCCAGCTTCATTAGTCGCAGGCCTATGTAGCACTTGTATATGCTGTACCGTATGTGCGTTGCATGCTCATGATATGTGACCTGGGCTGCAGCCGGGTGCATGATGCATGCTTGCAGTAGCAGCAGCAGCAGCAGTAGTAAGTATACTAGGTAGGTATCTAGTAGCAGCAGCTATGGCTAGGCGCAACTCTTTTTTTTTTCCTTCTTTTTCCACAGATTCTTTCTGCCTCTCACCACCAACACACAGACCCAAGATATCTTGCCTCGCCTAGGAACATCCTTGCCTCCGCCAAATTATATCTGGGATATACAGGCCCAAGTACATCTCAACGCCCCATAATTCCCATGTGCTCGTCTGCCAGGTCCATCTGCCAGCGTCCATCGTCCATTCCAAGCACCATGGCTAGTGGTAGTTGGATTACACCGTCCACAACCCAAAATCCATTGACTCGCATCGCCACCGCGCGGCGCCTGGCCAATGGCCGCCCAGCGATAGTCCGCCCCCTGTCAAATCGCACCAATCCAGCCACACCCCGACACACCCGACACGCAGATGAATAGGAGGACCCAGTTTGCCGTGCTCCATCAATCTCGACTCGAGGCCCTGGAGAGCTGCTCCGGACCGTGCAAGTACCCGCAGCCCTCGCCGCCGTGCTGGCTGCCATGTGCCTGCCATATATCTACAAGTTGACCGTCGCCTCGCCCTCGTGTCCGTCTCGTCTCCATATCCGTCCAACTACCAGTCTGCAATCCATCCTCTTATACACGCATCGCGTAGCACTACTTCATCTGCTTAACTTGAAAGCCCAACAAGTTTGCGGGTGTCGGACGATTTGACTTCTCCTCGACACTTTAGCCCCCACCACTCTGTGCCACCTTGTGTTCCCTTCTGCCGTCCTTTGCAGCGCCGCGTGCGACGAGAGCCCTCTGGACCAAGCCGTCTTCTCCCGTCCACCATCCTGTCCTTCAACTCTCCACGATACAGGACACCTGCCATCCACCTCGCTCCAAACACACTCCTCTGCACGCCTCCTACGTGGCCGTACAGCTTGCAAGACGACAACTGCCGACATCAAAAGAGCCCCCAAACCATAGATTCACAATGGCCGCCCAGCTCATCATGCCTACCGCCCCGGGAGCGCAGCAGCACTCCCGCCACTTTCTGCCTGACAACAGCCGCCCCCATGCGCACAGCCGCTCGCAGTCCTTCCAGCTGCCCCCAGGGCCTCAGCTGTCTCCAAACAGCGCCAACGGCTTCCACGAGCCTCCCCATGCGGTCTCGACACCGCCCTCGCCAAAAGCCCGCCATGCGCGCCCCCTCTACATGCCGGCGGCCCTGCGTGCAAACAACGAGTTCCCGTCACAGCCCTTGACCAAGTCGAGATCGGGCGACTCAAGCTCCGACTCCGGATCCGACACGACGCTGCGTCGCTCCAACACCGGCTTCATGAGCCTTGGTGGACTCGTTGGCCAGCAGTTTGGCCGCCGCGCCAGTGAGAGCGGCAAGAGCAGCATCGACGGCGAGTGGAATCTCGACCTCTTCCCTGATGTCACTGAACAGCCCACTCGCAAGCACTGGAAGGTTAGTTGGAATCGATCTTGGATACCTGTCAAATCTTCATCCCATGCTAACACCATCTGAACCAGCCCGACACTGAATCCACCATCTGCGACGACCCGACCTGCAAGCGCAACTTCAGCTACTTTGTCCGTCGCCACCACTGCCGCAAATGTGGCAACATCTTCTGCGACTGGCACTCCAGCTACGCGCTGCCGCTTGACCAAAACGCAAACTTCAACCCGCGTGCCATCCCCTCACGCACCTGCAACCACTGCTTCGAGCAGTTCAAGACATGGCACAGCCGCGAAGGCAGCCAGGTTTCCAGCTCGGCATCATCCGATGCTCATGGCGCCATTTCAGCACCCATTGCTGCTCAGCCCGGGACGCCTTTCGGCCTGCCTCAGGGTCCTGAGATTCCAGCCAGTGTTCCCCGAGACTGGAACTGGAGCACCTTTTAAGATGCACAAACCCGAAGGCATCTTAGCTGAGCAGTCCAACAACTACGACGAAACCTTACAGATGTTTATGAGTAAAGGGGTTTATTTCCCTTAGTACACTCGTTTCGCCGCTGTGGCGGCATCATCGACGATACCCGGAGCGAAACATGAAATTTACGAGCAACTCAATGACGATAGAACATTAGACCAGATTGATGATTTTTTTTTTTTTCTTTTTCTTCTTCTTCATGTCAACTTTACACGCCTCCCATTTATTTTTCTTTCAATGGGACAAGCTTGATTTATATATAAGCGCAGAGATCTTTCATATGTCTCATTCTCTTTTTTCAAATCAACTTGCATGGCAAACATCATCTTTTTCTCGGCAGGCTTGGCCGAGAAAGCTTCAAAGGGACAGAAATTCAGGATTCCAGAACAGCGCGGATACAACTATTAGATTTGTTTTTTTTTTTTTTTCAGGAAAGCAGGCGTTGTTTTTTTTATTTTTTTATTTTTATTTTTATTTTTTTTTATTCTTATTTCTTATAATAGTTCCCGTTCTGGGGAATGTGTGTTTATGGAGGTGGGAATACCCCAGTGGCGATTGGGCCAGCTTCAGTTGTTTCTCTACGATAGTATAGATGGATAATTGATTTTTTTTCACAAAAATATTCATTCTCTTGAATAAGCCGTTTTCTACTCTTATAAGTGACTGTGATGTGATGCTTGTTCCATTCGTCTCTTTTACACCAGTATTGTAGCCATAAAAACTCGCTTCAGTGTTCTCTCTCAAATTTCTGTGTTGGTGTGTGTATAAGAAAACCAATTCACATGTACATCATCAATGAAGTTGACCTGGATTTAATGCTCAGATCATATATGCATTCTTTTACTATTTTCCAAAAGGAACTTGGAAGAGTTGAAATTGGCTTTTCTTTTTTTTTTTTTTGGGGGGGGGGGGGGGGGGGGGTTTTGTACCGCGAGCGAAATGNAAATGTCAATTTACTCCGTCTTTGCAATTTTTTGTCGCCTTACTGTAGTCAGCATTCATTTTCAGCTCTCGTAGTCTTAACGGGTCAGACATTTTAACTTGTATATGTATATATATTTCTTCTTCTTCCTCTTCTTTTTATAACAAGTTATGGTATTAAAAGACATGTGTAAGCCACGCCTATTCCATTCCATGCACATGTATGAAAAACCCTTTGGTATCCTCCCCCTTGTCATCGTTATCAGCGTCATCGCCATCAGCGCATCGGCATCCTCATACACCTTCTTTCTCTTCCTCCTCCAATGTTAATCATGTAAACAACGCCATGTCCTTTTTGTGTGAAAAGCCATTGAACTCTTTTCTTTTCCCATGCCCGTGAAATTAATAAAAACAAGTTTTACACAAAACGAAAAAAAAAAAAAACGCAAAGAAAAAAAGATCATGTTCCATTTTCAGCGTTTTAACCCCTTAATTGCGAAGACTCTCCCCCCTATAGCAACGGATGCTACATAATATGTCCTCCACGAGGTCGTTCTTCTTCCCCTTCTTCTACAAGCTTTCTAAGCTCTGCGTTTGGTGGTCTTGGCCTTGGGGCTAGTGCTGGTGCTGGCATGGCCATCTAGCATCTGCTCGCCGCCATAGACCTCCCTCTCGACATTACGGGCAGCCTCCCAGCCGGCCTTTTCAGCGAGCGTGACCTCGTCGCCCATGTCTCGGGCAGTCTTGCCGTTCAGCTTCTGCGCGGCAGTGCTGCGCTTGACGTAGCTGGCGATGAAGAAGCTGACGAAGAGGTAGGTGAGGGGAGCGAGGTAGAGGACATTGAGCCAGATGGCAAAAGTCTCACCGGAAGTAACGATGCAAGGCTGCGCGAGTTGTGATGTCGAGGTGACGGTGGTTAGCTTTTGGGCGCTGGGAGCGGCGGCAGCAGCAGCTTCGTTGGCGACGTTGTCAGATCCGAAAATGAGGCTCTTAAGCGAATCCAGAGCACTGACGGCGGTAGGGATGATGTAGTCAATGGGAGCGCTCTTGGTAGCAGGAGCGTCTTCGGCCACGACGTGGGTGGAGGTGATGGGCGCAATGTATGTGACAAAGGAGTGAACCATGGCGAAAGAGGCTCCGACAACGAACTGGGTGATTTGCATGCTGGTCAAGGTGCGCTTCATGACGTTGGGGATCTTGATGGAAAAGGCCGACAGAGTGTAGTAAGTGTACTGCCAAAACCAGTTAGTAAACAAGACGATATACAAGAAGTGGCATCAAAAGGGTTAAAAACTCACCATCAAAGCGTGGATAAAGGAGTTGAAGAGGCAGAAGATCCAGATGGGGCTGGCCATGTAGCGCATACCAGCCCACATGCACATCATAGCTCCGGCGTGGTGGTAGGTCTGCAGAGTCGAGCTGTACTTGCCCTTGGCCAAGATGATGAAGGTGTCGAGGACCTCGTAGAACTTGCTCAGGTAGAAGATCCAGCCGTAGAAGTCGAGGCCCTCGGTCCACATGCGGCCGGGCTCAAGGCTGTTGGGCATGCCATTGCCAGCGGCCATGTACGCAGCAGTGCTCTGCGAGGCGGTATCCCAGCCTCCGGTGGTGTCGTTGTAGTACATGGAGTTGCCCAGGCCTCGGGGTCCGTGTAAGCGGCAGAAGCTCTCAGCCGTAGCAGCAAAGCCGCCAGGGCCAAAGGGATGGGCGATGCTCCTCTGCATGACGCCCACCATGCCCCAGAAGGTCCAGGCCGAGTAAACAGCGAGGAAGATGTTGTGCAGCACAACAAAGGCGAAGAAGGGGCGTGTCTTGCTGATGCCCCATGGCTTCTTGTTGCGGGCCTTGTTGTACTTGTTGAGCAGCTTGGCCGAGATGGCATAGACGGCAGCGACGGTCAATGGGACTCGGGCATCCAGAGCAGCTCCATAGAGATGGTCGGGGATGTTGAAGGGCCTCAGAAGAGAGGTAGGGACATGTGCCGGCGGCAGCGGTGCCGGGGGGTTGGCTGGAGGGAAGTTGAAGAGGCTCGCATCGGGCATTGAGCCCAGGATCTGAAGGCTAGACATGCTGAACTGTTGAACTGAACAAATCAAATTCGCAACAGAGTCGTATATATGTGTGTATAATGCTTGGTGGCGAAGAAAAATGAGCAGAGAAAAAGTGAGGCTCGTTGGAATGCAAGAACGGGTGTAAGTCGTCTGTCCAACCAGAGGCTCTCACACTAAGACAAACAAGCGCTGCCGCCTGCAAGCAGTAATTGATGTAAATGCAGCTGTGCTAGCGTTGCCCACTTGGCTATTAGAGCAGCAGCAACGAAGAGCCTTCTTTTGAGCAATGCAAGTCGCACCAAGCAGAAATACCAGAATAACAGAGGGAGAAGGAAGAATAAATTTCTCCGCGTTACAAAGATATGAGAATATCAGTTGAAAAAAAAAAGAGGGCGATTGTACCCGCTCTCGCCGCCGAGGCTCTTTTTTTTTTCCAAGGGAGGGGTGAAAATACGCGGGCTGGCGAATTTGTTGGGGCACAGGCGGGTCAACGGATCGATTTTGACCAAAGCTCTTTGACGGTGCAAGCGAGGGAAAAAAAAAAGTAAAGAAGGAGAAAAAAAGGGTCAACGGGTTCGTCCGAATGCAGATGGCGGTAGCTTATCGATGTCTCTAATTGGCTGTGCCGAGGGACCTGAGTCTGGAGAAGTAACTTCTGATCCGTTTCTTTTGCTGTTTCTTTCCCTGCAAAGTGTGTTTAGAGTTCTGGGTGCAGTCTGTTCGGCCGTACGTCAGGGCGCGACGCGGCTATGCTGCAGCAGCTATTATGTATTAAATATTAAGAATTCCCTGCCGCTTAATCTATGCGGGTGGAATTGATTCGTGTAGGGGGAGAGAAGGGGAGAATAGAGATAAAGGGCTTTTCGCTGAGCTTCCCTGAGCGCGTGCCAGACAAGCTCGAGGGCGGCGGACGCATGTTTAATAAGAGAAGAACCTGGCCCAGCTTGAGCTTCATCGAAGCAATGCCATTGTACTGGCTACCAGCGCGCCCTGATTGTTCTGCGCAGCAAATCCCAGTACCGGATACCTCTGCCACCTCCCGGCCAAAACAGCTAATGTCGATGTCATAGGAGCCCCAGGAGCTGTTCCGCATCACTTCTAGACCTGCAACTGTCTCTCAATGCCGGCGGTCCCTGTTGCTTTGGCTTCTGACCACGGCCGTCGGGCAAGCCAAGGCGCTGATAGCCTCGTCCGTAGCGTCGGGCTGGCCACCGCAGCCAGGCGGTACCTGCGCTGTTATCAATCTGCCGCTCTCTCCGGCATCTACAGAAAGGCTATTCCGGAGCGCTGGCAGTCGAGCAGCGGGCCTCAACCCCCTGCCATCCTTTCGGAACCCGCGGAGCAGCAGGTCGATCGATTTCGTGGCGCCCAGTTGATGCCAATCCAAGGTCTAAAGCGTTTGGATGGACAGCTGAAGCGAGCTGAGCCTTGTTGATCCTCGAAGCTTCACACCCTCCTCCTACTACATACGTATTGCAGTGCTTTAGTATATCGATTGTAAATTCCATGTCTTCTCTCTGCCTGTCCTTTGCTATACTCTCTCTCTCTCTCTCGCGCGCGCATTCGCCTCTCCCTCCTCTTCTCCCTGCCCTTCTCCATCTCGCATTCGCCTCTCTCCACGATTGCGCTTTCAACGATCCATGCAAACATCACATCATACAACATCACGGGGTCGTGCCAGCCGGGCCGGATCGAGCGGTAAAAGGATGAGACAGAATTACATAAACAGCAGAGCATATTATGCGCCGCGATACCCTGATACGATACACGTACCGCAGCCTGTTTCTTTTTGATCAGTCAAAAAAACCATTAGTAGCACAGCCGTGTCTGCCACTCTCCAGCAATCTCCTTTGGACACTTCCCAGGCATATTGATTGGCTAGCTTTACATGCCGAGCTGCTTGGCATCCCTTGCCATCTCCACCCATACAAGAGCCCAACCTTGGCCTCTAAGCCGGAAACAACCTGCGCAGCACCAAGTGCCGCCCGTTTTTCCAGCCCTGTTCCCAAAAGTTGTCGTCGTCTGTTGTGTTTGTTTGATGCCATCTACAAGTAAACATGCGTTATTATCCCATTGGCTCTGTTTTTTTTTTTTTTTTTTTGCATCCGACGGCCGGAAATAAGTAGATGCTGGATAGGACAATTCCGACAATCACTCGGAAAGCGACATAATCCCATCATCACCCTTTTCCCACATGCCGATTCACGCTCCAAAGCCGCCAGAGAAGCTGCTTGAATCAAAGTTGGAAGGATCCTACAAAAATCAAGTTGTCTTCTATAGCTCCTGATACATACCAGTTGCCCAGGAACGTAAACAGACACATCCTCCAATAGCGCTGCTGCCATCTACCTGCTAGACAAGCGAACCTAACCACTAAAAGGATCTCCTACACCACCACAGAGACTGCTCCCGTGCACATAACTCTACATGCTCATACTTTGGGTTTATAACGCCGGTCAGCCGCACCAATACAAAAGTTAGCCCCTACTCTATTCAACCGTGGTGTGGTGCGTGCAATAAAAAAGGCGGAGAATCGAAAAATGGCAGTCGTCCGTCCCCCCAAGTTCAGCTCAGCCCGTTTCTTCTGCCCTATCGTAGAAAACCTTCCAGATTTTTTTTTTGTTGGGGAAGAGGAGCAGCCTCGTTAGCGTCACATCTCACACACGCACACCCACCTACACGCCTAACGTTACATATATTGCTGTGCATCTGTGCTTTTTCCATTCCCCCCCCCGCACAATCTATACATGAATCAAATTGCCGAGCTTCATGATAAGAAAGCACGTGTCAATGGATGAAATTCCCATCGCTGCAGCATATTCTCTTCTGGTGGCTGTATCTTACATGAGACAAGACCAGTCCAGTTGTCTTACATACAACGCAAAAAAAGGTGGTGCTAACGCCCATTCCAGCAGCCGAAATTCGCTTTCGCTCCCCCGTAGAAAAAAAGCTCACAGTGCTTTGCTTCCGACAAATCCACGCCAAGACACTTACACACTCCACGATGGATTGGGATATCCTCAAAAACCATGCCACTTTGTAGCGGAAATTCCCGTTGCTTCTGAGACATGATGTGAAGCTCCAAATCCTCCATGTCCGTATCATCCGTCAACGGAAATCAGAGGGAGGGGGAAAACAAGAGATACAAAGATTAAGAAGAATTCCGATCGCCGCCCACTGATATTCACCGCCTTATCCTATCTAATCCTATCTAATCCTGCTAGATCCCGCCAAGCCGGTACTGGACTTGTGCTCCATCGAGGAGGCAAAATCCCCAAAGAGCCAAGCTCGATGTACATGCAATCATTTGCCACCAGCTACGAAAGACAAGAGACTCGATACCAATTACGGCATGCGTATCTCTCTTGTATCACCATACCAGTAAAAATACCAGTAAAAATCCTGACTATAAAATGCATCGCAAAAAAAAAAAAAAAAAAAAAAGTAAAAGGGAAATAAAACCATATCTCGGACCCCGCGGCCTACGCAACATCATCTCCGTATTGGCACGTATCTGCGGAAATGAATTAATCCAGGGGTCCCATCACCGAACTGTAGCCTCGGACAACCTCCTTTCCAGTATCCTATCTTCTCCGAGGCTCGCAAATGTCACTTGAACTTTGACCTTGCGCTTGTGCTTGCATGTTCTGGCTTGTGATTTTTGATTGTCAAGGTCATACCCACATACATACATATATATATAAGGCTACATGGTTATATCACAACACAACATCAATTCACTTCATACAAATTCAGAGCGTCAATTTAATCAATACTCATTGTCATATAATCCGTCATTTGTTATGGTTGCTAATGATACTAGATATAAACATGCAGCCAGGAGCATCCCATCCATACGTCGTCATTCTTCGTTCTGATTATACGCTAACCAGTTAACCCATTGGATATCATTACCACAACTTGCAATTTATTTAGCAACCCACTCGCCAGCGATCCAGCGGTTGACAAAGTTGATGCTGCCCTCAGGCTCGTCTGTCGGTGTCATATGGCCGGCGCCGTAGACCTGGATCCAGGTCAAGTTGTGTGAAGAAATGACGTTGCCGTATGACCTGCCGCCAACCTTGAGATCCTTCTCCTCTGCGGCGCGGAAGTCATCGCCGTGCTTCCACTCAAGCGCCTGGGTCCAAGCCTTGTTGCCAAGCCAGTTGCAGATGAAGTCGGCGTCACCGGCGTAGATGAGCACGGGGATCTGCTCCAAAATCTGAGGAATGAGGCGGTAGATGGGCTTCATCCAGTCACCATGGAGCAAAAAGTCACGGTTAATGTTGAAGTTGCAGCTATCGTAGGATGAGACCTCGGCACCGAGAGCCTCCATGACGTCAGGCTTGTTCAGGTACTCGGTGATCCAGCCCAGGCCCTCGTAGCATAGGTTGCTAGAGTCCTCGCACTTGGAGCGGATGTCGTAAGGGTTGTAGCCGGTCTGCTGGTACGGTCCGATGAAGGCATTGTTGCAGTAGATGGAGGCGGGTACACAGAGCCACGCGCTCTCAGAGTCGTAGCATTGCTTGATGAGGCTCTGGCAGCGGGGGAGGGCGTTGTCCATGGCGTTGCACTGGCTCTCGCTCAGAACGGCAGGGTAGCCACCCTCGCCGCAGGCCATGGGCCGGTAGTATGCGTACTGAGTGAACTCGTCAGTCAAGCCATTGCCGACAGCGATGCTCTTGAGGTTGATGTTGCGGTTCTCGTGCTTGAGGATCTCCGCCGCAAAGGTGGGAACGTAGTGTCCACCGTATGACTCTCCGGCAATGTGGAAGTCCTGAGTAGAATACTCGGGGAACTGGTGGAAGAAGAGTGTGAGAAGGGCGTAAACGTCCTTGCCAGCAGCGACAGTGTCGCTGACGGAGCCACTGCCGTAGGAGTAGCCGACGTTGACCGGCTGGTCCAAGAAGATGACGGAAGCATTGTTGTTCCATGCGTGTGGGTTGTGAACAATTTCGATCTTCTTGTTGATAGAAGCCGGTCCCAGCTCAAAGAAGAGACCGGTGAGGGAAGAGCATCCCGGGCCACCATTGAGCCACAGGATGACTGGGTCGTTCTTGGGGTCGTTGCGAGACTCGAAGAACCCTACGAAACAAAACTTGGTTAGTCCATTGGCCTGGATATAGAATCAAGTACTAAGGCATGTCAGAAAGCAACTTACAGTAGAACAGATGCTTGTCCTTCTCGTCGTCATCGAGGTATCCACTGAACTGCTTCACCGAGTCGACACCGAGTTTACCCGGGTCGACGCTCTTGGCTCGCAGGCTATAGTTGGACAGCTTACCGCCCAGCACCCGGCGGGACTCTCCAGAGTCGCTCACTGACCACAGCTTCTGGATATCGGCACCCTTGACGACATGGTCCCACTTGCTGTCCTCCTTGCGGGAGTGCTTCTTGGCTTTGACGGCCTTGACCTGAGCCTGGAAGGCCTCCATGGCATCCGGGGCAAGCAGCGAGACCTCATCCCAGAGGGCCTTGGCATCGGCGGTGAGCTCGCCAAAGGAGTCCTTTAGGGACGCGGCCCAGGACTTGAAGTCGGTGTCGAGGCCAAAGTTGAGCTTTGGCTCGGACGTAGGGTCGCCGAGGACCTTTTGGTCCTGCAGCGCCATGGCCGACGAGGCAGCGCCCAGCACGAGGGCGGAAGTAGACAACCGCATTTTGCTGATGCCTATTCTAGTAGTATCAGAGTGCTGATGCGGGCGACGATAAAAGATGGAGATGGAGATGGAATAGGGGATGAATTGATGATCGAGGGATGGAAATGGAGGTGAAGGAGAAGAACAAAGCGTTGGGTATTAAAAGGGCGTTTGAGGAGGCTGGCTGGCGGCCATTACGTAGGCGACCGTCCCTCCCTCCAGGCGGCGCCCAACCTCTTCCCTGGGATAAGCTCCGGGGAAGGGCGCCAGCAGCAGCCAAGGGGCCTAATCCGCTGGACCTACCTGCGCTATCTGCTACCCCACGCGCCTTTGCCACGCCAGCCGGTTAACAGATAATCACCCAAGCAGCGCGGCTGGCTGTTAAGGACGGTGCATCGCGCCAGGCACTCGGCTCTGCTTGCAGCGGACCCGGAACCCAGGGAGTGCCTGTGTCCCTTGATGGCGCGCAAGTCCAAGCCAATGGATATCAACTGTACAGAGCACTTGTGCGCAGCAATGCACTGCTATCCGACACCCAGATATGCGTGCATAAAGCCGCCGTCCGACGTCTGTCACTTGTCCAGTCTCAGATCTGCCAGGCGGCGACTCGACAGACAAAGCCCGACTCGTCAGGCCCAAACACCTCCATGCATGCACAAAGTACCAATACCCGGCAAACTCGCGTTCCATCCAAAACCGTGCATAAAACAAAGGTTCCCCCAGGATAGCAGCAGGGCCCACATATTGCCGCATCGGGCGAAGGGACTTTGAGGCACCCCCGGCACGCACCGCCCTGACGGCGTTCACGTGGTGCCAATCAGCACTCTATTATAGCACAGTAATCACAGCCATAGACAGTCAATGCTCTGGTGACTGCTCTCAACAATGCTGATGTAGCCCCTTACCAGCATCTTGTGCAGTCGGCATTAATTGTACCCGGGGTACGGAATGCACCAAGAGAAGAAGCTCATCTCTTGATTATCTAGATAGAGTTTGTCTTGGAGCACTTCATGGGCATCCTAAGGTGGGCAGGCTGCTTGTTACATGTACTGATCATATAGAATGCTGGCCAGCGCCAACAAGGCATAATCTCTTTTAAAGCTACATCCTACGAGACTTTCACCAACTTACTCACGTAATCATAACGGATAAACTTCTTTGGTTTTTTTTTCTTTGTTTTTTTTTTCTCTTCTTCTTCTTCTTATAGTAAATAAACGCCCAGTCAATAGGCATCGTCTATTTTGCCTCCTCCTTCTGCTTCGCCTTCTCTGCCTTCTTCGCCGCAATCTGCTGCTCCTTTAGCAGCTTCTTCAGCTGGTTCTTGGTCATCTTCTCAGTTCCGCCTTCCGTTGAAGCGCCTGCTGCGGCATCGTCTGCCTTTACCACCGGCACGACAAGGTCAGCGCGGGGGACCTTGGGGTTGCCTTGCCATTCCAGTGGACGGATGGCCATGAACTCCTTGACGACGTCATCCGTAACCTTGGCTCTCCTCTCCTGGAATGCACCGACGTACTCCTGGAGTTTGGCAATGCAAATCGCTTTGAGCTGTTCAGGGGGTGATTAGCATGCCGAGATGGGAATATAGGTAAATCCTAAGCGGAATAGAGTGCTCACCTCGCCAGTCAGAAGCTTGCCGCTTGAGTAATCAGCCCTAATCTTGGCCAGTTCCTAAACGGCCTGTTAGCAAAAAGCTTGTTTCCTATGGATGGTTGTTATATCGCCTTACTTCATCATCTTCCAAGAAGAACTGAAGGTATTGGTATGCAACATCAACGTCAGGGTTGCCTCCCTTCTCACGGTGCTCTTCGACAGTCTCTCGGCCACCTGAGAAAGCGTACTTGTTGACTTTTGTCTTGATTTCCTTTGCCGTATCCTTCATGAAAATGGCAGAAGTGTCGTCACTGGCCGACATCTTGGAGCCCGGGCCTTGCAACGCATCCAGGAATCTCATGTGCACCAGAGAGGGCTTGGCATATTTAAGGCTGACGGCGCAGTCTCGCGTCAGACGGAAGTAAGGGTCTTGGTCAATAGCACAAGGGATCAGGCAGGGAATCTTGGCCGACTTCTTCTCGTCGTCACCAAAGATGTGGGGGAATGATGTGGCGAAAGATGTAGCACCCTGAATACTAGGGAAGTGAATCTTGCCAATGTTTGAGCTAGATTGAAGAAACACGGTAAAGTTAGTGATATGGCTTCGACCACAGCAAAAGGTGCTTTCCAAGGTAAGCTCAATCTCACCTTCCGTCGAAGCCAAATACGGCCTTGGCCACATTGAAAGTGACTCGCTTTGAGAATCTTGAGATGTTTCTGTAAAAGGCACCACCCATGAACTCGTAGTCTGAGAAGATGAACGTCTTCTTGGGGTCAAAGCCAGCAGAGATGATGTCCTTGGCGTTGGTACGGGTATAGCCCATGACCTCCTCGATTGTTCGCTTCTCTGAGAAGAGGAACTTCTCGTCTGTGTCATGCAATACTTAGTTTCTCATTTCACTTATTGCAACTCAGTCAAGGTGCACGTGAAAGCACTTACCATCTGTCAACATGATAATCAGGGGAGCATCGAGCACATCCTGGAGCCACCTGCATAAATACGTTAGAAAGTCTGCCCATGTGTAGCACTCTGAGAAATCCATACTTGACAAAGTCGAAAACTTGAGTATGTCCAATGTGCATACTGTCACTGCTGGGACCTCGTCCAGTGTAAAGGAAGAAGGGCTCATTCTGTCAACTCGTGTGTTAGCGACCCAAAGCACATCCACTTTCATATATCTCCGCTCACCTTCTCATATCGATCCAGGATGGCGGTAAGATCTCTATGGCTGAAGACAATTCCACGACGCATAAATCGATGCGGCTTGCTGCCCGTCACCCTCTCCCAGCGCTCCAGCAACGCATCGTCAATCAAGCTGGTGCCGAACTCGTCAATCAGCTTTCGGTAATCGATGGCCTTGACCTTTCCGTCCTCGCCAACCTCTCCGGAGACAGACCACGGGTTGATGTCCTGCTTGCCAGTTGCAGCAGCAGGGGCATCAACAGTGGCGTCCTCGACAGCCGGGGCAATTGTAGCGTCGGCCATTCTAGCTAGTTCAAACAGAGACACTCTTTGGAGATTGGGGAATAAACTGGGACGGGATTTCACAATATCTCAGTGAAATCGATAAAACGAGTCTAACAAAAGAAAAGAAAAAGAACCAACAAGGCAAAGCTTCAGTGGATTCTATGACTCTAAGACCCTCCTGTGACTCAACACACACACACACAAAGGCGGGGCAATGCCAGCGAGGATATCAGCAGAGGGAAGAATTTCAAAGGCCAGGGTGTTTCGCAAGGCTGGCTCGCATATTTTGGTGGGGTAGCGCAGCGAAGAAAAAAAAAGTTGATAGTGTGTGCATCAGCTTCCAAATATGAACGTGGCGACGGAATAATACACCAGTGGCTAAACTATTCTAGGCTTTGCTTCAAAGATGCACGTATTGTGAAAATACCTGGATATACTCCGTATGTCATTTAGTATCATGGAAGCTATCCAAGTTATAAAAAAAAAAATTATACAAGAATTCATCTTCTGTATAAAGATCGTCGATCAATTTGGTTATGACTCTTATTGTGGCTCTTCTCTAAGCACTACCAAAGAGTGGCTGTTCCAGGCAGAGGATGAAAAGTGGCGTAGACATCACTATCCGAAACAAGTCTAGTCGCGGTCTATATTTGTCATCTAAAGGTACTTTCCATGTTCTCCCCGCCAAAGTTGCTATCAGCCCAGCAAGCCTTTCCATGTATTAATAAGTTTGACGTCGTTTTTCAATTCTTTGCGCATCGCCGAGCTAAGCTATAAACCAATTTTCCTCCACTAAAGCGTCAACTCTTCCTTACTCTTCTTCCCTTGTCTTTCAGCAATAAACATCTTCTTTCTTCTCTTTCTAGCGTACCTTTTCAATTTTAAAGCAAAAATGTCTCGCCAAATCACCCTTCCCTCCAACCAGATCAAACTCACAAACGTCTCGCTCGTGCGCCTGAAAAAGGGCAAGAAGCGCTTCGAAATCGCCTGTTACAAGAACAAAGTCCTAGAGTGGCGCTCCGGCATCGAAACCGACCTCGACAACGTCCTCCAGATCCCCAACGTCTTCCTCAACGTCTCCAAGGGCCAGACCGCGCCCAAGGAGGACCTCGAGAAGGCTTTTGGCAAGGGCAAGTCCACCGACGATATCGTCCTCGAGATCTTGAAGAAGGGAGAGTTACAGGTCGGAGAGAAAGAGCGCGCGGCGCAGTTAGAAAGAGTGCATAATGAGGTCATTAGCATTGTGGTTAGCAAACTGGTGGACCCGAGGACGAAGAGAGTGTATACGCCTGGAATGATTGAAAAGGCTCTGGATATGTTGAGTTCACAGGCGCATACCGGAGACAAGACGACAGAGTCAGGGACGGCCACGCCGACCACGACGGAGGCTGGTGAGGCTAAGCCCAAGACAAAGGAACACATCTGGACGGGCGTTGTGACAACCAAGAGCGCAAAGAGCCAGGCCCTAGACGCCATGAAGGCTTTGATTGCCTTCCAGCCTATTCCCGTTGCGCGTGCTAGGATGAAGCTTCGTATTACCTGCCCTACGAATATTCTCAAACAGGCCATCAAGGCTCCCAAGACCGCCTCAAAAGAAGACGAGGGCGAAACAAAGGCTCCCGGTACTGTCAAAGATCGGATTTTGGGTTACATTGAGGAGGTTGAGAACCAAGATGTCATGGGTTCAGAATGGGAGGTGGTGGGCTTTGCCGAACCGGGTGCTTTCAAGGCTCTATCTGAGTTCATTGGCAATGAGACAAAAGGCCAAGGCAGAGTCGAGGTGTTGGATATGGCGGTCACACATGAAGATTAAATACGCGTGTACGAAGTAGAGCAAATCTAAAGGTGAAAAAAAAAAGGAATAAAATGATACCCTAGGAGAAATTTGATCCTTAAAAAAACTCTATAACTCGTAGAACTCCTTTTTGTTCCATCGTGATAAATGTCTAAACGTTTCGCCAGGTACGGTGGGGATTTTTTTTTCATCATATGTGTGACTTTCATCATACTTTTGAGCACCGTCATCATGGTAAACGCTTTGAAAATGCTTTTTAATTCATTTGACTCTGATCTAGAGTACAGCACCAGCTGCGAATGCCAGAAAGCAATCCCTTCGAAATGCTCATCATAACGATGAAAAACCCAGCCGTCACGCCTGTCCACCCCAGACCGAAAACAATAAAACCATTAGCCACCCTTCTTCTTGGAGACACCGACAGTCCGGCCACGACGACCGGTAGTCTTGGTGTGCTGACCACGGACACGGAGACCCCAGTAGTGTCGGAGACCGCGGTGGGCACGGATCTTCTTGAGGCGCTCAAGATCCTCACGGAGCTTGGAGTCGACACCGTTGGCCAGGATGTGAGAGTCCTTGCCGTCAACAATGTCGCGTTGTCTGTTGAGGAACCAGGAGGGGATCTTGTATTGTGTGGGGTTTTGGATGATCGTCACAATACGCTCGAGCTCTTCGGAGGTAAGCTCACCAGCACTGCAGCAGAATATTCGTTAGTTTTTCCAAAAAATTCTTCTTATTCGACTTTCTCATCGTCTTTTTTTTCCCCAGAGAAACTGGTGTTGATGGGTGTATTCTCGTACCGCTTGTTCAGATCGACATCAGCCTTCTTGCAGACCAAGTTAGAGTATCGGCGACCGACACCCTTGATCTTGGTCAAGGCGTACATAACCTTCTGCTTGCCATCAACGTTGGTGTTCAGAAGACGCAAGATCTAGAACAATTGAGTGTTAGCCCAAAAAAATCTCTTCCCTTTTCCCATCTTGTTCCTTCTCGTCGCAGCAAGAAAAGTATCCCAGATGCCCGGAAATTTGTTCCGTTGAATCAATGACATTCGACCATCGCGTAAGAACTTCGTAGCAAATGGAAACCCGTCTCTTGAATGCGAATAAGGGGAGTCAAGGGACGACTTACGAACTGGAAGTTCGTCTTCTCTCCCGTGACGAGCGACATGCTGGGCAACTGTATCGGACGTTGCCTTGCTGCTCGTTAGAATCGATTGTTCGGGTTGAAGTAAAGAGAGCGGAGGATTTCACAGCACTCGCTAAACATGGTGGAATTTTCGGCCCTTGTGGGGCCACAAAGTAGGGCACACAAGAGCGCCTGCTAACAAATTATCACGTGCTAGAGGCACGTGACCATCGGCGTTTTAGATTCCGGCTACAGTGCTTTTGTACCGTGCGTATTATGTATTTTTCACCCGCTATCCTCCCACGGATACAAATTTTTGCCGGGCCAATTCCCTTCGACAGCTCTAGCTTGCAATTGCTACAGCTCGTTATCAGGAGTGCGGCATAGAGCGCCTCTATGATGCCAAATGAGCCTCTTCTCCAAGCCAATATTGGAAAATAACGTGCTTCGACGGTAGGTATTCCGTAGATCTTCTCAGTCTTAATAATCCGTCGTCTGATTCCATGCTCGGTCAGCGTGTCCACGCCTGCTGATCTTGAGCCGGATGCCCATGCTTCTTGTATGAGCACAAGACAAGAACATTCACAACGTTTTTTGAGTACGAGGCCTTTTTGTTTTATGGAGGTTATCGTAATTTATCTGTTGTTACATACCACAATGCGCCGCTATTCCTGGTAAATAAGAGCCCCGGTGGCCGTAGCTCACAACTATGGCTACGATTATGATCTTCCTATCCATTAGTTACCATGCTTATGATTTAACTTGATCACCCAATCCACCAGCCAGTCCTGGACAAACGTAGACTTTAATAACATTAAAACATGCCGGGCGATAGAGCCAACCCTACCGATGATGGGAAAACAAAAGAATAAGAGAGAAACCCCTGCGAGCAACTTTCTGATACCATTCCAAGTTATTTCGCCAGTTAAAACGACCCACTCCACCAATTCTTTTACGCCAGCTCTATGTCGTGGTCATCGTCCTGGATAGTATTAGGTGGCTGCTCTTGAAACAAAATTTAAGGGGCCGTAGACTTACCTCCTTAGCCCGTGTCAATCTGCTAGAGAGAAGTTCCAAGAGGTTTGCCCGGTCCATCTTATATGACTGGGAACCACCTCTCGACGTCGGCGCAAGCATCACTCCCACTTGGTGAAGTCCACGTAATTCCAAAAGCTCATCCAAACCAAGAACATCTGCTATTCTAATACTCTTGAACGCCAAAGGAAAGAAACTTTTCATGAGAGCCGATCGTTCGTTAAGGTGAATGAAGGTTAACTTGGAAATGATTATCCCAAGACTCTCGAGTTTCGGCATTTTTGTCAGTAGCCGGAATGTCTTTGCCGACTCAGGGCCACTCCAGTGGACCACGATGCTTCTCACATTGTCGAGGAACATGTCGTTGTTGGTTAGATGTGAGTGCAGTTCACAGGTGCATCTGAAACGAAAAGTCTTTTCGCGGAAAAATACTCGAAAGAACTCGAGGGTGATGAGATTGGAACCGAAGATGCATGCAAGATCCTTCATCTGAGCCGTCTGAAAGACAGTATCTCGATCAAATCGAGGACACTTGCAGCCGCCATTCTTGTTGCTAGCCGGTAAAACGGATTTGGTTCGGAAGATGTTGTCAATCATAAGGCCGAGGACTCGCTCTCGGATTTCTACCGGGAGCCGCATAAAAGGGAACCCATCCATCGGGGGTTTCCTATCTAGAACCATACCGTCAACAAACAAAAAGACAGCGCCAACAGAGGGAGGTTTCGACCAAGTTCGACTTGGCACTTACCAGCGATCTCGAGAAGCTCTGTGCACATTTCGATGACATCGACGCAAGTCGTGATTTCCTCAGGCGATTTCTTGAGTAAACCGGCACATTTTTGGATAGTGTTGGCGATGGATGCTCTCCGGTTAGGACTAAGGCGAACGAGCCTACCAAGCTCAACCGCGTCAATGGAGCCGTCATGGTAGTGGTCAAGAGCCGTGAGCAGATCCTGGATGTTCTTCGACAGGCCGTACTTGGTCGGCACTGTTTTGAGCCTGAGAATGTAGAACGACTTGGCCGGCATGGTTTCTCACAGCTGCTGGGCCTGAAGTCTATTAGTCAAACAGGTATGTGGCTTTTGAAAAAAAAAAAAAAAAAAGAAGAAGAAGATGAAGCTCACAGTCAAGATGCTACTCTTAAAAAACGCATCAGTTGGCAGAGTTTCGAAAAATATGGCAGTTACGCGTTCGTTGTGCAAGAAGGAAGGCGCGAGGAGGCACCTGCCAACATTCACTGTCTCTCTGCATTCGCCAGCTGCCTGGCGGGGAAAACCCCAGCATGAAGCCTTCGTGATAATCACGAGTATCGAAATTATGCTATGCACTGAATAAGAGCTGATCAAATAAGGGAAGGGCTTCCGATATTAGAGAAAATAGTAGCAGGTCGGGAGAGGGAGAGGATGTGCTCCAGCAAGCAGCTCGAACGATATACAGTATAATTGTGCAATACGACACAAATGGGTCTAGCAACAGAGAGAGAGATAGGATCCGATGCAAAGCAAGATGTAAGTGCATATCGTTCATTCAGCATCCCCCATGAAGAAAGAAGAAAAAAAAGGGCAAAATCTAGGACTGAAAACGAACGTCACATCGCATTATAGAAGATATTGTTGGCAGTGGTAATTACCAAAGGATTCATTCATTAAAAGGATACTAAACTGCACAAATGCAAGTACGCAAAATTTTGTACCGTATATAAAGCCCAATTCTTCGTGATATACTCTCTCCAACGCCGTGTTCCTTCTACAACCCAGGCTAGTAGCCCTGTAGAATGTATGCCCTATTCCATCTATCCAATGGAAAAACAAAATCAAGTGACAAAGGAAATTAGCTCTGAGTAAAGATGCAAAAAACTCTCCAAGCATCTAGATGTAGTATAAAGCCGACCCCCGTGATCATAACCATTTTTGCGTCGTGATAAAGAAACCCATACACAAGCCGAATATGCGAATTCCGCAGCGCCGTAGCTGAAATGCGGACTGCACCGAAAGAGGAAAGGAAAAAAATCAGTCATCGCATGAGGGTCTCGCGAGTCTAGACAGATCTAGACCCTGGGCCGATTCCCCTCATGCAGGTACGCTGGCCACCCGCCAACGCTTTGTGGTGGCGCCTCTTAGTTGTATGTTAAACGACAAGGTAGAAAGGAAAGCCCAGAGTGTGGCTAAATAAAAAAAAATATAGAGGTATAAAACAAGATTGAATGAGATCAAAAAGCAGCAGCCATCGTCCACATCACGGGCTTTGCCAGTCAGGTGATTTTTGGAGACTGGATACTCAAATGAGTGAATTGGTGTGCTGCGTGCATATAGCCGGTGCGTAGGATTTGACGAATGGGAGAAATTCCCGGTTGTAGTAGCATGGCATCGCGTCGATTTCGGCTGTCGGCCGCCGGCAAGCAATTACACATGCTACAGTAAAAAACAGTTGATTTGTGATTATATGCTCTCTGACGATCCGAGGTCGATGCTGCAGGTGCGAGTGCAGCAGGGGCTGATGCCATCAAAGTCGGGGTCGATGATTTGGCTCGGGTCGCTTGCGCCAAATGTCATGGTGAAATGGCTGAGCATCTCCTGGTGCTTGAGGTTCTGCTCCGTCAGGGGCTTCTCGCTAGGGTGCTTGTAGGTTCGACCCTTATTTCTCTTGCGGTCTCGTTCTTCCTTTCTGGCAATCTTCTCCTCGTTCTTCTTGGTGTTGCGACGGCCAAAGGAGAAGGTCTTGGATAGTGTTGAGCTGGTCTTTTTCAGGGAGAGCTGAGGGGCAGAAGACTCGGAGCTGGAGCTTTGTCGAGTCGATGATGTGGTGCCATTAGAGTCTGTCTGAGAGATGGTGTCTGAGTCGTCGGATCTGCGCAGGGCGCGGCGGAAACGCTCCCGAATAGCCATTGTGATGTTGATGCTGGGTAGCGAAGTAGTGGTCGACAGTACAAAAGAGTCGCAAGTGGCAGCGACGTTGATGTTTGTATAGAGAATAGCAGCCGTGGCTGTAGATGTGGAATGGGTATCACTATAAAGCGCAAAAGGCCGCGGATTGACGGATTGACAGCTCGTCAATCTTCGGGGTGATGTTAAATATATACAACCCGGAAGGTATTCGATTCGGTGTAGGAGGTACTTCGGTGATACGCCCCAAGGTTTGTGCGGTCCAAGGTTTGTGTGTATAGTTTGTGGTGCTGAGTTGGCTGAACAAGCTTCGACGCCAGGCTTGACAAGAAAAAGCAGGCGCAGGCGCAGCGGGAGCAGATCGTCGGACTATTAAGGGGAACGACGAAAACCGCTCACGGAATCCATGGGCAAATCTGCGAACTGCTGCTAGTCAGGCAGTGCCACAAAGATCCAACAGAGATGCTCAAAGTACCCTTTACGGAGCGCCCAGTGGTGGCGACTGGTCTGTTTCCCTCTCCTCTCCGCTGGGCTGCTCCGCGTCTCCAACGCTCGGCGCATTTAGCGGAGCATATGGAAGGCAGCAGCCAAAGTGCCAGGGCCAGAAGAGCTGGTTGCGGCTGCGATTGGCCCAGCCAGCGGTAAATTGGGCCCAGTCAACTCCAGAATCTCCAGGAATTTGTTCTGTAAGCTGCAATTCCCCAGCCCGGGGTTCCCGCAGTCCCCACTGATGAAGTCAGGATGGAGCGCTGGAGCCCGGAGAAGGGCCTTGTTTGCATACAAATTTTTAGTGGGCTGGCTGGCCTATTTCAGAAGGGGGGTGTCTAGGAGGGAGAATCAGGAATCAGGAGGTCGCTAACAAGCCGCCGCCCCCTAAGCGGAACTTTTCTCAGCCTCAAGGCCAACCATGGCGCTGAACCGACCGAATTGGGCCCCCAACGTGCACCCCGACGGCGATACTAGAGGCCTTTGCTGCTGGCAGTCAGTGCGAAGGATTGCGGAGGCGCCGCTAACCCTCACGCCGTTCGAAGATTTTTAGATTTTAATTTCCTTGGCTTCTGTCCGGGACACCATCATTTCATCTAGAAGACCTGCTAGAGCCAGAACCTTGGAACGCCACCCGAGATGCATGGGAATAGCAGGGGAGGGGGACACACGGAAGCAATCTTGGCCACAGCGACAGGCTATGTATGCACGTTTAATTAAGTCTTTCTTTTTCTCTGTTTCTCTTTTTCTTTTTCCTCCTGATCTACCTGCTTACTCTCGTGTCTTATTCTTTTTTTGTTTCCGCGGGTACAGTAATAGTAATAGCGGAGACCGCGAGCGAGACATCAATTTGGTAAGCCGAGCTTGGACATCCGGACTCGTCTATTCCATGGACAATCCCAGCATTCTCTGAGCACTGGCCAAGCCACGCGGACAGGGTGGGCACTTTGTCTCTCCGTTTTCTCACGAGCTCGTGATTGCGCGCAGCGGTCGAGGAAGCCCAATCCAGACAGAGTCAGAGAGTCTTACTAAGTGCGGAGCATTGTGTGCAATTTGCCCTCGATTGGATTTTTCCCTCATTCTTCCGAGCCTGTCTATCTGAAGTGCCGGCGTTATCGTGAAACTTCGGTCCAGCATTCCCGCTCGATGTGGCGTTTGATGCGGCAGCTACTTACGACGACGACTCGCCGGCAGTGTAGAGCCTCTTCGTAAGCAGTGCTTCACTTGCATTCTCACAAATTATCCAAGCACATCCCGAATCGCCGAGAAAAATGTGCAAGAGGAGCATCTCTTGGTCACACTGGGCCGCACTGACTCGCTGGGCCGTCGCACGTCCACGTTAGCGCCTGGGTGCTCAATAGCAGATACTTTTCGCAAACGGACAGGGATGTCTGTCAGTTGTCGATGCTCAATGGCGACTGGCCTCGCTTTCGATTGGTCACGGATCTGTGCTCCTTGCATATGTGCCTACCTTACAAGTGCATGTTACTGGTACTACATAGTAGGCAGTTGTATTACCTCACAGATACGATTACTATAGTACTTGCTATTATTACGGAGTACCACAACTGCTTATTCCAAGTACTACGGTACTAATAGCATGCTCGTAGATTCTCAACAGCCTCGGCGCTGCCGCATCAAGTTTTAATTTCTCCGTTGTGATGCGCCGGCATATGCATCATTAATACTACTAGCAGTAAACCTGGGTGACGGATTATCCAAGCACCGACCCAGCCCCGAACAGTGTGGCCGAGCGTTGTCTCTCACCCTTGGCGATCTGCGACTGCCGCTGGAAAGGCTGTCAGAGGCTTCAGCCATGGTTCTTTCGAGTCTCGGGTCTTCAGCGGCTGTGGCGGTTTTCCGTCTGTGCCACCGCCATCTTCATGTACCGACCAACACGCCCTCCTTTTCGGTAGTGCCGTCCCGCAAAGCGCCGGCGATACAACGTTGATCGCTCGTCGTCTCCGATGCGGGCGCCTCTTTTTCCTTCTAGACCTTCAGCCACAGTAGGGAATAATCATGCAGAGAACAGCCCTACAGAAAACGGTACCTTGCCCCTTTGGTTGGTTGAGATATTGTTGAGGGAGGCGAACAACTAAGAGGCAGGTTACAGTGCACATGTGCCTATTCAAGACAAACATCCTTATGCAAGCGTTTGGTCTAGCGGCACTGAGACCCAACACACCGAAAGGAGAAAGAAGGAGAAAAACAATTGTGAAAAAAAAATCACACACAATGGGTGGAACTGAAACAGCGGTGCCAGCGCTACGTTACCCGTTCCCAGCGTTCCATCTTTTGATCTTTGTTACAATCCGTCCATCAGGACGGACTGACATGTGCGAACTAGAAGGCCTTTGGAATGCTGGAACGCTGGATGCAACCTAGCCCGTCAGATTTCTGTGATCTGCACTTCTAGGCCGAGGCCCCACAATTCTCACGTCCTGACGATAAGACGGGATGTTTCTCGTGAAGCTTTGACATTCCTCAAGCTGGGTGAATAGAAAACTCTTCTTCAAAAGACTTTATGGCCAGAATGTAGATCCTTGGTGAGTTGGCAGTATGTATGTATGGGGGGAGGGAATTGGCTATGGTATCAGTCAGTATTCAACTACAGGCCCACTCCGTGCTAACCGGGATTCTTTTATGGGTGTTTTAATGGTATAAATGGATAAACGGTGGCTACCAGTAGAGAGCATCATCTCTGCTATTTGTCGTAATATAGATGGTGTATATAATACACAGTATTAAGGAAGATGTTATGGCAGATATCCGTTTCTCTTCACTTTCTAGAAGTTTGAAATTGTTCTATGTAGCAGTTGTTATACGTTAGCGACTAGGTATCTAGATCTGCGAATGCGCCTAAAGTCAACTGTGTTCTTTTAATTCACATGCAATAAGAAGTCAAAAATCATTTACATCTCCCAGATGTAATTCAAAAATTTCCATTGGAGAACGGTGCTAGGTTATTTAAGTAGGTTGAAGAGTGCTGCTACATATCACGTTGAGTTAAATAGACCGATACTCTTGCTATACATCCGTACAATCAATGGAGGGTATAATAATTCATGACTAATAAGAGGGAGCATTAGACGCTTCTTTGAAAAGTACTATATCCACCTCGTGCTTCTTCGCTCAGACAATGATCAAGCTGTTACACGGCAAAGTCAGAACCCACGCAGATGTTATCCAAGTAAGGCGGATAGCTAAGTCAACCCCAGCAGCACCTCATGATGATAAATGGACCGATGAACACATTGATCGGGTTCTATATTACGCAGAAAATGAAGCGGAATGTCAAGAAGTTGTGTTGCCAATGCTATCCGGTTACTGGAGTATATCTGGACAGCCGCAGTCAACAGCCGTACTACTGAAACATGTCCAGTATATGCGGTCATATAACCCATATGAGAAGATGCAGAAGATAACTGGAGCATTAGACGGAGAAAGTATTGGTCTATCTGAGGAGTATTGCTATCAAAACTAGAGTAGATGTCTCCAATTGTTATGTGCAAGTTGAGCTCAATGCCTACCAGCAGCTAGCTCACTCGCTTTGAAGATCGCATTGGCATATAGGCGCCCCTCAAAAACCTCGGAGATGGTAAATGCTTTTTGCCCTGGTCCAAGTTATTAATAGCTACATGTATTCTGACTATTTCGACAAATACATGCATACAGCGTAATAGCCCCGTCATCTTTATGTTGGTGGGGCTGTTTATCAGTCCACTTGCGATTCAGCGCTTCTGTCCAGTGACGTGAGGGCCTCCCTCTAGCACTCATTGTGCCTGAGCATCAGCGCCTGCGTCAGCGTTCAAGCAACCTGATTGGCTACAGCCCGTATGACGCATCACGATGCCCACCGAATTGCTCCGGGAGCTCGTGATCCAGCCTCGACTCCAGCTTCCTCTTGCCGATGCTGTGTGTCTCACCATTGACAGCTGCATCTCCGTATCTGTACCACAGATCCACTGCCTCGATCGGCCATCTTCAAATCGTTGACAGCAGTGCTAGGCTAGGTATGCGATCGCGTGGTCACTTGGCTTTCTTAGGATCCTCAGCTCCGCCACATGATTTGTCTGATTTGAGCAAAGCGCCTGATTTGTTCGAGCTCCTCCTCGCCATCTATTTGCTACCCAGGCCGCACGACTGCCTTCCCCAACTCTGACTGATACCCAGCACGAAAGTCTCCAGGGCTGTTCCAGCATCGCCGCAGCCGGCCATGGCCCTCTCGTGAAGCTGCCGCCCGCATCCGTCGTCTTCATATCATCGCCATCGCCGCTCTGCTGTTGAAGCATCGTATGCTTCTCCACTGAAACAACGGAGCTAATCGCATCCACATCGCAAGGCCGTGTCAACGCGCCTGCTCCACCCCCCATCATGACGGCATCATCCCCCCACGACGCTGATCAGGGCGAGACGCCTAGTCCTCACCAGCAACACGGTGCTTCAAGCGCGAGTACGTCGCAAACTCCAGACGCCAGCACCCCTCGCAATCGCTCCGTCGACGACCCTCGAGAGCGCGAAACGGCGAACAACGAGCAGTCACCACTGCTACCACCGGCTGACTATGATGCATTTGGTGCTCGTTTGGGACGAGAAGATAGCCATGTCGATGAAAGTCAGACCACCAAGAGCCTGTGGTATCTGACCGTCTTGACAATTGGAATTGGAGGTCTCCAAATCGCATGGTCTGTTGAGCTTTCCAATGGCTCGCCCTATTTATTGTCTCTGGGGCTCAGCAAGTCTCTCATGGCCTTGGTCTGGATAGCGGGACCTCTTACTGGCACTTTGGTGCAGCCCTATGTTGGCATGTTGAGTGACAGCTGCCGCCTCTCATGGGGTAAACGAAAACCGTTCATGCTTGGCGGTGCCGCTGCCACCATCGTCGGGCTTCTCTTCTTGGCCTGGACCAAAGAAATTGTCGGTGGTGTGCTGGGCATCTTTGGAGCAGATCCCCAATCTCATGGCGTCAAAGTCACCGTTATTGTCACGGCGGTGATTGGAGTGTATCTTCTAGATTTCGCCATCAACACCGTCCAAGCCGCTCTCCGAACCTTCATCGTTGATTGCGGACCGGCTCATCAGCAGGAAGCCGCAAACTCCATGGCCAGCCGAATGACTGGGATTGGAAACATCATTGGCTATATTGCGGGATACGTCAACTTGACGACATCCTTTTGGTTTTTGGGCGACACTCAGTTCAAAATCCTCTGCGCAGTTGCGAGCATTGCTTTGGGCTCTACGGTAGTTTTGAGCGCCGCTCTAATCAAAGAACGAGATCCCCGATTGGACGGGCCTCCGAAAAAGAGGCAAAGCATTTTCATCTTCTTCTTTACGCTATTCAAATCCATCAAAAGACTGCCGCCCCAGATCAAGCGGGTATGCCAGGTCCAGTTCTTTGGCTGGGTTGGCTTCTTCCCCCTTTTATTTTATACATCTTCCTACATTGGCGAGATCTATGTCCAGCCCTTCCTTGAGGAGAACCCTCACATGTCTCCTGAAGAGATTGACAAGCTGTACGAGCACGCGACTCGAATTGGCTCATTTGCTCTCCTCATCAACTCCATTGTTAGCCTATTGACAAATGTCTTTCTTCCCTTTTTCGTTGCCCCAACTTATGATAGCCATCCCGTATTGAATAGCTCGGAGTCCAGCACCAAGAAGTCGTTCCTAGATCGCTTGAGGATACCCGGCCTCACCCTCAAGAGGGCTTGGTTTGGGTCTCTCATCCTGTTCGCCATCGTCATGGTCTGCACCGTATTTGTGAGGTCTGTTAACGCGGCCACTGCTTTGATTGGAATTGCTGGGATTACTTGGGCTATTACTCTGTGGGCACCATTCGCCATCATCAGTGCCGAGATCAGTCGGCGTGATGCCCTCGCTCGGTCTAAACGCCATCACCGGAATGACAATCATGATTCTCCTCCAACACTCCCTGCCCCGATTCCCGCCACTGGCAATACGTCCCCAATGGAACTTACAGAAGCACCAAGGGAAGAAGTTGATCAAGCGGGTGTCATTATGGGCATCCACAACATGTCTGTTTCTGCTCCACAAATCATAGCTAACGTAGGATCGAGCTTGATTTTCAAGATCTGGCAAAAACCGAGGGGAACTCCGGGTGACCACAGCATCGGTATTGTCTTGGCTCTTGGAGGAGTCTTTGCCCTTGTCGCTGCCTTCTTTGTGTTGAGGATTAAAGATGACGTGTCTTTCCCACCGGAGACCTTGGCTGATGAAGAGCACGGTGCTGACGATCAAGACGACGACGAGCCTTCCCCTAATGGAGGCCTTTTCAGGAGCACCAAACCTGGCTACTCTGCGGTGCCGACAGGAGATTCTGAGGCCCCGAGGTTAGTAAGAAACCAAAGTTTCGGAGGCTTAGAAGTGGCTTCTGGTTCTAATTACTGATGTATTTCCAGAGAAATTGAAGATTCCTGATGAAGCGTGTTAACTTTCTACACGGTGAGCCGCAAGGGATATGGCACGTAGACATAGAGAGCCGGATTGGTATATACGTGATAGTAGAATTTGCTAGGCATTGTTGAATAGGAATTGTATTAGTCTGAGTCGACAAAGCGGCAGCCCTGCATACTTTATACAGTTGGTTTTCATTGTCATTCTGTCATTCTCAACTACACATTCAATCTTAGGTCCAAGTGAAAGCTTCGAAGCCCCATTGTGCCAATCATCTTTTCTCTTCCATTCATGTTTATCCCTTCATTAGCGGGCAATTTGGATCCTACCGGGCACAATACAGCATCTCCGGGCTTCCCCCATCCTTCCCATAGGTCTTAATTTAGGATCATCCACAACCTTTGCCAGAGTGCCAGATTCTCGTCTTTTATTCTCTTTTCTCCCAAGACGCCGTCCTCCTCGCTTTTCCAAGCTTGCAACTTCCCACCGTCGTCCGCAGCTCTCCTGGCGATGGCCCCGACATGTACCATGTGCTGATGCCGGCCCAGAAATGGCAGAAGGACGTGCCGTTGACGCAGTACGTGATGTCACAATGGATGGACGTGGCGGTCGGTCCAACGGTAGAGACGGTCGTGTTGGCAAGAGTGAAGAGAGAGGTGGATGTAGCTGTAGCTGGCGGTGGAGGAGCGAGCATCGTGGCCCAGCTGGTGGATAGGAGGAGAGACGCGGAGAGGACGGACTTGGGGGAAGGCATCTTTGTTAGGAATTCTGCTTTCAGTTCTTTATTGCGGGTTTGTTGTTATTGTTGTTGTTGTTTGGTCGGTTTGCGTGAGCTGTAGGACTGGTTTATATATAAACTTGTTTCTATGTGATACGATTGTTCTGCTTGTGGAACAGCAGTGAGTTGAACTTGCCCCCCCAGGGCGAGAGTCAGAACTCAAGGCAAATTTAAGTGGTAACCGGTGCCTTGTTTGTGGCAGGAAAGCTGCACATGCTGCTGGTGTGTGCCTTCCCCCAACGGTGATGGAGTTGGAGGCAAACAGGGGAGACAGACGTCATGGCTGTTTCTTTTATATTGGCGCTGGGCATGTACGCTTTTGATTACGAGGCTTTTTTTTTTTTTTCTCCAAGCGGTGTGGATGGAGAGATCATGGAGCGTGAATCACTCACTGTTTTGGCTTACTTGTTCGACTGCTGATTCTGTTGCTGCCATTGGTATCTAGAGTTTTGTTGCTTGAGCTGTGAGTCAAAGATGGATACAAGTCAGGTTGCGCGCAGCTGATGTGATGGATGTCGACACTTCAAAAACAGCAGCCGGGAAAAGGCTGCTTCTGTTCGATTCTATCATGTGTTTTTATTCTATGGAGGCATAACTACATATCAAGGTGCTTGAATCAGGTGCTTCGCTGATGGCTGCTCCGCCATTCTCATCCAAGCAGAAGAAGAATCATGTAGAAGCAACAGCCGGGTCAGCGTGTATTCCCATCAAACAAGGCATCCATCCCATTCATCATACACAGCCCAGATGCCACAAACAAACTTGCGCTTGGCTTTGTCGGCCGTCTCGCAGTTGCCTCGGCTGCTCCTTGTGTTCACGACGAACCGTTTCTGTCTCACATTACCAAAAAAAAAAAAAAAAAATTGGTTTTGCATTCTTTCTCTCCTCCTCTTATATATGTGCCTTAGCACTAACTTATGCAGCATGAATCGACTCTTGATTACCGCTATTAAGCACCGGCCTTTATCCCAGCCATGATCCACAGCGCAAGCATGCTCACAACCCCCAGCAGCCAAGACAAGGTCCTCAGAATCGACAGCCTCCCGTTCTCACATAGCACAATGTACACGAAAATGTACAGCACCCGCGACAAGACGTACTCAATCGTCAGCAGATTCAGCGTGTAGATGTCCACGCCTGCGTAGTTGGCCGCCGCCACGCCCCCCGCGAACATGCCCAGCGACTCGAAGCCGTTTTCCATGGCGCTTAGCGCTCGGGTGATGCGTTGCTGGCGCTGTGTCAAAGGGTGGGAAAGACGTTTAGCCAGTGTGTAACTTCATATCGATTAAAAAAAAAAAAAGAAGAAGAAGAAATTGTTAGCGTAGGAAAGGATCAAAATGGCTTACGGCTTTGTCCATCTTGTCATCTCGGAGAACGGCCGCCTGTGTATGCCGCGGATTGGTCTCGTCAAAATTCTTGCCAGCCAGAGTATGGCCATACGCGGCGGGGAGCCAGCACAAAGTAAATGCCGCCGGAACCTGATGCACAACAATTCTCAGTCCCATTTTGATTGACCAGATGATGTTGTTCAAGAGCAAAGACAGTGGCTTGAGCCCCTCATACCATATAAAAGGAGTAGTTTGTAGAAAGATCCACCATCGTGAACATGGTGCTCATGTCGACAAACGAACTGGGCAACGTCTGTAAAATCCAATTGGACATTTCAGTCAGAGGCGTCGACACCAGCCAGCGCCTTGTTGTTTGCGATGGAGATGAGCAGTTTGAGGAAACGGCGTGTGCATAGGTACCTACTAGGTAGTAGGTAGGTATATGTCTTATGTATCTCCAAGACAATAAGACCGCCTCGGTGTCAAAAAGAGAAATATCGACCCATATAAATGCAACTCAGCTCTATAGAGAGGTACATGCACTCCGTACTCCGAAAAATCCCTCCCAAACAAAACCGGTCAGCTTATATTATGCAGCTTGCTAATTAAGGCGTTTGCTGAAGAAGAAGGAAGAAAAAAAAAAAAGGGGGTGTATTAATGGCCAGAAAGATTCTACCAGGTAGTTAGCTTGGGCATTTCGCAATTCCAAAGTGGCTTATATTTGTGTATTCGGTATCAAGGACGTGGCATCAAGCTCCCGAATTGATTTGGTCCATCTACACCTACCTATAAATGGCCGGGCCGCTAACACCCATTCACAGCGTCAAAACGGACCAGCTAGGCTCGGCCCGCCTTAGCCACGCCGGGTTAGATTTCGATCAACAGTCAACAGCCATCGAGCGAACACGCTTATTGTTCAACATCAATAACAATAGTGCATGCTGTTCGTTTGTAGTCCCACTTATTATATGAATTGGTTTCAAAAAAAAGGGGATATATATAAGTTGCTCTCACTATGAAGCTATCTACATATACAAATGTACAATGTATCATATAAGAAGAAAGTAAAATCTGAAAAAAGGGTAATAAGAAGAAAAAGAGACATATATATATGCACAAATATATACACTCATAAAGCGTCATGTACCATTATCCTGCCAGCTGATTTCTCTGCCTACCCCAGAGTATCTCGTCTCATCCTCCAGCTAGCCGCAATTTGGATCTCATCGATTTCCAAATATTCCTCTTCTTAAGCCCTGAATTTAACAGATCTCCTTGGGCCAGTAGCCTTGACAGTAGCGTTGGAAGCCTGGTCATAGACTTTGATAGAGTTGACACTCCAGAAAGCATCCACAAAGGCCGCAGGGTTGTTAGAGACGTACTCCTGGCACGTGCTGGCCAAGGCAGAGCATTCAGAGTTAGAGTTCCAAACATTGGAAGAGCCAGCCCAGTCGCCGCAAAAGGTAGTGTCAAAGACAAGCTGGTTGTTCTGGAAGTGGTCATCAATGCTGCTGCCGTCGGTAGGATTGAACTGTGCCAAAGGACTGCCCCATCCGCTAGGATTGGGGTTCCCGCCACTGATATCAGAGGGAATATTAGTCCGGGGAAAGAACCAGACAGCAATGTGGTCGGATGTCCACTCAGTAGCGTAAACGCCTCCATTGATGGCATTGAATCCATCTCCGTAATTTTGATTGTCCGAGGTAGTCTGGCTACATCCAGAGTTGCCCTCACAATCGCTGCCGAGCAGTTGAGTACCCGAGCTGGATCCATCGTTGCTGACAGAGAAGCCAGCAGAAGTATGCAGAGTAATGGAATCAGACGTCTGGGTATTAACGCCTTCGATGATGTCTATTTCGCCCGCGTTTGGCCAGTTAGGGCCAACCATCCAGAAGGCGGGCCAGGCTCCGCAGATGCTACCTGGCATGTGAGCAATATCGGCGATAAATAGGCCATGGTTGAAAGATTGCTGCGATGTCACGCGGACTGACTTGCGGCCGTTGGCCGGGTTTAATTCCGTCGAGTCGACACCCATAATTATCGATCCCGTCAAGGTTGAAGTAAGGTTGAGGGAGTTGGCTGTGTTGCCATCAACATACTGAACAAACCCATTTGTTGGGTCCGAGTCGGTGAAGAAGTCAAAGCTGGAAAAGAAATTGCTGGCGTCGTAGGTGACACTCAAGCTGTACTGGGCGTTGGCGGCTCCAGTGGCGAGGAGTGCGCCGAGAGAAAAGGTGATACCCGTAGAAGTATACATGGTGATGTTTGGTCTAAAAAAGCCTTCAAAATATGTTCGAGTCCAAGTATTCAAAGAGAATATAATGATAATATGAGCCGGCCACAGAAATAAGGAACGTGGAAGCTGCGTCTAGCAATGTTCGTGATGGTTAAGGAATGAATAAGGGCTTTCAAAAACCCAATAACCACTTATGTTGGATTAAAAAGGATTTGTGTATAGAAATAAAATTGATATCAAATTGCACAAGTAGAGGCAGCAGCTTTTGTGTGCTTTATGTATAAAAGTGTGAGCTGTTGGGGCCAGGCTGAGGTTATCAATAACGGAGCTTATTGATGTGCAATGAATAGCGGATGAACACGAATCGTTGATGCTGCCACTTAAAGAAAGACTCTTCGCGACTCGGTTTGGAACACTAACCGCCGGAAGGATTGAACGGCACAGGTTGAGAGTTCAGCGAGTGGGAGGGATGGGGCTGAAAGAGAAGCAAAGGCCAAAGCGCGCTGCTTGTAACGAGGCTGTCCGAAACCACGGCCAGTATCACGAGGGGGGGCACATGGCCATCTAAATACAAACTCCAGTGTGTCTGGTCTTTCTTCTTCCAGCTCCACGGACAGGGTCTAGACGTAATGAGCGAGAGACATTTCAGACCCCCAAATCTCATGCATGGTGGATCAACCAGACAGCCGTCGCACAGGTACCGTTTCTGTGACAATAGCTGCCGACAGTACCTCGTCTAGGCTTGATATCCAGTATCGAGGGACAGAGTGACATGCGAAGACCAGATTCTCACATGTGGTTGACGAGATGGTGAAATTGTGAGACGGCCAGCGTCAGCACATCACGGCCAATGAATGCCTATAACAGGGGGCCCGTCCGGGCTACTCGCGCCTAGAGTTTGCGCGGTTCGGCGAGCCACGGGGCTTCTGAACCCCTGATCAGCGTGTGCGTAAGCCTTGAGTGGCTAGCTGGGGATGGGCTACATGAGACGATGCGCCATCGTTGTTCTTAGTTCGGACCGTCTGGCCGTCCAGAGGAACAATGGAACATAAGCTTCTGTTTCACCGGCGATCGTTGCCGGTCTAGCTTTCGCACTGCTGCCGGTGAGAGGAGCCGTGTAAGAGACTATGCTAAACAGAGGATGAAGAAAAAACAAGTCCCGCCCATTGCTGCTGGGATGCAAGTTGTGTTGGAGGATAGAAAGCCGGATGGGTTCATTAAGAGGTTGCATCCCTCCACGTGAACCCATACAATAGGAAAGAGCCTCTGAACAGTACCTTCTTCTCAGAGGAAAATGTGCGCTCATCATTATCTGTATACCTGGCAGGTACTAAGGTGCCGTAAGGCAGGCGATACCAGGTGCAGGCATACTAAGACTACACGCAGCGCAGATCAGATGCAATTGCGGAGGAGACGCCCCGGAAATCCAGCGCAGCGAGCCTTTGTCCCCATTATCGTGAGATAACACGGCCAGAGCAGAAGCTTTGAGCAGTACCAGAAGCTCAAAGACAAACGCCGCAAAATTCTATTTTTCAGAGCTGTTTTTTCTTTCTTCTCGCCTCTGAACAATATACCGTGCCAAGCTTTCGACCCTGGTCTCATCCGCCTGGTTTCTCCGATTGCCGTTAGTCTGCCCATTTTCTTCGCAATTTATGCTTATTCCTCACGATCCCTCGCTGGCAATCTGCCCGCTTAGCCGCGCGGCCAAGCGCTGCGGCTGCACAGCTATTTCTCCCTTACCAAATAGGAAAGCTTCGTCACGGATATGCTGCTACTCGACGGCATGTAGTGCCGCCATACCAGCAAAGAAAATCCAAGTCTTTCTTCTCCAGGTATACGGCGCTATTTGCGGCCGCAAGACAGAGCATGGGTCGAGGCGGTATCATTGTTCCCTACAATGGTGGCATCGCCGCTAAAGAGCAGAGAAGGTTTGATGCAGGCTTGCAGCGTTGAAAACCCAAATAGCAAACTCAACGCACCTATTGCGGCCCAGATATCGTAAGCAACTCCAGTCATTTGAAACATGGTGCCACACCTTCCAAAAAAGAGAAGAAGAAAAGGTGCCAGAAAATCGCTACTTGAGGCGAGCACAGGGCCCCCTTTGCGATCTTCAGGGAAGCTTTCCACAAGTAAACTCGGGCGTTGGCAAAACTCTCCACTTCCATCCATATGCCGTTGAACGGCAGCGAGATACCGCCGGATCGGCACGTTAGATTAGCTCCAATTCGGGCCTATAATAGTTTGGAATCCCGGATTCTGTTTCAAGCAAATGGCCTAATATGTGCTACCAACCGTTTGCCTTCTCCGGCCAACCAGAGTCTGGAGGCGGATGGAGCCGTATATAGAAGAAAGGAGAGAGGTCCAAGTATAAATAGAATCTTGCGGGCCGTCCAATGTACAAGCATCAAAGCCATTTCCAAACAACGGCATCGAAATGGGCACACCCTCGGATCCTCTCGTCGCATGTATCCTGATCGTCTTATTGACAATAGCATGACATGGCTTGACATGTAGCCCCCTTCAAAAGCGTCTCCAAGCCAGCATGTCCAGCCTCGTGACACTTCATTTCCCCAGTTCCCCCGTTTTTCTACAACCTCTTATATGTATGAATTGTCATCCCATGACACCTGCCTAGTGCCGCCGTTTCACTGCAGATCACTTTCTTGCAGCTATTCTTTAACCATCACCCCCCCTTGTCTCTATCGCTTATCTACTCCACGACTCGCCTCGAGAGCCATAAATGGGGCTCTCCCTGACATGGCTCCGCCGGGATCAGCAACCACTTCTGCGCAGATGCACGGTACATACTACAAAACCCTCATATCGGGCTGTCAGTTATAGACGTAGATCCAACGGGTCGATGATCTTTTTCCGTTTTCTACATAAGTTATCTTTACTATTCTAATAGCATCGCCATCATATATATGGCTGGCCAACCGTAAAGCAAGAAACAAAAACAATTTTTCAAAAGTACAAAAAGCGTTTCTATAAATTATCTCTTTGGAGTATATACCCAATCGTAAAATACGGGCGACCAGATTTGCATGCCGCTCCAAGATTTTTTTTAATAAAAAAAAAAGAAAAATTTCAAAAATGTTATAAGTGCCCAACGCCAGGCGACAGCCACGCAATGGGCGCCCTATGCATTGTGAGCCTTTGCCTTTCCCGAATCTCTTCTTTCCTTTTGGATAACCCCCTCCGTTTGTTTATTCCCCATGCCCCATATATGTTTGACTTCGGGAGGCGAGTATTTCGCCTCTCTTCCTCTCCATATTGACATCTCGCTTTCCCGGCTAAACTGCCATCAGCCGCTCAACTTTTTGCCCCATTATTAAGAGAATCGCAAGCCGCATCAGTCTGTTGGAAGTCTGAGCCGTTTGGCGTAGATGTAGTTGTAGTTCGTCATCTCATCAGAAAGTAGCGCCCCTCCCCAATCATCGTAAATTATAATCGTCCAACCGTGCAGAAAAGGTCAACATGTTGATGCGTTGATACAGTCAAGAAAAATATGTAAGATCAACATCTATGCAACAAGCAAAATCAAAGAAGAAGAAGAAGAGAAAAAAAGCAAATGATTTCTCAGAATGCTCTGTGCTAATAAAATGAAGCCAGCAACGAGTACGTTGTCTAATTCTTGGTTTGTTAAATGGGAGGATGTGCCGGCACAATATGGAGAAGCCAAATCAAATCATTCGCTCCGCTGCTGAGGCAATATGAAGCAAAGATTATAACTTGACTCGCTGGCCAGTGAGCTTGAACCAGATGAGGGCTACAATCTCCTCCTTGAAGAGTTCCCAAGGGTTTCGATTGAGCCAGTAGCTGAATTCTCGGTAGTGATACATCTCACCCCAACAATCGCGGCCCCATTCGCAGCCAGCCATATTTACTACGAAGTCGCGATCTTTCTCGTTGTAGTGTATCCTGGTGTTGTTCAGGCCGGAGTCGTCTGCGCACGCTGCGGGGGGGAAACTGTTGATCATGCGTTGCGGTAAGAAGCCGGTGTGCTGTCGAATCCAGGGCTGCGTTCGGTACAGCTGCTCAAGGGCGTCCTGTTCCTTGTGTTCCCATTCCATGTGCTTCTGCTCATACAGCACTGGGTCCCACCAAATATCCAAAAGTTGCTCGGTCCAGTCGCTGCGTCTAACGAAGAAAGAGCCCAGGTTGAATCCAGAGCAGTCCTGGGAGAGCATGAGGTTCACAGAGTTGATTTTGCCATCGCCCACAGGGCTTCGCGCATCTGCGTCCAGATACTGGTCCGTAGGAGGATGGGTGATGTTGAGGGGGTTGAAATCGTTAATGTCACGGTATACATGGCGATCAAGGTGGTTAAACAGATGGTGTTGTAACGAGTATCCAGGCTCCATAACGTAAGTGTTGAGGTCGAGCCACCAGAACCTAATGGCCTAGTTAGTCACATGCAAAAGGAGATCATCATAGGAATTGTCGTCTCACCATTCAGCCTTGGGGTATTTCCGCATCGTATTCCGTAAGAAGTCAACCTTTTCCCAGCTCTCTCGCCACTCGTGCGCATATCGCTTCTTGGTCTTCATGTCGACAATTTCCAAATCGTAGCCCCATCTAGTGGCATATTTCCGCTTGTTGCGTACACTGTCTCGTTCAATGGCCCATTCTCGAGCGCCCTTCCACTCCATGACACCTCCACCGACGTTAGCGGCCAGAATGATGACGAATTTTTCGCCATTTCCACCTATGCTAGATCGTCGCCACCAATGAACGAACCCGGGGGCCTCGTCTGTCCTCTAGTTAGCCAAGCTGAACCCCATAAAGACCAAGGTTGAATGTCGTGATTCCACTTACGGGTGCCGTAGTAGACAATAATGGTGCAAATTATTATCAGCGGAAGGAGGATCCTCCACTTCAGCCTTCTACCAACGCGGGCAAAGAACGATCGTATCCTCCCACCCGAGGCTGCGTTGTATCCTTCTCGTTCGAACTTCTCCCGCTCAGCATAGGTATTGCCAATGCCAGAGTTGAATCGTGGCAGGCTGCTGGATATGCGACGCATGTGGCGAGTAAAGAAGCCTTGGTTCTGCGTCGAGAAGGATGGGTAGCCGTTGGCACCGTGCTTCCTCATCTTGGCGGATTCCCAAGACACGGAGCTGCCACCGACATTGGCGGGACTCGTCCTGCCGCTGTTGATATTCAAGCCAGGACTCGACCACCCACCACCCGGGACAGGTGATGGGCTTCGAGAGAGAGACATTGGATCGGCCGGAGTGCCTATGGGAGAGGACCAGGAGACACAGACGTTAGCCAGCGAGTAACTCGAGGTTTGCGCAACACAAGATGATGCAGGGCAGACGGCACCGGCGGACGCGGGAAGGCTGCAAGGGAGTGGCGGGGAGAGAGACGAAACGTACCAACGATAGGGGACAGCTGGGACTGATTGGCAGCACGAGGATGGATGGACAGCAGATTGCCCGAGCGCACCTCGCTTAGGGTGTGGTGTCCCGCCGAAGAGCGCCGTCGGTGATGTGACGGCACAGGCCGGTCGTTGAAGGAGCTCGAGGAGCCGGCCGGATGCCTTTGGGAAGCCAGGGTGAATAGCTGTGATCCGAACTGCGGGAAGAAAGTCAAGAGTCGACAGGTGTCGAAATACGGAATCGGCGTGGCAGCAGAAGCGGATGCGCTGGCGGCGTCGAGTGGGCTTCCAGATACGGAGCCACACTAGGAAGAGCAAAAAAAAAATGCAAGCAGCTCAATGCAGAGCCAAAAACGAGAGACAGAACAAAGCCAGAAGGGGGGGGGCTAATGCGCCGTTTCTGACCGCACAAGCAAAGATCGTGAGAGAAGCCCCCAAAAGCAGAGCACGGAACCAAGCCGAACCCACAACCACAATGGGCAGATGCTACAGACCAACGGCCACAGGCTGCAACACAGGCGCTAGCTGAGCAAATTCGCGTTCTGGACAGATGTCGGGTTGAGATATGGGATGGGATAATGGGATGGGGGTCAAGAAAAAAAGAGGCGGTTTATTGGCAGATGGCCGGCTGGTCCAGATACATGCTAAGGGTCCCGTAGGGCCAGGTTTGGTTCGGGCATGGCTCGGTAGCCAGTACCCAGCGACAGCTGCGCGCCAAGTACCTCGCCCTGCCCCCTGGACTCTGAAGTGCCGCAGAATACGGCGCGCGCTGGCTTGGCTGGAAACGATGGGGGTACCACCAGTGGCGGGCTGCAGCGGTAGCAGCAGAATGGCGGTACTTGGCGCCGTCTGTACTAGGTACAGCCAAGTGCTAAGATGGTGCCGCACACTGCGCCAGCGGCGTGGTTGCTGACGATGCTCGATACGGCCAAGTGCGTACCGGTGACTTGACAGGTACTATCCATTCGTGCAGCGGCAGCGGGCGCCAGTAAGGCTGCCACATGGTACTCTAGATGTACCCCAAAACTCTATATACCAAGGCAAACGAATAGGGGACATGGTCTTCGATACGAAGTCCAGATACGAGAACAAGCAATAGTCAAGATTGATAGTATCGGAGATACCTACAGAGCACGATCTCTTTTTGTCTCGCTTACTCGGATGAGCAGCTGCAGCAAAACGTTACGGTGATTTTTTTTTCTTGGCCCTGGTTCTGGAACTATGCTGGCGGTGGCTTAGTAGCAGATGACACGGTGCCGGAAACTGGGACTGGCGAATCGAGATCCTCTTTGCTGGTAAAAAGGGGGCCGCCGATGTGGTTAGAATTTCTCGTATCTGCGTTGGCGATGGAACGGTGCCATAGGCCGTGATAAATAGCAGCCTGTAATTAACACATTGATTAGCCAAACCGGGCAAGATTATGCACCATGCGAGCTGCGTATTCTTTGCTTTGATTTTTTGACTACATTGGGAGAAGAAGGATTTCTCCTGTGGCGGGTGTCTGATAGTTTCGTCTCGCGTGCTGGGACACATAGCTGCAAGCGGCCACTGGACCCGTCTCAGGTACGACGGTTACGGGAAGGGCAGCCGATAAAGCAAAGAGCATCGAGAGCACGAGAATAAAACGAAGAAGTACAAGTAAAATAAAATAAAACAACGGCCGGCAGGATTATCTGGAGCCCACCCAATCGCCGTGCGACAGGGACACAGAGCCCGCCGCCCGTATTACTATATGAGCTGTGGATGAAGCATGTATGTACCAATACTTGCGGTGCCCTAGCATTGCGCGATAAGGAGGATTCTTAGCCGCTACCGGGGAGCAAATTTTAAGATGATGAACCGTGCTGCTTTGTTCAGCCGCAGTGACTGGCTGATGCCAGTATCCATCCATAATAATCGGCCTCAGGGGTCTAACAGCGGCTCGTTCTTCGCTGCGAGATTTTTCTCCGTCGTCCAATGTTAATACGGAGCTGGGCTTCGTACTGCGCACCTCGCCTCAGGCCCAGTAGTGTCTGGCTCTCGTATGCGGCTGAGTTCGCCCCGTGCTGGCGCCGGTCCTCAGACAATTGGCTCCTCCAATGCGCATCGGTTTCTCTGCCAGCACTCCAGCACCGCTACTTGAACGGGCCCCTGTAGCGCAATGCTTAGCCCAGGGTCAACGCGCTGCGGAGCTGCGCCCATCGCCGAAGAGGCTAGGTCCAGAGGTTGTGGTGAGCCTTGCCGTGCTTCAAACTCGGAGGAGCCGCCACGATGCGCTGCTAGGGGTTTAGCGGCATGGCGTTAAATTTGATGTCAAGCGATTGACACGCATTACTAAGACAAGCCGCTGCGTCGAATAAAATCGCCATACACGTCGAGCTCACGTAGAGGCCAAGGCTGGGAGAAAGTATCGTGGCCCGTATTTTGGTAGTTGCAAAGTCAAAACTAGCCATGTTGCGTTTCTCTTCTTGTATAGCTTAGCTGCGCCCGGTCCTCCATCATGGCGGATTGAAACACAACGGGTGTTTCTTTCTTTCTTTCTTTTTTGTTTGCAGAGACAATGGCGGCCTTGTTGGCTAGCCTGCAACACCAAAACAATGGCCCTAAAGTAGGCAGACTGTCAGCTTACAGGTAATCATAATACTGGCGACTTATAGTATCTAATAGTGCTGCCTGCGCCATCGGCGGCTCTTCTTTGCCGTTTTTGATGCTACCGGATTAGTAAATATCGTACTATTACTAGTAGTAAGTAGATGATGAGCATTTGAACTATTTTACAAAGTTCTTGTCCAGAGGCGCACTTTAACTCAAGCATCACAGCTAAGGTTCGCTGTCGTCATGAGATCTCGAGGGCGTCAAGCATCCCCCGCCCTTTGCCAAACGCCTTCTTTCAGGTGAAGCCGTCTGTACGTTTGGCCGAAAGCCAATATCTTGACTCCCATGAATTACGTCACTTGTTAGCTCTTCAGAGGTGCTCAACTCAATTATATTGCCCTGCTAAATCTAGTAATCATTACTCAAGCAATGACTAAACACGGCTATGAGAAAAACAATTTTATGATCATGAAGCATTACATCTAATAGTTTGATGTTCTAATGCTTTGGCTACAACGTCACTTGGCTACATTCCTAAACCCCGCGATTGATAAACGTCATGTAAGCCAGAAGCTTCACATTCAAAAGGTTACGCAGAGTAGCATATGCGGGGGTTTCCAGGAACGGTCGGTGGCTGAGACGCGTATCGGTTGTGTCTCCTTCGTCTTGGCTTGCCATTTCTGCCATTTCTCTTATCTTGCTCTGGGCCATACTATTTCACGTGGCATTGGCTGTGCACTGCTATTTACTGACCTAGAATCGGCATTTACGAGCCGAGTGTTCGGCGTAGTAGCAACCGGATTCCTCTATATTGCAAGTAACAAATTCATCAAAGTCCAAAGAAAAAAAATAAGTGGGGAAAAGAAGACCACACGTAAAATTCAGCTCGTTCACGCTAGCAAACGTAAGCGTATCTGTCAAGTGCAGAGGGGAACATAGCAAGGTGCATAGCTCACATATATCATACTCATGCCACTATCTGCTGTGTGCATCATCGACCTGCATTCTACCTCTAGCACAACACCCTCTAAATCGAATGTTTCAAGCGCTTGTTGCATTAATGCATGAAAATAATTCGTACACCTAGCTACTCTACGTTCTGGACGCTTCCAGCTCTGTCGTTGCATCCACCACTCCATCTGTCGTGCCTTTTCTAGGGTAGGCTTCCGGAGTAGACGGTGTTGAGATTGGCTGGCTTCTAATTACAGCATACTATGTATGCACCCCTGAAGGTCCCACCGCGGGTGTTGCGCAGCGGCCAAGCTTAGCCGCCCGGAAGGCGACAAGCGGCCAATCAGTTGACCCTGCGCCGTAGCGCCTAAGCCTGCAGCCAATCACGCTGCGCATTCATGCTCACACGGCGCCTATTCATACCTGCAAGCTGCACCTCCAACCAATCCGCCCGCCAGCATCGCCATCGAGCTCAACCCTCAGACAAAAGAGCACGGAAACGCGCCACCATGGAGTGTTTTACTGCAAGGGAAACGGGAAGCAGCGAGGAGGATGAAGCAGTTGATGGATAGGCCATGCTCGAGACCGGGCCGAGAGTCCAGAGTGGGGAGGCCTTTGCTGGCTGGGAGCAGGCAACCCGCAAATCCTCGCCCATTGTCGACCGATTGTTTTTCTTTATCAATAGAGTGGCCTTCACTTGCTATTGTTCCTGTTTCTATTTTCACCGTGAGCGGATGTGTTCGTGATTCATTGTTGGGATAGGCGTTGTTTCCTACTTTCTTGCGCCTCACTCCCTCCATCCTGCACTCTTTGTATATTCAATCGTCATTCATTCTTTGTTACCCGAATTTTGCATACTTTCATCATCGCTTGGCCTGGCGCTTGTGATGGTTGTGATTTGATTTCATGTGCTACGACGGTTCATCACCTGACGAATACTTACGATATCCAAGCCGCCACGATCAAGAGCTCGACCCATATGCTTTCGCTTTACACGACCTAAAATGTCCTTCAATTACGGCAAACATATTGAGCCGCTGCATAGCAGCAGGCTCTCATCGCAAACTCGCAAATCTGCAGCACCTCGTCATGCCTCTTATCTTTCATCAAAACGCCACACAGGAGAAAACTGGGAGGACTGGGAAGATGACGACGTTGTTACATTAATAGACGTTGACGAGACCCCCGCTGGCGACCATTCGGATCATCAGAAACTCTTCACAAGCAGCCCGTTTTTAAATATGACCGCCAGCAACTCGGCTATGACTACCCGAAGCCCATCTCCTCTGGAAAGCGACAGTCTCTCTGTCAGCTCCAACGACGAGGTTTCCCCCATCGAAGACGATGTCCAGACAGGCCTGCAAGCCCCACCACCTACGCCAGCCTTGTTCCTCACGAAGGCGGCTAAACATCCAAGCATAAAGGTATCCATGAGACGTTCGACAGCTAGAACTAGCCGGCCGGTGTCAAGGAGGCCTCCTAAGCAGCGGAACGCAAAGCTTGGAATAACGCTGATCACGGATATGACCAAGCTGAGGCGGCAAAATTACATCTCTAATCAAGCAAAGTCACCGGCAAGGCGTAACCCAAAGTTTGCCGATGCAGCTGCTCTAAGAGCCTTGGAGGGATCTCCAAACCCGCAGTCTGTTGGAAATTGGAACTGGCTGAGGAGAGGGAACAACGGAGATCATGTGGTCGCATCCCCTTCTCCTCTTCAAGCCGATGATACCCAATCTCCCGATGAACAGCTTTCACCGGAAGCCAGACCGATAGTAATCGGCATTACTCTGCCTTCTGATGAGGTTGAGAGTCGAGGGATTGACCCCCTCACGGCGACGGTCAACAACATTGACACTCCGAACGGCGAGATGAGGAATCCATATCCCTTTAACTTCCAGACAGCTCATGACCGCGCAAACCCCCCTTCAGTTCCTACCCAACTCAAATCAATGTGGTCTCCAGATACCCCCGATACTGCTAGTTCGTTTAGCACAATTAGATATCCGTCAAGCGTATACTCGCAAGCATCTATGGCGGCTATCATTGCTCCTGGGTTGAGAGATGACGAAGTTCCCCCTGTTCCTGCTCTTCCGGCCGGTTACAAACAGACCACTTCGCCGATGCCACAGCGACTTATTGGTGCGGAACAGCGTAAGAACAAGGATGAGGAAGATGAGTCTGGGACACCTTGCACGCTTTTCGAAGAGGATGGAATCACGCCCTTGAAATCGCCCGCAAGTAAACTATCTGCCCGCACTCCTGATAGTGTGCGTGGTTGGTGGGATCATCATTTAGTTACCCCATTTTTAGACATGAGAATGTCTTTCGCGAGTCGAAGAACGCAGATGGAATCCCCTTTGGATCAGAAGGGGCATCAAATCGCCAAAGCTGCAGACAACAAAGGAGAACAGAGCTCTGCGCTGACTCCAAAGAGCCGGCAATCCTGGAAAACCATTATTTCAAAGCCCGACACGAAACAGATTTCTCCGTCTGCAGAAAGAGATGAGCACCAAAATCCTACAACTGTCAACGTGGAAGGCGGCCGTGCCATCCTGGGATTGTCTATGCTGGAAAAGCAGCGGGGCCTTTCTACATTTTCTCCTGGCTATGGCATGTTGAGGGACGTTAGAGACAAGAATCTGCAAAATCAATCTCAAAGCGTTTCCAAAGCAGAGGACGAACATATTCTGATTACCCTTGAAACCGAGGAAAAAACAGAACTGTCTGACAAGTCTCGTGCTGTGAATGAGAACTCAACACTCAGGTCCCAGTCTGACAAATACCAACAATCGTCCTCAAAATTCCATGAAATGATTTCCTCAGAGACATCGAAATCCAAAGAAATACATACATACGAGTTTGTATCTGCCGAGATCAGAGAGCGTCAAATGATGCCCACAGACTCACAACCAAAACACGAACAGAAGCGTGACCTTACTCCTCCGCCTAGACCTCAGCGGCAAGAAGCCCAGGCCCCAATCATTAAAGTGCCAACACCTCGACAGACTCCGCCACCGAGAGAAGTTGGGATGCGGGAAGGCTCTGAGCGACCGATCGTGGTCCACATAGAGATCAACACTGGTGAGCAGCCGCAGAAGTTTGTGGTAGATCGTGTTGGGTTGAGTTCTACGCCGACTATAAAGATTCCTACGCCACGACGGACGCCGTCACCTCAAGCAGATGTCCTTAAGGTTGGCGTAGCTGCTGAACCTGCACGAGGTGCCTTTGGACACCATGAAGCAGGTACGCGAGAGATGATGCAAGGCTTGGGAATAACCAATCTGAGGGCCGATACTCCGCCTTCACCTTCATCTAAGAAGCACGCTGGAGCTGCTGTCAAGTACCAGGCTGTCTTCCCGCCTGGTCATCATCTGCATACTCAAGTTCCCCAGACAGAAGCACCTCATAATGTTGCGTCGGCGCCGGCACCAGTTGCACTAGTGATGACAACTGTACCTGTAGCTTACACTACACACGACGCCCATACTGCAGCACCTATCGCAGCGTCGACAACAGCTACACCAACCACGTCGGTGGCAGCAGAGAGGGCAGCACCGGCTGTTTCGCGAGCAGCTGGTCATGAGACAAATGGAAGTACTGCAGTGTCTGCTGGCGCTGGTGTTCTAGCCTCACAGGTCTTACATCGCGCTGAACGAGCTGAAATATCTACAAAAGAAGCGGGTAGCATTACGCGCGAGGCATCGACCACAAGTCAGTTGGGTGATGCCTCTCTATCCACACGTAACGTTGAGGATACTTCTACCAATATGTCTAGATCTGTGGGAGTCCAGCTGCTAGCACACGAACGAGAGAAACAAGCTGAGACACAGTCTTCTACTACACATCCCACTTCGGAGCAGCATAGCCGTTTCTCTGTATCACCAACCTCATCAAAATCGCCTGATTCGGAGCGAAAGGCTCGAGTAGGCTCAGGACATGTACGGGCGGCAAGTAACTTTGTGACGTCGGTTTTGTCTCGGCAGCGGTCTCCGGTTGATCATCGCCGCGGTGAGGCCCGCGCTATACAGCCGGTTGATATAGTGCTGGAAGAACGAAGAGCCCCTGAAGCGTTACCAGCGGCCCCGGAGAGAGCTTATCTAACAATAACCGAGATTCCTTCTGGAAGTAAAAACTGGATTAGGGTGGATTCTCCCTCTCTAGAGCATGGATTCACCGAGCCATTACCTGCGCACCCTGCTGAGGCGTCACATGCTGACCGAGGATTGAGAAAAGACTACAAAATCGAGCGGAAGCGACTGCGACATGAGAAGGAAGAAAAAATGGCAAGACGAGCCGGTGGCCTTTGGAGGGGCCGAGGCTGTGTGCCAAAAAAAGGCTGCTTTGGCCGCCCTGGACCAGAGGGCCGCAAGAAGAGAAGAATCTGGTGTTGTATCATCGGATTCCTCTTGCTGCTTATCATAATCTTGGCGATTATTCTGGGCATCGTTCTTTCCAGGCATCATGGATCGGGCAACCAAAGCTCTACTCCAGCTCCTGGAGAGACCCAATCCCCTCCCTCATCACCGCCAAAGCCTTCCCCGCTACCCTCGTCCATATGGGTCAATCTCACGGATTATCCTGCCATGCCCACCGGCGTGTTGACCTTTGTAGGTCCAAATAACACTGTTGCCAAGAGCGACTGTACTGAACCGTCTACATTATGGAGCTGTTCCTTGCCCAAGGATTCCCAAGCGTCTGTGTCGCCATTCAAGCCCAACCAGCCAACTATCATTTTCCAGATCCAATGGGATAACAGCACAGACAAGGCATGGAACGTCCCAAACGGCGCCCCCCCTACTCCCATTTCTAAGAGAGGAGGGAGCAACAGCAAATCCACAATAGATGGATTCAATCCAGAGCCGAGCCCCCCAACTTTTGATGAGATGTGGTTCCTGGGCGAGACCACAGATAATATTCAATCGAGCCAAAAGGCTGGAGAACCAACCCCCTTTTTTATAAGTATTCTCGAGTCTCTAAATGACACGGTTAAATTGCCATCTTTAAGCCGAAGGGCTACTGCCTCGGACATTCTAAACATTTCGGACATTATTTTCCCACCAGACTTGAAGGCAGACGGCACTCCAGCGCCCGCTGTAATGCTTCCTAACCCGGTTCAGCAGCCGGTTCGGCTATTCGACCGCGGCCTACCCACCGAGCATTACGGATTCTACACATACTTTCAGCGAACCATCTTCCTCAAGTCTGTCACCGCTCTCAATAAATCGAGTGAAGGAAACGTACCCGCAGATGAAAACGGTGGCTGCAGCGAAATTGAGGCCAACCATCTCGTTACGTGGGCCGAGACCCGTATGCTGGTGCAAATTTGGACGCGGAAACTGAATAGCACAGGTTCACTGCTGCCTTCGGATGGCAGTGAGGGTATTGACAACTCACCTCAGCTGGTCCAACCAGGAACAATGCCATATCCCGTGACAGTGACGCTGGACACTCACGGCGGTGATCCTGACCACAAAGTCGTGTGGGAGTGGCCCATGGATGATCGTCAGAAGCTGAATACAAATGCTCCTGAATTGCTTGGCAACAATATGGCCGCCGGAGGGACTTGGATTAACCACCGTGGTAGCGGCAATGCCACGTTTGGAGGCTTCGACGGAGGCACCGGAGGCTGCAAGTGCCAATGGGTGAATTGGTCGTGAAAGATGAAGTGAGAAGCAATAGTTAAACTAACGATACCACGAGAGCGGAGTGGCGTATAGGAAGCATGAATTGATGTTTCTTTCATTTGACTTTTCTTTGTTCTTAGCTATATGCTATTGGGTATAATATGTATCAAAATGGATTGGATTGGGAACTCGGTCATTGCATATTGTGTTGACATGCACATTGAATAGCGTTGTGGGCTTATCAAAAGCCTTTTGTTCATTTATAAAACCAAGATATAATAACAGGAAAAAAAAATATGAAACCCTTTTTAAAAAAAATTATTCAGGAGCACGCTGTTTAATGCATCATTGCCTGTGTTGTGTCATGTAAATCGTGTTGACGGAGGCCAGCGGCAGAGTGGAGCCCCGCCACTCCGGCGTATAGATAGCAGTGAGTGGGTGGGTTGAAAAAAAGTTGACTGCATGCATCCTCGTCTGATATCAACTCGACGACTTTTGCACAGCGAATGATGAATTGACAAGACTTTCATAACTTTTTTTTTTCTTTGACAAAATATTATTTTAACAAGAAATTAACGAGAGAAGATATTTACGTGTATATATATGAATCTATGTGAAAAAGCAGCTCCGAATGTTTTCACCACGATGTCGTTCTCTCATCACCTGCCAGTCGCTCATCTGGCACATCCGCAACTCCATCCGCACTCGCACAGCCGCAACCGGTGACACGCCATGCAAGATAAAGAAGCGCTCCCTAACCACTCTCGCAATCGAGACATCATGCGACGACACAGCCGTGGCGGTGCTATCCAAGTCTGCAGACGGGAAAACCGCGCTGCTGTTCAACGAGCGCATCTCGTCGGACAACCGGGCCTTCAAGGGCATCAACCCGATGGTTACGGTGGAGGGCCACAACTCGACTCTGGCGCTGCTGGTGGAAAGGGCGTTGGAGAGTCTGCCTGATGATGATGGTGGTGATGGTGATGGTGAGGAGAAGCTTGGCATGGAACGAGGGACGAGAGTAACGACGACGGATGGAGAGGAGAAGACGGAGAGCAAATGGAGGAGAAGCAGCCGCAACGGCAAGAAGAAGATGAAGAAGATACCCGACTTTGTCTGCGCCACTCGCGGCCCGGGCATCATGCCGAATCTCTCTGTCGGACTCAACGTTGCAAAGGGACTGGCTCTGGCGTGGCAGGTTCCCCTGGTGGGCGTCCATCACATGCAAGCGCATGCCTTGACGCCGCGCCTCGTCCATGCCCTGGAGAATAGCAGCAGCAGCAGCAGCAGCATCGCATCTTCTTCAACTTCAACTTCAGCTTCATCATCAACACCGCCAATGAGCCCAGCCTTCCCCTTCCTCTCGCTCCTCGTCTCCGGCGGCCACACCCAGCTCATCCTCTCCTCCAGCCTCACCGCGCACCAAATCCTCGCCACCACCGCCGACGTCGCCATCGGCAACCTCCTCGACCAGACCGCCCGCGTCATCCTGCCCCCTTCCATCCTCCAGTCCAGCCCGGACGTCAGCTACGGCCGCGTGCTCGAGGCCTTTGCATTCCCCCCCGGACAGCAGGACTCGCCCGCCGACTACGAGGCGTTTTTCAAGCCGGCGCTGTCGAGGCGCGACGAGATTGACGGCGTGCCGTCGAGGGAGTATGGGTGGGCGATTGCGCTGCCGTATCGCAACTCGCGGAAGCTGGCGTATTCGTTTTCGAGCATCCACACGCAGGTTCACGACATTGTTGCCGCCATAGAAGCCAGATACGACGACGACAACGACGCTTCTTCTTCATCATCATCACCATCTTCTTCTCCCCCCCCTGACGTGGACAAAATCTCTCTCGACCAACGCCGCGCCCTCGCCCGCCACACCCTCCGCGCCTCCTTCCAACACCTCGTCAGCCGCCTCATCCTCGCGCTGCAGGACCACCCTTCCCTCCAGCAATCTACTACTACCATAAAGACGCTCGTCGTGGCCGGCGGCGTCGCCAGCAACCGCTTCCTCATGCACGTCCTGCGCACGACCCTCGCCGCGAGGGGCTTCCCGGACATGCACATCGTCGCGCCACCGCCGGAGCTGTGCACCGACAACGCCGCCATGATTGCCTGGGCGGGCATGGAGATGTTCGAGGCCGGGTATCGGTCTGAGCTGTCGGTGCGGCCGATTGCGAGGTGGCCCATGGATCCGGCGGTTGGAGGTGGAATGCTGGGGGTAGGGGGGTGGGTCAAGGTGGAAGAGGAAAAAGGAGGGGATTGAGGATTGAAGAGAGATGATGTGTCTGTACGATGAGAGACTAGGTTTGGTTTATTTTGGTGGTAAATGATGATACCCTTGGCGTTGAAGCAGTGAGCTGATATATAAACTTATTTTGTACGATGGAGAATTATTAGCAATGATAGCACCACAAACAAAAAAAGACTCGTCACAACGATGATTGATTCCTTAAAGCTGAACCCTAGAGAAAGGCAGTCATGCCTTCGTATTCATCTACGTCCTCTACCCTCTCTGTCTCTCTGTCTCTCCACATTCATTGCAAAGCGTTGCTCTCATGTGATTTCTTATTTCTTCTTTATTGCTTTAAAACTAAATAAAACCATGCCCAATGCGAGTCATCTACTCCAACTCGCTCGTAACGTTTGAAAACTCGCCCTTCTCCAGCTTCGTTTGCCAGAAGATCGGATTCGTGTCCATGAAGCCATGCTTGACCCAGCCCGCTTCCTTAACATGGTACAAGTTGATGTATCCACCAGAGTACGCATCACGGTGCGTCGCCGCCAGGATACTTCTCTTGCCCAACTCCAGCGCCTCCTCGTCCGTCAGATCGTACTTGTACTCGGAATCCAGCACACCGTAGGCGAAAGTCTGTCCACTGCCCACACAGAACAGGTTGCCCGCCAGTCGTGTGCCGTCGCTGTCGACGTAGTACAGCGCGGGGCCCTCCTCCTTGGTCACGCCGGCGCACATGGTGCCCATGCTGAGGCCCATGCCCTTGTAGCTGTAGATGAGGTTGGCCAGGATCTTGCTGGCGGCCGCAACGCTGATGCGGCGCTTGTGGCGGAGCTCGTGCAGGCGGCACTGCATGCCCAGCCAGGCGAGCCAGTACTGGCAGTCTGCGGCACCACCGGCCATGGTTCCCAGCAGCACGCTGTTGATCTCAATGACCTTCTTGACCGTCTGTGAGGCAATCCAGTTGCCGGCCGTAGCTCGAGAATCGGTGGCCACAATGATACCGCCCTGGAAGCGGAAGGCAAGTGTTGTCGTTCCGTGGGCAATCTTGATGGGGCAGTCGGGGTTGGAGCGGTCGTCTGTCGCAGCGCGGAGCCAAGCAGAGGGCTAAAGCAAAGCAGAAGGTCAGCTTTTATTTTTGACATCACGAACGCACTGCGTCTTCATCCTCTCCTGTCTCTACTTTATATAGGATGATGGGCAGCCATATGGATATGTATGCAGCAGCTACACAGCTACTGGCTGAGCTGACGTACCTGCGCAACGGGTGGCATGGCGAAGTTGAGCGATAGGTGAGCCGCCGGGTTCATCAGCTCCTGGCCATACTCGTCATCCTCAAGAGGCTCGTTCTGCGCATATGCCGGCCGGCTGTACTTGGCCACGAGAGAATCCATCCCTACTGTGTGTGTCTGTTGATGCTGCTGTTGAAAGATCCCCGCCAAATTTCACGTCAATGCTCCCCCAGTTCTGCTGCGGAGAGGCAATTTTGCAGGTCGAAGCACACTCGAATCCGGTGCAGCCTGCAGTTTATCGAGATGGCGGCCTGTAGTCCGTAATTGTGAGATTTTTGGTTGTTCTGGATGAGGTTCAGAAAGGCCAAAAGACGCCCCTCGTTGCTGTACTAGAGCACCGGCTCCAGGTCAGGCAGCTTCCGTCTCGCGCGTCACTGACTGACCTCTTTCGAGCAGTGCGAGCTTCTGATTGGCTGCAAGCAACCATGCTGACTAAGTCAGCCTCGACCCAGATCTTGGTGCCTTGTTGCCTGATGTCCAACAACAAACCACTCTACTCGGCCAACCAATATACTATCATCGTCATTCTACGAATAGGTACGTTGGCGATTGGGAAAAAATGAGGAAGAAAAGGGAGATGGGAAAACATCCACTAGATATGATTATTGAAATTTGTCCAAAATGTAGCAAACTGGCTGTCCCATTTGGCTAAACCTGCTTGACTCTCGCTCGTCCGGCGCCGCCTATAAATATACCTATATACAAGAGCCCTACGAAATTCCCTCGCACTCGAGATCCCACAGACTCCAAGCAGAATTGTAACAATACATAGCCTTAATAGAAGAGAGAGAGAGAGAGAGAGAGAGAGAGAGAGAGAGAGAGAGAGAGAGAGA